CGTCTTCCTCAACTGTTCTTCTTAAACTCAAACAAAAAGCAGAATAATCTAATTGTGCATGCAGGTCTGCACAATTAATCTAGATCAGTCTAGATTAATCTAATAGCTGTCCTGAACACAGTGGTCTGTATGTAATCAGAGATAGTAACCCTGAATGCCCGTGTGCTACAGGTAACACAGGCAGAGACAGAGGCTACGTTCACACTACCAGTTTGAAGTGGCACAAATCCGATTTTTTGCCCTAATGTGACTCAGATCTGATGTATTCAGGACTTTCAAATCTGATCTAGGAAAGTGGCTCAGATCGGATTTGAAAGTCCTGAAAACATCAGATCTGAAAGTCCTGAAAACATCAGATCTGATGTGCGTATCTGATTCGTGGCCATGTGACCTTAATGTGAAGCTCAGATCGGAATTCATGTGCTTTTTCCCCACTGCGCCATTATTCAGCATTACCATGGCAGCAGCGCTGAACAGAAGTTAAAGCCTATAAACAGTGGAAAAGCAGCTCATTTCATTTTTTTCTCCTTCGTCTCGCTCTAATAATGAAGCTGAGAGCTGATCAGAGTTAATTATCTTCTCAGCGAAGCTCGTTCTGCTCGTTAGTTAGTTTGCTGTTGATGACGCACGTGAGTCGTTCACGTGACGTTACTGATTAGGAAGTGTGCATATGGGTCATTTCGGGCCGCCGGTTCGTTCACATTAATTACATATTTGAATCACTTACCCTAACGAGTGTGAACCATCATGTCAGAGAGATCGGATTTGAGCACAGATTTGAGCAATAAGGCTTGTAATGTGAACATAGTCAGAGTCAGTTTTGGAGTAGACGAAAAGAGCAGAGCAGAGCAGTGAAGAGAAGAGAAGAGAAGAGAAGAGAAGAGAAGAGAAGAGAAGAGAAGAGAAGAAAAGAGAAGAGAAGAGCAGAGCAGTGAAGAGAAGAGAAGAGAAGAGCAGAGCAGTGAAGAGAAGAGAAGAAAAGAGAAGAGAAGAGAAGAGAAGAGAAAAGAAGAGAAGAGAAAAGCAGTTAAGAGAAGAGAAGAGAAGAGAAGAGAAGAGCAGAGCAGTGAAGAGAAGAGAAGAGAAGAGAAGAGCAGAGCAGTGAAGAGAAGAGAAGAGAAGAGAAGAGAAGAGAAGAGAAGAAGTGATTTAGGGGTTTAGCCAGCAGCCCCACCTCAAGCACCACAGCCCCGGTTTGCTGACTGTAACTGAGTCTCGCAAAGTAGATAAAAATTTGATGAAGCTGAAGTTAAATTCTCATTCTCATTTCCTGTTTCCCAGCAGTCACATTCAGATGCCTGTAAGTGTTTAACTGCTGCACTATTTAAGGTGGAACGGAAATTGGAATAAGACGCTAACATCAGCCTTGAGAGATTAGTGTCTCAATTCAGCGTGACAGTGTGAATGTGGTTCAGGGTGAGATAACAGGCAGGTCTACAGAGTCACTGTTTTGCATTACCAATGAAGGAATATTCATATGTGAATTATGCAGAGAGAAATGCTGACCTTAACTTACTTAGCTAGCATTTGTTTGTAGCACATTGACTGTCATGAATGTCATAGTTAATATAAAAGCTTTCAATAATTCAGTTGTAAGCTACTGTGATTATCTCATTGTAGAAATAAATAATAGATGAAAGAAAGAAATGAAGAAGATGAAAACACAGGTGTGTGTATGTGTGTGTGTGTGTGTGTGTGTGTGTGTAGAGTTTAAGGTGGGCTGGAGTTCATCATGTAACTCCTGGTCTGAAAACAAGTCCCGCTCCACTTCTAAAACTCAAATAAACAGCAGAAACTCTCAGTCTTAAATATGATAAATGATTCATTATTCTGAATTCCCCAGAGCTCTTAGTGAGACTGAGGACAACTGCTGAATGACCCCTGCAGGACCACGCGTGTGTATTGTCATCTGATCCAGCCAACCTGCCCCCCCAAGTCTTCTTTTTGACAATGCGTACAGGGGTCACGACCCCAGCCGTCCCAGCCATTCACCCGCAGATGGTGGCACAGCAGACCCGAGGAGGACGTGGAGGAACAGTGATTACACACACATTCGCTAACTCCTAAACTCCTCACATCTGCTACACAAACACACTGACTGCTGTCGGCCGTGGGGGGGCTGGGTTCACTGTCAGAGAGAGGCAATATACTACTATATTAGTGTAACGCAATGCCACTACATCAGTATTCAGATCTGCAAAAGAACTGGATGTGATCTATTTTATTTTATTTATTTTTGTATTTATTTGCATTTATAGTTGACCTGATAATGACATTACTAGAGTCTAAGTACATGAATAAAAGCAAATTTCTCTTGTGAATTTGGTTTTATGTGGAATATGGAGCTCAGTGAGGCAGTGTTTAGGTCAAGCTACTGGAAACTACTGACCACATGCAGCCATCTAAATCAATAAATATGTCTTTTTATATCTGCTTTCTTGATGTGAAAGTTGAGGTCTAATGTGGCATGGTGTGGGTCTAAAAACATAAGCAACAAATATATATATGATGGGTAAGGTGAGTACTTCTTAAACGCTGAATAACTGCATGGATCATAAAGAGAGATTTACTCCAGATTTACACTGTGAACAACAACAACTAGTGGCTAACAACTACATATACTACACGGTCAGACTCAACACCTGGTGAAAAAGCCAATACACTTAAATGGGAATCCACTTCTAGTAGCGATTAATTTAGCTTCATTTAGTATGAGTCAGAAGTGCTGGATGAAATTAGGGAAAAAGAAGAAAGAAAAAAACTTTTTTTAAGATACCCTGCATTTGTAATTGAAAGGTGAGTGTATATGAAAATTGACAGGCATCTCCTTTTGTGACCCCATCTCTATTATATATGGAGGTCGTTCTTAAAACTTCGCCCATCTTTTGTGTTCTGTTGGCTCCATAAAGGAACACAGTGCTTGGACCCCGGTAATTGCCACTTTCAATGTATTTTGTATGCTCTCATAGTAGTTACAGTTAATACAGTTCCTAACAGAAATCAACATGTTCAACAACAATTTAAAAGGCAAACTAAACAGAAGCTGATTGTCCTGGTTATAAACAATGATAATTTACACGTGTTAACCTTTTAGACCCTTTGTTTTGAAGAAAGAAATCTGAATATGAAAAATGAGATGTCGCCCATGAAACATTACTTTCTTTTCATGTGTCAGCAAAATTATGTTAGACGTGATTGGCTATTAAAAATTAAGCACTATATATGTGGGTTGGCTGAATAATGACAATGAGCTTCTGCTGCCATTATTCTCCTGCATAACAAGTTTACACGTATGAATATTTACATGTAAGATATTGTTTTTTTCTCTAAGTAAACTTGATAAGTTTTTAATGTGGTTAGGTCTCGCAAACCCCCAAAGAAAACATGCTTATTTAAGTTAAAGACATCTAGAAAAGCTAGGAGTCCCCAAACTTTTGATGGGTAGGTGTCGGTGTGTCTGAAACTGTGGGGATTTCACACAAACATCAAATCACTGCAACAAAGAATATTTCAAATGTACAGACAGAATGTTTACAAATGCCCAACAGCCTTCATCCCTCTGTACTCTGAGACAGATTTAGGAAAGGTCTCTAAATGTCTTGGATTTCCTGTCTTTTGGGGATAAACGAAGTCTGCCCAGCTCTAGAGATTAAAGTCTAAAACTGCAGCCTTATCCCAATCTGTGACCAACTAATCATCCTAATATGCATCTAATGCCCTTCCCCACCGACTCACGGAGCTAAAGCTTATTTATCTGAAACTAATTAATTAAACTTCATTACTGCTGAGCTTCAGATGTGTCTCTTTTTAACAAACAGACCATGTTAAGTATAGTTATGTGGTAAATAACATTATCTGCACTGTTTTTATTGTTTCACTCAAACATTCTGAATGAACTCTTTGTCAATCTCCCAAAACGAAAAGCAAACTTTCTGGTAGGCTGAGTTCCTGTATCTGTAAAGTTCAGTGTAGTTTGTGCACTGAGCATATAGATCTAAAGCTCAAACTGCACTACTGTACTGGCCCGAGCTTCTCAAAAGCTTTGTAAGTAGCTTTTTTAACACATTAGTTAACGATGGATTTGACTGATTTTTAAAATTCCTGCATTATTCAACGTATAAGATGTAAACAAAGTCATTCAGAGTGGTTTAATATGAAATACTCCGTTCTAGAGAAACTCAGGTTTTTTCACAGTGGTGAAAGGAACAAGTCTCTATAATGCCTCTAAAAGCTGCCTCACAGAAACTTGTTACATGAAACAGTTATGAATATGCTGTCTGATGGCTGAGTCATTGTTTTACGCTATTTTATGTTTTGAGAAGGTTTTGGTCTGAAACAAATCCATGAATGGTGGAGGGATACATGCAGGGTGTTGTACGAAAAAATAGTCCCCAAATAAAACGTATTTTTTCAGATCTATCACTATTTTTTAAGTCATCAATTACAAATAAAAAATGTAACATTACATATAAAAAACTCAAGACACGTGTAGGTTCACTGGTGGTTTTGGATAGTAAATAAAATGGCTGTATTCGTGTTGTAGTCATGACAACCCCTGGTTCCTATCACCACCACTGGAAAGACAGCTGAGACTGTAAGTTTTTCTGCAATGAACAATTTTACACCAAACCAAACCAATTATGTAGAAATTTTGAAAATTTGGTGGCCTTCCACTTCAATATTTCACATACGGGACTGCAGTAAGTTCAGTGAAGCAGGACTAATTATGTGCTCTTAGTAATGAAACATGCAGATGGTCAGTGTCAACAATAACCACGATATTCTCAGAAAACCATATCGTGATGTGATTATAACACAGTGGGATCTTGAATGCCATGTTTAAGTCGATTAAGTTGGTGTAATAAAAGAGTTTCAGCACTTTTCTTGCAGGATAATGATTTAAAAACATGGAGTATTTGGTCTGTTTCCCGGAGGGATCAGACACGGTCCAACCTGTGACTGTGTAATAATCAGTTATGATGTTTTATGAATGATCTCACCGTGTGAAGTGGTCACACAGCGTCCCCACCAGCTCCCCCACACGGTCCTGCTTTGGCCCCAGCTGACCGCTCTGCAGGTACACTAGTATGTCTTCCTGAGACAAAGTGTGTAGCGCCACCATCTGATCCGTCCCGCTTGTTACACTCAAGCTGGTTACCTAAGGCAAAAAGAAAAGGGTTAAGTTTCCAAAGGTTTGTAGACACCTGCTCATCCAGCACTTCTTCTGGAATCAAGGGTATTAATATTAACATAAATATATTTGCATTAAAAATTCTCTAATTTGTTTTATATAATTTACCTATAATTAACCTGGGGTTATTTGTACAGTTTGTTTTACAGCATGGGATTAATATAAATGGGTTATTTCTAAGGTTCATTATACAGCATAGGATTAACACAACCTGGGGTCATTTCTACGTTTAATAAAACTTAATAAAAATGAAAAAAGATTAATAAAAAATTAGAACAAAAAAGGTGAAACTGTAGTACAGTGACAGTGTCCTGAGGTTGTGTGTACAATGTGGAGATTATAAAATGTGTGTAGCATCTGTCTGTGGGTGTAAGTGTGACTATGAATAGTAGTAAATGGCCGTATAGACGTCAGTGCTGTGTCTGTACATTACTGTACATTACGCAGAGTGAGTTCAGTTACTATTAAGCCTCTTTACTGGAGACAGAGTGGACACACACACTCCTGACCCCTTTTCTGCTGTCCACACACACACAATCCAATATACAATAGTGAAACAGTATTTACAATACTGTGCAAATGAGAGATGATGCTTTGTTTATTTAATTTCCAGTCAAAACAGTCATTAAGTACAAGTTATTCATTTTCGGCATCAACAGAAAACACATATATTTAACAGAGAATCCCCTCTTTGAGTTTATTACAGCTTCTGTTCTTCATTCCATTCACTTTCAGATTTTTACAGAAGTCTGCAGGGATGTTTTTCTATACCTACAAAGTTCAGTCTTAGAAGCTGGTTGATCCATTTCTGAAGTAATCAAACACATTCAGTGGTGTTGAGGTCTGGACTCTGGGGCGGTCAGTCCATCGTTCAGCTTCTTTGTTTGATGTGTCCGTCTCCTTTTCTCAGTGAGGTTCTTCTTGAACAGCTACACATCCTTTCAGACCGCGCTGAGTCGTCTTCTCACAGTGGAAGGATGGACAGAAACACCTGTGGATGTTTTCAGATCTGAAGCAGCTTGATTTTCTCCTCTCTCTCAGAGATGAAAGCTTTAAGTGCTGTTTATCTGAAGGGGGCAGTTTTGGTGTCTACAAGGTCTTCCAGGTGGTTGTTAGGAGCCACATTTTCTCTGTAGATTATAATCATTTTTTGAACTCCAGTTTTGGAAACTCTTTTCTTCTCCTTCCTTATGCAGGTGGATTATCTTATATCTAATCTTCCTGAGAAATGAATAATGTGTACTTAATTTCTGTTTTGACTGGAAATTAATAAACGAAGAGCGATCTCTGACTTTTGCACAGTGTAAATGTTGCTGTTGTAGTATTATACAGTCGTAGTATAATGTATTGGTGTATGTGTGTGTGACTCGACCCTAACCGTAACCTCATGTATCCATCCCTATTAACCCTCTATTGCACAGTGTTGCCTCAGGGCAACAAACCCATTTATCTCACTTTACAATAACATTATTCCTATTTAAAGACATTTAAACATTAAAGACTTTTAAACCTCTTTTTTAACATTCAGTATCAATTTTTTTTGATATGAGAATTTGCAGAAATATGATTGTTGCCTAGAAGCAACAATGTGCAACAGCGGAACGGATTTGACCAGTCACAAGCCAGGTGTCACCACTTCAGGGAACATGCCTCTATATCATTTCTTCCCACTGTCACACAATGTTGCCTCAAGGCAACATACCCCAAAATGACCCCTGCACACTTTATTTAAAAAAAAAATGTTTTGATATTTAATCATCAGGTCCATTTTATGAAAGCAAAGAGAATCAAACATGATTTTTAAATTGCTCTCATAACATGTGCAGTAGAGGGTTAAATTACCATTAAACAAACATGTACGTGAATTCTTCTCACACACAAACCAGGTTACGTAATGCGGCCAGCCATCATCACAAACAGGCTGATTAAAGTGTGTCACGTTATCCTACCGGCTCTGAGCTGACACATCAAGTTCCCTCCACAATAAGCCCGTGTGCTAATCACTCCAGTAGTGCGTCAGGCCGTGGTGCAACGAGATTAATTCAGAACTGACCTGGCAACCCCGGATAAAAAAAATAAAAAAACAAAACAAAACAAAGCAATATTCCTGTCTGAGCCTGAGTAAACCCCGTCAGCGTGGTCTACTTTCTCTCGAACAGAGCAGACGGACAGACGCAGCGACTCAGACAGCATCACATGCGCTTTAATACGGTGTTAGAAAATAATGTAGTTCATACTACAGTCGTATTGTCCATTGCTGTTCATGCTATTTAGAGACGGGTTTATAGAGAATGTCACAAATTAACTCTTTAAACCTTAGTATTAAGTCTAAGTCGGCAGTCGTGGGCTGGAGGTTAGGGAACCAGCCTTGTGACCGGAAGGCCGCAGGTTTGATCCCCTGAGCTGACAGTACGTGACTGAAGTGGCCATGAGCAAGGCACCTAACCCCCAACTGTTCCCTGGGAGCTGTGGATAGGGCTGCCCACCGCTCTGGGCAAGTGTGCTCACTGCCCCCTAGTGTGTATGTGGTGTTTAACTGCATGGGTGGGATAAATGTGGAGGTGAAATTTCCCCGTTGTGGGACTAATAAGGGTCACTTAACTCAAAGCCTTTCTTTTTCACTGCCATGAAAAAGCATCATAGCTGATGAATCAGTGTTGAGCACCAATGGAGAAAAAGCCAGTTTTGACAATTTAAAGGATCCTAATGATTTTAAAAGGAGACCAAAGGCTGATTTGATTTAAAATTGCATTTAATGATTTTCTAATGGGATGCAAAGGTGTAAAGGAAACCATTATGCCAATTCCCAAAAGAACACTAAACATTAGGTTTTAACCCTTGTGTGGTGTTGATGTGTTTGTTACTCTGTGGTCTGCTGGACCCACCACATTATTGTTTTATTAAATCAATACAGCCATAACAGTTTATGTAAAAATACCAGATGTTTAAAATATCACAAGTGTCCAGCGTAGGGTTCTCCTTTAGCAGCTGTAGCCAGTCAGCAGCCTGTCTATGTTGTCCACCCTCACACACACAGACACACACACACTAACAGCAGGCCATGTAGGAGGAGAACAGAGTGAAGGACACAGCACCTCCACACTTTTATTGTCCGCGGGTTCACCCAACACCACATGTGTAATATAAATGTGTGGGGGGTGAACAGAGTGAAGACACTGAAAATGGGTTATTTTATATGTTCTTCACAGAAAATGAACAAAGGACAAGAATCTGAGGTTGAAATAATAATAAATCACATCATTTTTTCTTTTGGTAAACATTAAAAATGGGTCTCACAGACCTGAACACCACACAAGGGTTAATCCTAATGGTCTCCCCTTTTTCCACAGGGGAGCTTTCTGTTTATTTTATTTTCATTATGTCCCTCGCTGTTTCTTCTCTTTTTGAAAAATGAGTCATAAAATAAGCAGTTTGTGTTTTATACAGTTATTCTTATCTCATTATCTGCATGCTGTTGTTCTTCTAACCATGATGGATTGTTGTGTTTAGCTTTACCAGTTCAGTCTATCTCTGTCACACAGTTAATAGTAAGTGTGTCCTGCATTGGGTTTCCCACTGGAACAGTCTAAAGTTGCCTATAGCTTGTGATGCTGATACCAAAAGCTGGTCATTATTGCTGCATCATTGATGATATTTTCCATACAATACAGCAGATCAACACTGACCTATTTTATTCGCCAGTCAGTCGAGCTCTAAACAGTACCATACAGCGTCAGAAACCACATAATCAAGTCTATTATAGATCCTGAGCAACTCCATACAGTTTGAGGCGAGTGTGAAAACATGTGTTCACTGATTAACCATGTTTGGGTGCACGTATACGTACGTATCTACTACACTATGAGTGTAACAGATGCAGAAGAGCAGACAGTGGAGAATAAAACACTGCAGCAAATATTCCTGTGTGTCTAAACTGCAGCCGTCCCTCTGTTTCTGCTGCAGAGAGATCTGATCCTGTTAGAGGTGGAGATGCGTGAAGCACACATCCATACACCCATACACCCATACACCCCAAAACTGTGTGAGTGTCTGTGTGTGTGTGTATATGTATATATAGCTGTTGTTGGAAAAAAACTCGTATGTCCAAAATAATAACTTTACAGGAGAAGAAAATAACTTACTTTACTTTTAATGTAAGTCAATGGAACCAGAATTTTTCCCAAGTCATTTTCGGTCATTTCTTTTTGTCAATTCATCATGAAATTTACGTACAATGTAAAGGGCAACAGGTACTTTCAAATTATGTCAAAAAACTGAAAAAGATCAAAAATTGAGATATGAGGTTTTCTTCTGACATATATATATATATATATATATATATATATATATATATATATATATATATGTGAGAGAGAGAGAGAAAGAGAGAACATTATTATTATTACTATATGTAGCTGCTTACATATATATATATATATATATATATATATATATATATATATATATATATATAGGTCAATACCCTGTGTCCCAACACTGTATAAAAAACAAACGTGTATGTGTAAACGTGCGAGGGGGCTCAGACTGTCGGTGCCGCAGTGTGACCAAATCCCTCCTGCACAGTGTAGCTCCATTCTGCTCACGGGGCTAAAAGAATGTAGGTCAGACACCTCACAAACACAGCCCCGGTGGTTCGGTTCACACAGACACAGACGGATGGACATGCGGCCTGTCCAGGCGGAGTGACCCTATTAAACCATGCAGAAACTCTGCGCTGCTGGTCCATTCTGCCAGTACGTGTATATACGAGCGCGTGTGTGTTCCATCAGGTGAGATGGGGGTGATCCTAAATCCGCTCTAACACAGGCAATGTGACCTACAGCTCAAAGAAAAGGACGAGTTACAGGCCCAGCGTGGGACATGAATTAATCTGCATTCATTGGCATTGTATGCAGTGTGAATTCTTCTGTTTGTTTTCATGAATTTTTAGGACAAAAGGTGCCCTGACTATGTAGGAAAACTTGCTAAAGTGCTTCAAATTAAAGCTCCCCAGTTCACACAGTCCAAAGCCGCCCATTTTAAATTCACTGTCTTTGTGAAAAACAGCACATTTACATTAATTTGAATATTCAGTCTACAGCAGTTTAGCCCAGCCCATTCACAGTGAAGTTATAAGGAGTGTTTGAGTCTGGACTGTTTTTTGAATGAGGCGCAATCAGAACTCATTTACATATATCAGTCATACATCAGTCTTAAAGGCACAGTCACAAAAGTGGCCTGTTTAATTCTACGGGATAAAGAGAGGTTGGAAAATCGACATTGGAAAAATGAAATATTAACATTTTTTGCACATAAAACCACACAAATGTTAATGTCTTGGGGAAAGAATAATAAAAGAATTTTGCAGCACAAAAGCAAATTAGTGAAATCACAGGATAAGATTAGGATTAGGCTTAGGAAATTCTCACTACATGCGTTTCCTCTTATTTGCTGCAGTAACAGCCTCTACTCTTCAGGGAAGGCTTTATACTACATGTTGGAACATTGCTGGATTTGATTGAGCATTAGTGAGGTCAGGTACTGATGTAGGATGATCAGTTCTGGATCACTCAAACTCACCCCAAAGGTACTGGATGGAGCTCCATCACTCCACAGCCCAATGCTGGGGGGCTTTATATCCCTCTAGCCCACACTTGGCATTGAGTATAGTGACCTTAGGCTCATGTGCAGCTGCTCCAGAGCGTCCCATTCTACTGGTCAATTCTTTTATATGGAGGTTATATTAGCTGCCTTTGTCAGCAGTCAGTGCACCTTAAAGTAGCTGAGTTCACTCATTAGAAGGGCTGTCTGGATATTTTTAGACGTGCAGTGCAGGTACATATACGTATATCTATGTTGTACTCACAGTTTCTATAGGTATCCGTTTCTGCACCTTGAAGTGTTTCTTCGGCTCTAGTCTGTAGATGTGTTTATCTGTGATGAGTAGAGCTCTGTCCTTTGTGTTGTTGAACCAGTTCAGCTACAGAGAGAGAGAGAGAGAGAGAGAGAGAGAGAGAGAGGATGCTGTAAAACCCCTTTATGTTGATATTTGTTCTTCTCACTCTTTCTACACTGCTGCATTTCTATAATTCATTCTAATTCTATTCTGCTCTTCTTACATATTTCTAACTAAATCTTTCGTAATTGAAACAGAGAGTTTTTAAATCTCTACGTTTGATCATGTCATTTGATAACTTCATCATGAGGCTTTGCTAGTATTGTAACCATATTAGTATAAAAATGTTAATATATTAAACATAATAAAGCCTACAATTCAAAAGATCTGAGAGAAAGAGCAAGAGAGAAAACGAGAAACAGGAGGCGTGAGGTAAAGACAGAGAGGAAGAGTGAGAGACAGTGAGGATGAGAGAGAGAGAAAGAGAGCGAGCGAGAGAGAGAGGGAGTGACAGAGACAGAGGGAGAGGGAGAGAAGTGCTGAAAGTCACAGGACCTGCAGGTGTTACTCAGAACACTCAGAGGGAAGTTGTAAATTGCAAAATAAAAGTGTGAATAATAGTTTTACTGATGAAGGAATAAAAAATATTTAAATATTTAAAGCATTGTATATATATATATATATATATATATATATGATGGTGGACATAGATACTTCTTCACCAGTTTCTTTGTTGAACCTTTTGGACCAATGTTTTTCAGCGTTAATTTATGCCTCCATCCTGAATGATTCAGTGTCTTTGTGTTCCTTTTTTTACATTTGCAGTTACAGTTGTTTGTACAGACACTTGTGGTTCCTTCAGTTGTTAGGAAATTGCTACAAAGGAGAAACTGAACTTGTGGAGATCCACAATTTTTGTTCTGAGGTCTTGGCTGAGTTGCTTGATTTTCCCAAATTATCATGGGCAAAAAGGCACTGTCTCTAAGGTGGGCCCTTAAATAGGACAACTAAATACAGCTGCACTCCTAATTATGACAGCTGGCCAGTTGGATAAAGGTTTAAAAAGTAATCAAATTCTGGAATCTTGAGTACAACAGTAAACTTGTTCTTAAGCTTTTGACCCACTGGAAATGTGCTATTGGGAATTAAAGACTAAATAAATCTGACTCTAATCGATTGTTTTAAAATGACTTCTGATGTAAACACAGTAGATACCTGACTTGCCAAAAGAAATGTATTTAAGTGACCCTTATTAGTCCCACAATGGGGAAATTTCACCTCCCCAAGTTGGCAAGTCGTGGGCTAGAGGTTAAGGAACCAGACTTGTGACCGGAAGGTCACCGCTTCGATGAGCTGAGTTTGATATAAGTCTTAAAGGCACAGTAACAAAAATAGCCTGTTTAATGGATGCAGTGAGTTTGATGGAAAGCCTGTTTAAGGGAAAAAGAGGTTGGAAAAATGGTAATGTAAAAATTAATTATGACTATTTTTGGTACATAAATGTTATGTGGACCTTTAAAAGGAAAATGTAGGTTATGTAACACAGAGAGAGAGAGAGAGAGAGAGAGAGAGAGTGAGAGAGAGAAAGAGAGAGAGTTTGGTACAGAATTAGTGAAAGAGGGAAAGAGAGAAAGTGCACGAGTGAGAGAGAAAGGGTGAGGAAGAGAGAGACAGCGTGAAAGTACAACACACAAAGAACACAAAAGGACAGAGAGAAAGTGAGAAAGTGATAGAGAGTGAAGTCTGTACATTTGCAAAATGAGTTATCTTGGTGAGAGAGAGAGAGAGAGAGAGAGAGAGAGAGAGAGAGAGGGACAGAGAGAGCTTTTCTACCATTCTGACGAATCCAGAGAAGAGGACCTGACTGTACTGGTCTTTGTTCTTCAGCTCTTTGGTGATTCGCACAAAATTGGAGCTGGTTAAAGGACAGTCTCTGGCCTGCAAACAAAAACAAATACAGTGCACTTACATACTGTACTGTTCAACACTCTGAGATCTTCCTTGATTTATTTAATTTCCAGTAAAAACAATCGTTATGTACATATTAATATTCAATATAAGATAATCCATAAACAAGGAAGGCAAAAGAAAATAAGTGAGAAAACAGTGTTTCCAAAACTGGAGTTCAAAAACGGATTAAGCTACACAGAAAATGGGGCGCCTAACCACCACCTGGAAGACCTGATAGTAACCAGGCCCTTTGGTGACGTGTACAATACAGCGCAATAGTCTATTTAATTTCCAGGCGGAGCGGCATTCAAGGCAAGTTATTCATTTTTAGGAGATATTTCTGTTATCGTCTAGTTCTAAGATAACACACTTGCACAAGGAAGAAGAAAGTCAAAGAAAAACAGGAGTTTCCAGAACTGGAGTTCAAAAACTGATTAAAAGCTACAGAGAAAATATGCCTCCTAACAACCACCTGGAAGACCTGTTAGACACCAGAACTGCCCCCATCAGATAAACAGCACTTAAAGCTTTCATCTTGGAGAGAGAGGAGAAAATCAAGCTGCTTCAGATCTGAAAACATCCACAGGTGTTTCTGTCCATCCTTCCACTGTGAGAAGACGACTCAGCGCTGTGGGTCTGAAAGGATGTGTAGCTGTCAAGAAGAACCTCACTGAGAAAAGGAGACGGACACACCAAACAAAGAAGCTGAACGATGGACTGACCACCCCAGAGTCCAGACCTCAACACCACTGAATGTGTTTGATTACTTCAGAAAATGATCAACCAGCTTCTAAGACTGAACTTTGGAGGCGTGTCTGCAGATTCTTTGAGGGACTGAAAGTGAGTCTCCTGTAAAGAATGGAACCTGTAATGAAGATATACATACACACATGTATGTATGTATATATATATATATATTGTTGTTGTTTTGTTGTTCCTCAAACTGGTTCAGAGCCCTGTTTAATATCGCTGTTTACCCCTTTTAAGCGTAGTTATTATTACTATTAATTAGGTTGTCAAACAATTCAAATCATTAGTTGTGATTAATCACATCACAATTTAAATATTTTTTTTGCAGTTGGACACAAAGTCGCTGGTCACTTTAAACATTCCACCTTGGCAAATTCCCACCAGGAATACATGGTATGATTTTAGCCCATTTTTAAACACACACACAATCACAACCACCTCCTCAATATGGGTGGACACACGTAGGCTAACAAAACAGAGGCGAAAAAGTCAACATTTTCTACTAAAGTCTGTCTATGCCAACTTTACTCTGTTTGACTGAATAGAACTGTGAGATATAAACGTGAATACTTTTTTTTGTACACATTGTCCTACTGCACTGCCTGGTTTAGCTTCAGTGCACAGTGTTAGCATCGCTGTTCAGTTCCTCGGCACGGACTGAGCATTTTCGTACAGTGTGAGTATATAAATCATAAACATTGTCTGTACGATGGTATTACTGCACTACAGAGACTGTTGTTGAAAGAGACAGGTAAGGATCAAAATTATGAAATGTACTTTACTGACAGATGTACAGAAACGCTTTTCTGACAAAAACCGCTCATCTCCAGCAGCGCTACTCGATCAATGATAACTAATGTAGCATAGCTAGCTAATGCATATCATTTGAAATCAGCTAGATTTGAAAACTTTGAACAAACTGTTAAGGTATATTGCACTTATTCATGCCAACAACTACTTAATTCTACATAGCTTACTCAGTATAGTATTGTATTTGGTATTGGGGAGTGCTAAAAATTATGTACACGTGCTCGTTCTGAAAAAAAAAAAAATCAATGCATCCCTAGTATAAATCAGAAATATCATACATACAGTCAAGGATTCATCTCCTCTGTGATTGTAGCTTCTCTCTTTTGTTAGTCTGCTGCTTGTTGATGTTTTTTTCTTTGTGCAAATATATTTTCATTCATTTCAAATCATAAAAATATCTCCACTTCTATTTATAAACTCAAATTTGGTATGGATTGAAAGATCTGAACATTCTCCGCTAGTTTCAATGAGCTACAAGCCAGAAATAATTAAAGGAAATGTAAGAAGAGGCGTTTCAAAGCGGATATGCCATGGGGGAGGATTAAAGAATGTGGCTTTACTGCAACATGAATATGCATGGTGCATGTGTTTAACTCGCTATATGAACATCTGACTCACTGAGGGCACCTGACAGCTTCAAAGCAGCCCTGATTCATCTGTCTCGATCAGCGTAACCTGCGGTGACAGGAGGGAGGAAATATTTCACATTACGAAAGCTTCCTGCATAGAAGAAAGTAAAAAATAAGTTCCTCAGCAGGGAATGAACTCAACTAGGACATTTTTTTTGCACATTTTAGTGATTTTACTGAGCACTAAATGAGAACAGAAACAGATTACAGTTCTGTAAACTTACTATTAGAGCCTGAATGAGCTCAGGATTTAAAGCCAGCCAGATTACTAAGCTAAAAAAAAGTAAGTACATTGAAAAGCATCACCTGTGTTGAGTAATATATATGAAGTAAATGCATTATTTCTCAGCAGGGCTGTGTGGCACCGAGTTCAAAAATGCATCTGACTACGCTAATGAACCAGGAATGTAGCTACTGTTTAAAACGCTACACACAACCGTGTCTAAAACTGCTGCTGAAGGTGTGAAGCGCATCCTCAAGGACGCTCTTTCAATAGCCCTCTATTCACACTCCTGCAGAGAGAATTAGACAGAGTGAAGAGGCTTTAGACTGAAATTCAATAAGGTGCTGCTTTAGCTGCCTCGCGCACAGCCAGCAACGTCAGTGGCATAAGATGAAACAAAACAATCCAGCCGTTAAAATGAGTGATAACACGAGACCAGGAGCTAAAACACAGGCCCAACGGAGTTTACGTTTCAGCCGCACTTTTCAAAACAGCATGACGCAGGAAGAAGGTCGAGGTGTTTTTCACATGAAGCCCTTCATAAATACAGTAGGAGTCAAAAGTTTGGGCACCGCAGACTGAATGTGTTCTGTTTTCAACCGTAAAGACGTTTTCATCTAAAGCATTATGGCTTAAATTCTTTTAATTAGCTTATTAGGCGAATATAAATAGTAAAATTAATGTCTATTAAAAGAAATGGCTCTTTCCAGATCAGCTGACTGAGCTCAGGCTCCCAAAACAGCTCTTCACTTACAGTTATTTATCCAAAATTAGGTAAACATTTTAAAAATGTGGATATTCGAATAGCAAAAAATTTTTCAAACAAATGTCCCTACTATGAATAGACGTGTCCAAACCTCTGAATGGTACTGTAGGTCAGAGATCTTAGAGCTAAGTGGCAAACTGGGACTAGAGGCGTTTTTTACTGAACGCACTGATGTACCCCAACATCCACCTAATCTAGACTAATCTAGACCCTTTCCTACATCAACCATAGACTGACCATGCATCCCTTACCATCACTGCACATCTGCACTTTAAATTGTTTAACTACATAAATGCTGCTATAAGACCTCAATCTTTCTGTACAGTTTGTAAGCTCCCTGGACAAAAAAATTGTCACCTTACATGTTTAAGGTGGTAGTAAATTCAGGCTCCTGCAGATGGTGCTGCACAAGGGTGATCAGGCTATAAATACCTGCGAGGTGTGTGACAGGATTCATGGATTGAGAAAAGGTGGTACAGTGCAGTGAATGTCTCATTCGATGTGTGAAATATGGGTCACAAAGCAGATGTTAATGATTGGCAAGAAGGAGTGATTGCATTTGGGCAGCCAAAGCCACAGTGTGAGGGAAGTAGCTGAATTTGCAGATGTATCGAAGCATACGGGTCAAAGCATACGGGTCAACCAGCAGTGGCAAAAACCCTAGTCTACAGGAAATTCTCATCAGAATTGTTCTTGAAAGACGAAACTGACGGACAGGGATCGTCAGCTTGTTTCACAGCTTGTGAATTAAAGTCGATTCGCTTCCAGGCAAGAATTGCTTCAAGAAGACAATGCAGGTTCTTCACAACCAATTTCTGAAAGAACGCTCCACGGTGAACTGCATACCATGAACATATGGAGCAGCGCTGCATGCGAGAGGCCTTTGCTCACTTCTGCTCACAAAGTTGCCCGGTTACAGTGGACGAAGACACAGAAACTGGACTGTTCATGACTGGAAACGCGTTATCTGGTCAGAAGAATCTTGTTTCTGCCTGTATGTGAATGATGCTCAGCGTCGTGTTCATCGTAGAACTCAGGAAGCCTTCAATAAGGACTGCAAGCAATGTGGTTCAAGCTATAGGAGCTCTGTGATATTCTGGGGGTGCTTTAATTACGCGGAAATGGGTTCTTTGGTTGAGGTGACAGTAAATTCGAACCACAGTGCCTACATTGAGCTGCTGGACAACCAGGTTTTGCCCTTTGCTCATCATCTTACCGAGGAACATAACATTCCTATCGCTGTGTGAAATTAATGTCTATTAAAACTTTTAGGATGTTTTGATTTCTGTGGAAAAGCTGTCTACAAGTTGCATAATATTGCAATCTGTGATCACTAAAGTCTAACAGAACACAACAGAATGATGGCTGGCCAGAGGTTTTACGAATGGCCTCTATTTAGAATTTAGAAGATTTCTACCAGATTTTCTTTTGGACTTAAATTTAGGACAACAAACTTACTTTTTATTACACACTTCTGTAACCTAAGAAAAGCTCAACCAGTTTGCACTGAAGTCCCTATAGCTACTAAATAATAACCCTTAGTATGTAATAAGCCTGAGATTTTAAGGGGTTAAGACAACTAATCCAAAAGTAATCAGATTGCATTACTTTTATACGGTAATCCCTTGCATTGAGTTCCAGATTATAATTTTTTAAAGGTAAACAGTAATCTGTACCTGCCTGAATACATTTTTAAAGTAACCGTCCCAACACCTGGAGGCTTGTAACAGACATTAACATACATTCAAGCATGTATCAGTTTTACAGTGAGTCCTTTAGTAAAGAGTCCTGACACAGAGCTGCCGCCGCTGTTTTCCATTCCTAACAACCACCCGAAATTTGATTAGACTATGGCTTGTATTAAAAGTCAGTGATTTTCACTGAAAACTAGTCCCACTGTAAATTAAAACATGTTTAGTTGATTCCTCTGTCAGTTCCTTATTATGCTGATAGTTAATCTAAAGGCCTAATGACTGTGTATACCTAGATACCACAGATAAAACAATTCTGATTGGCTAATTTCCTTTTGGGTGTTTAAAGATTATATCCCTTTTATTTCCAACCAAAATGTAATTATGTAATAATGTATTAATAGCAAATTAATATAGTAATGTAGTAATGCATTACTGCAATACTTGCTAAGTTTAAATACAATACGCATGATGATTTTATTAAATAGAAATTCACCACAAATAACAGTTTCTGGGAATCAGCAGGGCTTCTCTGATGGTCCCCCACTGTCATAGCTACCCAACTATCAAATTAAATTGATCTATTCTCACATTTCAGGATGCATGGATGATGCACGGGAGTGTCTGAAGTTAAGAGAATAAAGAGTTTACAGAAGCTGATGTTAAGCAGGAGACAGTGACCAGGCTCAGCTGTGTGTCATTAAGGAGCTTCCTGGCTACAGCTGTGGCTCCTAACAACTAGATCTGAGTCAGCTGCCCTAAACAAGCCCCTTTATACACTCAACTACACACTGTCATTGGATCAATTCCAGTAATGAGTCGTGGATAAGATCCATTAACCCACTGACCCGGTCACCACCAGTCATGTGGACAACAACACTGGTCTTTTTCCTGGTTAAATGAGTTTAGTTAACTCAAAAAAAGTTGCTGTATGCAGCTACCCTACTGCAGTGTTACTCTATGCGCCATAGCTGGTTAGAATTTTCACCTCACATAAAATATGATCTGTACAGGCTCCTATTTTCTGTACCTGTAGTCTGCAAGTTTCTCAGAGAGTAGTTTCACAGAACTAACAGAGCTGGGAAAATAGGCCACAGTGTCCTGAAGGCAGCTGCACCAGTAGAGAGTTTGTGCAGAAGCACCACTGCATCTGCAGGGTTATGACTGAATGTGGACGGAGGGTTTAGTAACCACACAGGTCAGACTTACGGCCAACTTAAGAGAGTTAAGGGTTTTGTCACTCAACGTAGCCAAGAATGGTCTACTTTGGCAACATGGTTTCTTAATTACTGTTATAGGGAACAGTGCTAGATAATTACTATTCCTTATGGAAAATCAACAGCGCTATGTATCACTAATCACTATTACAGGGAACACTACTAAAAGGAACTAAAATGGTCGTTAATCACTATTACAGGGAACAGAAATGGTCCCTAATCACTATTACAGGGAACAGAAATGGTCCCTAATCACTATTACAGGGAACAGAAATGGTCCCTAATCACTATTTTACAGGGAACACTACTATAAGGAGCAGAAATGGCCAATAATCACTACTACAGGGAACAGAAATGGTCCCTAATCACTATTACAGGGAACACTACTATAAGGAACAGAAATGGTCAATAATCACTATTACAGGGAACAGAAATGGTCCCTAATCACTATAACAGCGAACACTATTATAAGGAATAGAAATGGTCCCTAACCACTTCTCTATAGTAGAAAATTAGGAACACCATGTAGAATACTATTACAGGGAACATAAACGTTCCCTAATCTTTATTATTGGGAACAGAAATGGTGGTGGTATGGGACCATTTCTGTTCCCAATATTATTGGGAATATAAATGGTCCCTAATTACTATTTTTTTGGGGGAAACTATTATAGGGGAACAGAAATAGTCATGAATCACTATCCCCCAAATTAAGAGTACTATACTGAACTTTATTATAGGGCACTGGAAGGGTTCCTAATCACTCTTTCCCATCAGAGTATCTGAGCGGTGCGGAGTGACGTGATTTTCGCTTTTGCTTTACTTTTCAGTAAGTCGGAGCAACTGTGTTCTCTCTTGCTCTGAAATCACTCCAGTATCGCTACATCCTGCAAGTCAGACAGTCCTTTTTTCCCCACTGACTCCACTCTGCTCACATGCTCTGTAGCCCATTTCCTGTAAAACTGGGAGCCCATATAGATACTATAATAAGGAAGATAATTAGTGATTAATGTACGCTAATGTTATATGAGTTCGCTCATCACTCTGCCACAGTAGAGACATTCTACTGCATAAACAGAGCATTATGGCTGCTCGGGTGGTTCGCTGTCGTGTGCACTCTGGGGAGTGCTCTGGACTTTCTGCTATTATTTCAGATGGCAGGAAAAAATGGCACAGTCTCAAAATAGTGTGCTATATAGTGCATAGGGTGTTTGCACAAAGTGCTGATACACTCACGTTGGCCAGGTAGTCTCTCTCCCAGGCCCGGTTAAAGCCCCAGTCCACTCTCTCTCCACTCAGAGCTCCCAGAGCCGCAACCTTCGCTCTGACCTCCGCCATGTCTGAGGGAGGAATGTTCTTGACGATCTGCCTCGCCCTCCACCTAGAGAGAGAGAGAGAGAAAAAGAGAGAGAGAGAGAGAGAGAGAGAGAGAAAAGAGAGAGAGAGAGAGAGAGAGAGAGAGAGAGAGAGAGAGAGAGAGAAAAAGAGAGAGAGATAGAGAGAGGGAGAATGAGAAAATTTTAGAGTCCAGTGGCTGGTTGCTGTGCGTAAGTTCAAATGTTGGCTGGTTGTAACGTAAGTGTTTACTAAGTTCAGGTTTATGCAACACTAAATCAAAACAAGCTGCACCACACAAACTAGTTTTAATGTTGAGCTTAGTAGATATTAAATATTGTTATCTCCCCCTGAGAAGGCGGAAGTGTTGGGGAAACCATCAGAAACCACATAGAAAGACCAAAAAGACCAAAAACATGACTTTCTAAGCGCTGTACGCTGTGATTTCACTCACAGCTCTAATCATCGCGCTGGTTTAAACTCTGAGCATGAAGCTAAACACCCACAGCTCCAGCTCAGTGAGACTCAGCAGCCCAAACGGCTAAACTGAGGCTGCTGAGGAGGTCAGGGAACCAGCCTTGTGACCAGAAGCTGATCGGTTCGATACCCAGAGCCAACAGTACGTGACTGAAGTGCCCCTGACCAAGGCACCTAACCCCCAACTGCTCCCTGGGCACTGTGAATAGGGCTGCCCACCGCTCCAGGCAAGTGAGCTCACTGCCCCCTAGTGTGTGTGTTCACTAGCGTGTACATGGTGTTTTTACTGCATGGTTGGGTCAAAATGCAGAGGTGAAATTTCCCCGTTGTGGGACTAATAAGGGTCACTTAACTTAAGGGCAGCTGCTGTCGCGTTTCCATGGCAGCAGGTTTACTGATTAGTACCGAGCAGGTTATCGTCATGTTAAAGCGACGAACGCATTAGTTAGTTGTTACTAGTTAAGACACAACTTACGGATTTGTGGTCCAACCAAATTTAGTATAAAGGATAGTCTGGAACTAACTAGTGTAACTAAAGACTCAGTAAAGACTTTAAGCCCACTTAAGTATAAACTTATGCAAACCTGGTGCAACTCAGTCCAGGTGAACAGGGAGCAGCATGCATGGTAATGCTCCAGTGAGTGAGTACATTTAAGGATAAAGCAGTTATGCTAATGTCCTGTAGACTGAACTGGCCCTTGGCTTTGTACCTGCGGTGGAGGTGCTGTGTGATTTTGTGGAACTGCATTAGAGCAGCAGGAGGAGTCGGCCACTCCACGCTTTTCCCATAGTCGGACATGTTCCTGACGTTAGCGAAGCGTCTCTCCACCTCCCAGAAATGAGCCTTCACTTTATAGCGCTTGTAGCAGCCCATGATTTTGTAAATCGCCCGCATCTGTCTGCACCGCATCCGCGCCAAAGCACCGCGCCACACCTGCAGAGAGAGAGAGGGAGAGGATGGAGTGATGAAGACACTCAGAAAAGGGCAGATCATTAATTCGGTTCATCTGACCAGGCTTTAGTACTGGATTAAATTAGTACAAGATAAAAGAAGAGTGGGTGATATGGCAAAAATATAACATCACCATGCATTTAAATTCCTCTACAGTTATTACTGCCAGACTGTAAAAACTACACACACTGCAGATTCATGCTGGATTAAAATCACTCCACAATTATTACCGTCAGACTGTAAAACTACACACTGCAGATTCATACTGGATTAAAATCGCTCCACAATTATTACCGTCAGACCGTAAAACTACACACTGCAGATTCATACTGGATTAAAATCGCTCCACAATTATTACCGTCAGACCGTAAAACTACACACACTGCAGATTCATACTGGATTAAAATCGCTCCACAATTATTACCGTCAGACCGTAAAACTACACACACTGCAGATTCATACTGGATTAAAATCTTTGAGTATTTCTTCACTCCAGTAGTGATTTAGTGTAAAGTTGTCTCAGTAGATAAGTAATAAGTAAGTCTATAAAATGAGGCCTCACTGTGAAGCAAAGCAGCAAAGGAGAAAAGAAAGAAGGGACTTTCTAAGAGTGGAAATGAAAGATGAAGGTGCACTAGTCAGAGAAAGGGGGAGGGATAAAAATAAAGATGGCTGGAGGGGAGAATCTAGAGCAAGAAAGAGGATGAGAGAAAGGGAAAAAGAGGGAGATAGAGAGAGACAGAGAAAGACAGAGACCCTATAACTAGCACATTCACTGAAAAAGTAAATAAAAGGTGTATTTTAGTGATTTTAAGCAAGTCTTTTTGTTCTGTTCAGCATATTAGTGGTGGTGTCCGAGGGGGGTGGTTTAAAGTGAATTTACACAACCAGTCTAAAGTTTGGACACATCTACTCATTGTTTTGCAATTTAAAGTAATAAACATGACACAATTCTGAAATTGTTCATGCAGAATTACTCCACTCAGAAACATTGACCTTGATGATAAAATGATCACAGGTAGATAATGATTATGATTTTATTTAGATCATCATTGTCATATGTGCCTTAGAAACAGCTTTCAAATCTTCAAGCCCCATGTGTCAAACACAAGGCCTGTGGACCAAGTCAGACGCGTGACACAGTCCTATTTGGCCTATTTGGATTCTTAGTAGCCCGTTTCACCCTGAGATGCACTACAGTCCCCAGCATGCACAGCAACACAGTGTGTGCTCTGACCCCCAGCAAATAGACAGTTTTAAAAAAATACATAAAACAATTTGTTTTTATTTAGAATTATTTATTTTATTATAGTGAATTATTATTTTTGAATAAGTATTCAATGCCTATTTCAAAAATGTGGAGGTGCTGTGTCCTTCACTCTGTTCTCCTACATGGCCTGCTGTTAGTATGTGTGTCTGTGTGTGTGTGAGGGTGGGGACAGGCTGCTGACTGGCTACAGCTGCTAAAGGAGAACTCTACGCTGGACACTCACGATATTTTAAACATCTGGTATTTTTACGTAAACTGTTATGGCTGTATTGATTTAATAAAACAATAATGTGGTGGGTCCACCAGACCACTGAGTAACAAACACATTAACACCACACAAGAGGTAATACAGCCCTTTTAGTGGTTGAGTTTGACACCCCTGCTTTAAGCAATAAGTCTTTAGCTCAAATTATCTTTACAATTTTGAAAAAAAACATGCATTTTAGAGTGTCCGAACTTTGACTAGCAGTGTTTATACAGTATTTAAACAATGGATGCAGCATCATCATCTGAAGGGAAAGAGAGTCCGTTCAGAATAAAGCAGACAAGATACAAAGTCTGTTTGGACACAAAGCACAACCAAACTACAGCAATTAGGAGTATAAAAAGAGAATATTTTACAGGAGAGACCCAAAACAGAAACAGACCCTGACTGTGGTCAGAAACTGTCCAATCATGAATCAGGTAGAGGGAAATAATAAACTGGACTAGTCAGTATGTGGTGATATTAATAAAGTGCACTAGAGAGAGAGAGAGAGAGAGAGAGAGAGAGAGAGAGAGAGAGAGAGCAGAAAAACAGTGAAAAAGAGAGAGGAGAGAAACTGCGAGAGAGAGAGAGAATGCAGATAAACAGAGAGAGAGAGATAGATAGAGAGAGGAGAGAGTCAGAGAGATAGCAGAGAAACTGCAAGAGAGTGAGAAAGAATGCAGATAAACAGAGAAAGTGAAGAGAGAGAGAGAAAGCAGAGAAAGAGAGAGAGAGAAATTTAAGAAACAGAGAGAAAAAGAACGAAAGAGAGAGAGTGAAAGAGAAAGAGAAAAAAGAGCAAAGAAGAGAAAAGAGAAATGAAATAAGGAGAAAGAAAGAATGAAAGAAGACAATGAGAGAAAAACAAAGACAGTAAAGGGGGAGAAAACAAAGGAAGAGAAAGAAGAGAAAGCAAGAAGAAGAAAGGAGAAAGTAAAGAAAGAGGAGTGACAGAGAAACTGAGAGAGAGAGAGAAATAGAGGATGAGGCTCAGAATCAGTGACCGAGCATGTATCGGGCTGTCAGACTGGACGGACGGACGGACAGTCAGCGGCTGGCGTTTCTGAAGTCGGTCCTCTGCTCTGCAGTGCCGCCTGTGTCTTTGTGAGTTTGGACTAAAGTCATGCTCCACTTTAGGCCGGCTGTGTTAAGTGGGTCAGAGCTGAAAGCAGGGCAGCTCACACTGCGGATGAATAATTGAGCGTAATGTAATAATAATCAGCCAATCACACTCATTGAAATGAAGCTATCATCAACCACACTCTGTTCAGCCTCCGCACCGGAATGAAACCATCAATCAGGACCGCAGCTGTGGATACGCTCAGGGAATCCTCAGATTTCCTCAAACAACGATGCCTACAGTATAGCTGACCTTTCAACATGTCTTTTAACCCCTTAAACTCTAATGCTTTACATGTGGGTCCACAGTTCAGTTCCTCACTCTCATAACTACAAAGCTCACACATTAGTGTCATAGTACATTCTACATAATTCATATAATTCATACTGAATAATACACAGTAGGTATAGAATAGTAGATACTGAATAATTCAGAGTAGATACTGAATAATTCATAGTAGATACTGAATAATTCATAGTAAATACTGAAAAATTCAGAGTACATGCGGAGTAATTCAGAGTAGATACTGAATAATTCATAGTAGATACTGAATAATTCATAGTAAATACTGAAGAATTCAGAGTACATACAGAGTAATTCAGGGTAGATACTGAATAATTTATAGTAGATGTGGAATAATTCATAGTAGATACTGAATAATTCATAGTAGATACTGAATAATTCAGAGTAGATATGGAATAATTCATAGTAGATACAGAATAATTCACAGTAGATACTGAATACTTTATAGTGGGTACTAAATAATTCCTAGTAAGTACTGAATAATTCACAGTAGATACTGAATACTTTATAGTGGATACTGAATAAATCATAATTCCTAATTCAAAATTATTTATCAAATAGCAAATAATTCATAGCATTTACTGAATAACACATAGCAGACAATGAATACTGAATACGTAATAAGTGGTTACTGAAAAGCTCAAATTAGATGCTGAAGATGCTCTTAATTGAATCATTGGGCACAGAGCGGAACTCTCTGGGGGGGGGGGTTCACCCACCAAAAAACACTACCTAAAAAGGGTGAACTCTTCAGACACGCTAATTAAGCTGAAAAGTACACGATTAACAACAACCAACACATTCACACATCTCAACATCACAAACAACAACATTTAACACATTAAACTTAACTAAGCCACATTGCAGAGAGGCGAAGAGCATCTTAGGAGTCATGTACGTGCTCCTTTTTGTTCTCCCAATTGGCCCAAACCTTAAGTCCAGTGGCGCCGCCACAATAGCTAGTGCACTACCTAGCATACCTGCTATCTGAAAATGCTAGCCAACTGTTTCAAACTGTGTCGTCTCTTTCCTTAAACCACTGCATTTACTGCATTTACCTCGGCAATCTGTCCATCAGACTGAAGGTTTGTCTTTGATGAAAGGCTTGTTATTTGATTCGTATTGAACCTGACGCCACTGTGAGCTGCAGGTGAACAGCATGTAATGGTGATCTGCACATAATTGTAGCAAAACTGACACGCAAAGTCACGTGCAAGGATATAAACAGAGGGATTTATTCATTTACCGCATTGAGGTTGGCAGACTGAATCAGCTCAATTTCACAATTTTAAAAATTTCGACTCTGATTCGCAAGTCATTTCTGAGTGAGTCAGAGTCACTGACTCAAGTCCCAGACTCTGGTTGCTACTGTTGCTAGATTGGACAAGCTACATAACACTAGCAACATTCCCATTGAATCTATTGAGAAATCAAAGCACACAATGTTGAGTTTCCAGTTTAAAATGCTACATTGAAGCTAACGTTGAAGCTAACCTAAACTAGACAGGTTGTAAATGTCTATGGATTAGCCACCGTGCTAACGTTAGCTTGATTACATAACAAAAAAAATGACACTATCACATACATACAAAATAAATATCATTTGATTGGCCTGTAAAGCTTGTCCAACCTACAAGTAGCTATGAAATAATGCACTCATTGGCTGAGCTGGTCAACTTATAGTAGTTATTGGGTAATTTACAGTGGTTAATGAATAATATGTCTTAAGATTAATAGCTCTGCAGTTTAATAAGTCTCTGCAGATTACTAAGTCTGCAGTTTAACTAAAAAGTTGGACAATTTGGTCAGTAGAGGTTGCTGAAATGGGTTCAGGAGGTCCAGCAGAAACAAGCAAAGGCCCTGAAAAAGTAGCATAATTACATACAGTCATCGTCAAAAAACATAGTTGCACCCAGAAGGAATCAACCAACAGGAATGAAACTTGGTGGGTAGGTTTGACATTGTGAGACATGCGAATGATTTAAGGTTCACGCTCGGCCGTGCATGTGGCGTGGCGTAAGCAAGGACGGCCTTATCGCTGTACCTGACTGACTATATAGGTTTGTCCCGTTGCGCGTTTTCCTTTCTGACTCGATAGTGTTGGTAGCATCCGACAGCGTCTGCCTCGAAGAACAGTTCGAAAGCAATTCGAGCAGTTGGAAGAGTTCAAGAGGGGTCGCATCGTACGGCCCCGAGAAGCGGGATGGTCTTATCAACGTATTGTGGGCCATACCGGTTCATGCGGATATTACCATAACACGGTTGGTGGCAGTGGCGAGAAGAAGGATGCACCAGCGACATGAAGGATCTGGGAGACCTACACAAACCAACGGATTGTCCGACACGCATGGAGTGACCCACCAGCCATTCAGCATGCAGTGATGCCCTCCCTGAGTCATCCTCTTAGTGCCAGCACCATTGGCAGACGGCTGCACGACGCAGGACTACATGCATGCAGACCGGTGGTCTTTGGTGTTCATTACAGGCACTTTGACATCCTAAAGTTACGTCCTGCAACCAGTGGCCCTACCTTTTCCGAGCGCATGCATTATTCCAACAGGACGATGTTCGTCTGCAAACTGCTGCCGTCTCAAGAGCTTGTCTTGAAGACATAGAGACTATGCCATGGCCAGTCGCATTGCCAGACCCATCCCAGATTAAAAATGTGTGGAATGCTACTGGACGTGCTATCAACACATGACCCCTACTGCAAAATCTGCAGGAACTGCGTGAGAATATTCAGGCTGCATGGGATGGATTATCACAGAATCATTTATTGTTCCTGGTAACCTTTATCTTCCTTCCGAATAGCATTGCAATCCGACACTTCCTTCTGGGTGCAACTATGTTTTTTGCCGATGAGCGTATAAGTACCCTCAGATCTACTTCTGAAGACACAAAGTGAATGTAAATCAGCCAGGCTTGATTTAGGGAGGGCACCCAGAGAGAACCAACTGACTGAAATGACAAGAAAGCAAGAGACAGAACGAAGAAAAAGGACAGTGACGGCTCCTGAGAGAAATGCCGGAAACCCCCCTGAGGGCAGAAAAACTGGAAATGAGAAAGAATAACATGGAGAGTTAAAGAGAGAGGAAGAGACAGACAGAGGAAAAAAGAGCGTCCGTCACCTTCTGCAGGAAGAGGACGAGGATGGGGATGAGTGCGGCTCTCTCCTGCTCCAGAGTGAACAGCGAGCGCGGCGTTCGCACAAACAGCTTCGTGTGTCCGTATGCTACGTCCCCCTCAAAGCCGTGCTGGACAACGATGGCCTCCACGGCCTCTCGGTCACTGCTCATCAGGTGATTGGGCCAGGTGTACTCACACGTCATCTTGTACCTGTACGAGGGAGACGGCGAAAGGAAGGATAACCAAAAGTACTGTGGCTAATTCAGGGCATGCTAATCTTGCAAAGCTAACTAACAGCAGCAGAAGAAAAAACAGCCTGCATTTTCCGGAATAGTTTGGCAGGAATTCAATTTTAGACCATTTTCCTTTCAGTCCACAAGTAGTCAATCAGTGAAAATGTTCAGCATCTGAAGTTTCTTATTTAGTTTTTTTCAGTGGAGCTATGAGGCTAATAGAGCTAACAACAAGAGGAGCTTACAAGAACTCCCTCCATTTTTATACACAGGTAAATCCATGCAAAACCAACAATGATCTCCAAACTACATTGGTGTCAGCATTTGGTAATCAGTGTCAGGTGACAAACTGATATTTCAAAAGTAATCATTTATAAGAACTTGCCCCATTTTCCATAACAATAATTATTTAAAAAAGGTCAGTTCACTTGTACAGAAGCATTTACATGGTTTGTCCATAATAACAAGTTATTTACATTTGTTTTCTCGAGATCTCGTGATATTTGTCATTATCATGACAAAGCAAATGTTTGCTTGCGATCTTGAATTGTTTATATCATCACCACAAAACGAACATTGTTTGATCGAGATAACAATATCAAGATATTGTTATGTCATGATAATGCCATAAATATGATCTCAAGAAAATAACACTCATTGTGCAGTGATGATACAAATAAACTGAAATCTTGATAAAACAAAGGGCTTCCATAGAAAGGACAGTAAAAAATCTGTTTCTGGTAGCAGTTAATTTTGCTTTGTGCCGATTTCATCCAGAACTTTAACACCATTAATGTAAATCTCAAAATTGTTCATGTTCCTAAAATAAAGTGCGTTTCACAAAATTCTGGAGCGAAACGCAGCATCATCGCAGTAACAGTCCAGACTGGACTCATTTGTGTATTTGGGTTACACTACCCAGCATTACTAACCAATACAGCCCAGGGTTATTATGTGGAATTTTAGTTTTTAGTTTAGTTTTTTCTTTTTATTTAGTTTTTCATCTTGGTTTCTGATTCAGTTCCATTTCAGTTAGTTTTAAGGGTGCTTTAATAGTTTTAGTTTAGTTTTTATTTCAGTTTTAGTTTTTAGCATTATGATGAATCTGATAAGTGTAGAATAAAAACAACACAGCAGTCGGCTGAGCTCAGCTCGGCTCCAGCTTTCCTTAAAAACAGCCGAACACAGAAATAATCCACTCCTAACTTTCATTCACACACTGGAAAAAAATTGAACCTAACTTTTTTTTCTCAGCAATTTTATTTCATTTTAGTTAGTTTTGCAGTGGACATTATAGTTTCCATTTAGTCTTTGTGTTTTTCTGAAAACTGTAGTTTTTATTTTTATTACAGTTAACAAGCATATTTTTCACTGCTTGTTTTGATTTTAGTAATAGTTTTAGTTAACCATAATAACTCTGATACATCCACCTCGTTAAACACTAGATACTCATTTAACACTGACATTTAAAAAGCCAAAGGCGGGTTGGCTCGATTTTCATCACCCGTTTCTTCTGAAAACCGGTTGAATTCATTTAGTGTCAGCAGCCACATAATCTATTAGAGTCTATTAGAGGTTACTTATCAACTAACTAACAACAGGATATGAGGCAAGTGTGGGATGATTCAGACAAGCCGTTTGATGCTAACTGGTGTACATGAGCTCCCATTACTTGTTAGCTACATTAGCTTCGTAGCTCCAGTGCAAAACTAAAAAAGCAAACTTCAGACCAAACATGTTTCGGCTGATCGACGACATTAAGGGTGAAAGAGAAAACTTTACTTTATATTTACTTTTTTACTTTTTATTTACTTTTTTTACTGTTTACTTTTTATTTTATTTGAACTCTTTTTTTAGTGCAAAAATGTGGCTATTCCTGATGTTTTATCTGCTCTTCTTCTCCTCTTCTATTTACCAATATAAACTGCACTCCGATAATAAAAGAAGACTCCTGCATCTTTTATGCAGTGATAGGAAACACAGTAGTACACAGAAAGATCCAATTCTATGTGCCAGTTCATGGCCATGAGTGCGCTGTATGTCTTCTGGCTGCAGATTCAAACCAGTTAAGGGAACATCTGCAAATTCTCAAAATGGACTGTTGGCAAGACACTCGGTTCCATAAGGTTGAACAGTTTTGGATCAATTATTAAAAAAGTGAAATCCATCAACGTTAACCCAACTTGATTGAACCCAGATTGTATTCTGGATTGCTTGGTGTGTAAGTGGAGGAGTGTGTGACCTTCTGACCTCTGCAGGAAGCGTTCGTAGGGTTGTCTGTAGGCAAAGCCAGCTCTGCGCACCCGGACGTTCTCCAGCAGGCCTAGGTATGCCACCTGGTGTCTACAGCGTGCGTCATCGAACAGCATGGGGGACTTCACCTCGTTGGGCTTTACACACCGCACATAGTATGGCTCCTGCAAAACACACAGCATGTCATAAAAATAAAACAGAATAATGATAACAATGATCTTTATTTGTGTTTTTTATTCACGATGTGAGTGAATTATCTGCTACTGTCATCATATCTTCATCAGTGTAATGTTGATTTTACATTTGAGACCTAAAAATCGAGCTGGACCTCCTTTCTGAGTTTTTGTGATGTATGACGTGGTCAGAAAAAATGTTTATATTCGACTTAGTAATACTACTTCGTTCAATTTTAACAAAAAATCTTACGTAGTGTAGCTTTATTTACCTTTTTGAGTATATTTACTAAAGTACTTTTTAAATACTAAAGTATTTTTTGAGACTTTGACTTCCACTTGACTACATTTAAAAGTAAAACGTTCTATGTTTCACATCACTACTTTCTAAACAAATGTGCTAGTTACTCTGAAGTGAGAGAAAACTGGATTTTCTAATATAGCAGTAAAAAAAAGAACAAATATATTATATATGTGTATTTTTCCTGATTGATTAAAAATCCCAGTTTTCTGTCACACTTTCAAACTGAAGCAAACTAGTCATAGGACACCTTATTCTAAACACTTCCCCTAAATACCGAGTGAAATATTGAAAATATAACTTGTTACTGTAATGCCATTTTTATCAAATTCTTAGAAAGTTTCTTTTTTTGAGTCTTGGTTCCTCTCAGGGGTTTTTCCTCATGTTCTTAGGGAGTTTTTCTATTGAGTCTTGTCTCAGTGGTTCTTCTTCATGCTTTTAAGCCAGACAGACACTGTGTGATTTTAGAAATCTTGTTCTTTGGTGACTCACACTGTACGTTTGAATCGCCCATCCTATACGGCCAAAGTCTGCGATTTATATACTCACACTGTATGAAAACACTCGGTCCGACTGACATGACGTGACACAGGTGCTCACACTGCACATGAAATGCAGCCCTAATACTGTTTCATTCAAAACAACATGCTGCGCCTCCGAGTCCCGAGCAAAAACATTGGCTGAATCTCAAATCTCCCTGCTCCCTACATAGTGCACCACATATTAAAATTTGTTCCTGCACTCATAAAGTGCATCACATGTTTAATAAACAGCCTTCTGAGATTCAGCCATGTGTGCACAGTTCCATACTGGACAAACAGGGCACTATTTTGGTGTAAAAGCCAGATTCATTGACAAACTGCGACAACAGCTCTGCTAACTTGTGCCACACTGTGTGCTGAAGCTGAAGAGCAGGCGGTCTACAGGCAGCTCTACGAAGACAGAAAAATCACCATATTTATTTATGCCTCGCAATTCAACCCAGTCAAATGGAGCAAAGTCAGCATATACGGACGCTGGTGCCACAAATGTGGACTTGTTTTGCCTCCGTGTAGGACAGGTGGTTGTGACTGTGTGTGGTTTTGGGTGCAACTTTGAGAAATCGGTTCGTGAGGCTACTCAGACTGTGAGACAAGTGTGCAAAATTTCTGACATGTCAGAAATCCATCCGATCGTCCGACTGCTCGATCGGAGATCATTTGGGCAGTTAATCGGGCACTGTTTCTCATACTGCACAGCAAACGACGGCCAACGAAGGTGAAATCAGGCCCGATCATGAGATTCAGTCGGCTCCGACCAAACTGGGCTTAAAAATGGGCTTAAATTGCACAGTGTATGTCTGGCATTAGAGAGTTTCTCCTTTTGAGTCTCGGCTCCTCCTCATGTTCCTCCTCATAGTCTAAGCAAGATTTTCCTGACTGTCTCTCTCAGAGATGCTCATTGGGGGCCACATCCGCACTTCTAGAACATGCTGCTTTTAGATGTTGTAGACAGCGTGATATGAAACTGAAGTGAACTGATGAGTGGAAGAACTCTGTGAACTGTCTGTTACACGGCCTGCGTCACTGGGCTTCCTAGAACAGAGGGGGTTCAACCCGTAATGAGAGCGAACCGTCCCCTCGTTTCACCCAGTGACCTCCCACAGCCTCTCTGCATGTCTCTCTCTCTCTCCATCAGCAGTTTGTTTGGGTGCGTTTGCCTGTCAGAGGAGACCCTGATGCTCTGTCTTTAACCATTGAGCCAGAAAAGCTACACAGAACTCACAATCTCTTAAAACACGCAGAGACAATCAAATATAGATCAGAATAAACTAAAGCACAGCTCCTCTTCAGCACAAAGCTCATGTAATCTGAGAGACAAGCGGTCACTACGGCTACAACAATCACCGCAATGGTCGCATGGTGACTAGTAAGGAAACATTTCTATTCCATTTGTTTTGTTTGTTTCTTTGCTTTTGATTTTGTGATTTCATATTTCAATCTTGCATGCAGATAGGCTTGTGAAACAAAAAATTAAACTAAGTGGCAAAGGGCCTATTTTTTAAAATCAAATTTTTCTGTCTACTCTAGCCTAATTTGTAAACTCTTCAGACTATTTTATGTTCTGTGGCTCCACAGTGTCAGTAAATAATCATATTTTTGTGCATTAAATGTATATTTTTAAGCCTTTAATGATGACGCTTATTAAAATGAGGATATTGAACTGAACTGAACTGAACTGAACTAAATTGAATTGAACTGAATTGATTTTAATTGAATTGAATGGAATTGAACTGAAGTGAATTGAATTGAATTGAATTGAACAGACCTGGACTGAACTGAACTGAACTGAACTGGACTGGATTAAACTGATTTGAACTGAACTGAATTCAAGTGAAGTGAAATGAAATAAAGTGAAATTAATTTAACTGAAATGAACAGAACTGAACTGAATTGAACTAAATTGAATTGAATTGAATTGAACTGAAGTGAATCGAATTAAATTGAATTGAACAGACCTGGACTGAACTGAACTGAACTGGACTGGATTAAACTGATTTGAACCGAACTGAATTCAAGTGAAGTGAAATGAAATAAAGTGAAATTAATTTAACTGAAATGAACAGAACTGAACTGAATTGAACTAAATTGAATTGAATTGAGGTGAACTGAACTGAAGTGAAATTAAGTGAAGTGAAATTAATTTAACGGAACTAAATTGAACTGAAGTGAATTTGAGTTTAAGTGAAGTGAAATGAATTTAACTGAACTGAATTGAATTGAAATGAAGTGAACTGAACCGAATAGAAGTGAACTGAAATAAATGAGAAGTGAAATAAAGTAAACTAAATCAATTTGATATGATTCAATTCAATTCGATGTGGAAGCTGCAGTAGCAACTGAATTGCAACATTCCCAGTGAACACATTTATACAGAGAAAACGAGTGAGAGAGGTGCAGAGAAAGGAAAAAGTGAGAGAGAGAGACAAAGACAGAGTGAGACAGAGAAAGCAAGAGAAGAGGCGGAAATATCAAAGAGACAGAGAGAGAGAGAGAGAAAGAGAGAGAAAAAGAGAGAACAGGGAGAGAGAGAGAGAGAGAGAGAGAGAGAGAGAGAGAGAGAGAGAGAGAGCGGAAAAGTGAACAGGCCGGTCAGATTCAGGACAGGTGTCCCCACAGGACCTGAAAGAGAGCAGGCAGTCCTAAACTGTGACCTAAAAAACATGACACGGCCGGCTGTGTCCCCAGTACACACACACACACACACACACACACTTGCACGTGTAAGTCTGCTGAAACACACACACACAGCTCATCCCACATAACATCAGACATATCACACTCTCAGAGAGAGAGAGAGAGAGAGATAGAGAGTGAGAGAGAGTGAGAGAGAGAGAGAGAGAGAGAGAGAGAGAGAGAGAGAGAGACATAACCCTGCATGAGACAGAGGATCTTTCTCCCTCTCTCTCTCTCTTCAATCTCTTTCCTTGACTTTTCTTTCTTCATCTCTCTGTATATCATATATACATAGGCTATATATATCAATCATCTGTCCGCTTCTCTCTCTCTCTTTTCCTCTTCTCTCCCTCCCTCTCTCTCACTCTTCCCTCTCTCTCTTTCCTCTACACTCCTGCTCTCACACTCTTTTTTTCACTTTTTCTTTCCTCACACTCCCTCCTTCTCTTCTCTCTCTCTCTCCCTCTCTTCTTTCTCCCCTCCGCTCTCTCTCTCTGTCTCTCTCTCTCTCTCTCTCTCTCTCTCTCAAAATAATCAGACTGATCCAATCAGACTCCAACCATTAGAGATTATATTCCTCAGAGCGCTGCTGTAGAGATTACCTGACCCGTCCGGTCTGCAGACATACAGCGCACACGTTCAGATTACTGTCCACACAGAATAAACACAGAGTCTGTACAGTGTCAAAGCACTGAATGTTCTGAATGAGCTGAAAACGCCAGCCCAATCGGCGCAAAAGTGTTTTTATTTTCATATTGAGACTATCGTGATCAGCACAGCATGAAACCACACAGTCTAATGTGTAACCAGTAATGAGTATATATATGTAACCAATAATGTTATATATAAAATATAACAAGCATCTGCAAAACAGTAACTTTACAGGAGAAGGAAAAAACATATTTCTTTTAATGTAAGTCAATGGAACCAGACAGTTTTCCAAGTAATTTTGGGTCATTTCTTTTGTTCAGTTCATCATGAAATTTACATATAATGTAAAGGGCAACAGGCATTTTTCAAATAATCTCAAAAACTTAAAAACATCAGAAATGGAGACACGAACTGAACTGAACTTAATCAATTTGATATGTCAACAGTCCTAGTGAACACATTTATACAGAGAAAAGAGTGAAAGAGGCAGCAAAGCGAGAGAGAGACAAAGACAGACAGTGAGAGAGAGAGAGAGAGAGAGAGAGATTTATATATATATATATATAATCTCAAAACCTTTGCACCATATTTTATGTTTTTCCCCCCAGTATGTTAAATTCAACAAATAAACAGTAATTGTCTACTAAAATGTATAGGAGTGTGTTCTCTGCAGAGGATGTGTGACTCAAACATGAATGTTTTTTTAATCTATAGCTATCATGAGTTCTAGAGCAGGCTAAAAACAAGACCCTTCTGTAAGTAGGGGAATAAATGCATGACTGGTGACGTAAATGTTCCTCATGTGAAAATGATGTCCAGTAAATCCAGAGCTGGAGGCCACACTTTTTCCAGTGAGGGCTACTATGTACAATAGAACTACACTATTTTGGACACAGCTGCAGCTTAGTCTTTGTCTCCAGGACTGCAGATTCCCTCAAGACACCTTCTCCAGCCCATCTGACTTATATTTCCCTCCACACTGGGTGCAAATGAGCTCCAGCACCAGAACTTTAACGCAATGTCCCAGAGATATTATGAGGTCTCTGAGTGAAAATGAAGTGATAATCTGGGTCACCTCTCTAAAGTATGGGGAAAAACAACAGGGGTAAATGTGTGTCTGCTGCATCAGACACTGTCTGTTAGTCAAACTGCTCCGGAGCAGCCTCACATGAGCATAAGGTCACCATGGCTAATGCCAAGTGTGAGCTAGAGGGGTATAAAGCCTCCCAGCATTGGGCTGTGGAGGAGTGGAACTGTGTTCTCCGGAGTGATGGAGCTCCCGTTGGGATGAGTTGGAGCGATCCAAAACATCAGTACCTGACCTCACTAATGCTCTTGTGGCTGAATGCAATCAAATCCTCAGAGCAATGTTCCAACATGTAGTGTATAACCTTCCCAGAAGAGTAGATGAAGCAAAGAAGGACCCTATTAACACCCTTGAAACACTGGATGAGCAGGTGTCTACAAACTTTTGGACACATTATAAAAAGCTACATCTAAAAGCATGGAGAACAATTTCACTGAACACGAGTCAGATTGGTAAGAGTTCGTCTGGTCAGCCCTTACCTTGCAGGCGAGTTTCTCCACGAGGGCAATGATGGAGTTCTTGAAGAGTGTAGCAGCAGTCAGTGGTCGCTTGGTCACCTCTGTGATGCTCAGCTTACCATCAGGCCACATTTCCTTCAGCACCGGGTCCGAACTGCAGAGGAAAATGACAGGCAATGACAAGAGGAGCTCAAAACAGGGTAAAAAAATCAATACAAGTTTCATTAGTAGTGGATACTATTATCTTTAAAAATGGACAATCATCAGATTAGGCTTCAAAATATCAAGCCTGTTTGTAGATATGAAATGCAGGGGGCACAACCTGACACACTTTGTTGATTGATGAATAATGTTAGAACTATTTGAGCAAGATTTATATTTCTATGCACTGTAAAAAATCCAACTCACATTGACCTATGTAGCATGTTTTGTTAGATAAATTAGGAATTTGAAAAAATATTGGTTGAAAATATCAATTTTAGTGAGTCCAAAACCAACTGCTTTAGTACCAGAAACACAAAAAAATGTAGTCAGAACAACTCAAAGTTAGAAACACTTAAATTTGCCCCCGACCAAATTTTTTTTCAACATAATTTTTGCCTTAACCATTTGAGCACTTGTCCAAAGACCAGTGATGCCATAGTTGGCCTCAACTGAGAGCTCAGAAAATGTCTGGTGTTTAATGGAAGGGTTCTGTGAGGGCCAGTCAAGTTCTTCCACACCAAACTCACCCAGCCATGACTTTATGGAGCTGCTTTGTGCACTGGGGCTCAGTCATGCTGGAACAGGAAAGGTTCCTCCACAAACTGTTCCCACAAAGTTGAAAGCATAGAATTGTCCAAATTGTCTTGGTGCTGAAGCATTAAGATTCCCCTTCACTGGAACTAAGGGGCCTCAGCCAACCCCTGAAAAACAACCTCATATCATCATCCCTCCTCCACCAAACTTTACAGCTGGCACAGTGCAGTCAGGCAGGTAACATTCTCCTGGCATTTACCAAACCCAGACTCATCCATCAGACTGACAGATAGAGAAGTGTGATTCGTCACTCCACACAATACATTTCCGCTGCTCCAGAGTCCAGTGGCGTCGTGTTTTACACCACTCCATCCCACGCTTGGCATTGTGTTTGGTGATGTAAGGCTTTAATGCAGCTGCTCGGCCATGGAAACCCTGCCACGAAGCTCCCAATGCACAGTTTTTGTGCTGATGTTGATGCCAGAGGAGGTTTGGATTCTGCAGTTATTGATCAGCAGAGTGTTGGTGACTTTTATGCACTATGGTCCTCAGCACTCGGCAACCCGCTCTGTAACTTTACATGATCTGACACTTCATGGCTGAGTTGCTGTGGTTCCTAAATGCTTCTACTGTTCAATAATGCCACTCACAGTTGATCGTAGAATATCTAGGAGGGACGACATTTTGCAAACTGACTTCTTGCAACGGTGGCATCCTATTACAGCACCGCACTCAGATTCAGTGAAGAAGTGACCCACAGAATGACCCATTCTTTCACTAATGTGTGTAAAGGCAGGCTGCTTGACCAGGTGCTTGATTTTATACACCTGCAGAAAAGGGACTGAATGAAACACCTGAATTCAATGATTAAGTCTTCCAATATTTTTGTCCATAACGTGTATGTAGGCCTGTCTCCCTGAAATAATGCAAACTTTTATTATTATTGGTTGCATGTATTTGATATATTTTTATCCTTCTACTATTTTATCATTACTATTATTGTCTTAATATTTTTGTTTTTTTCTATTTAATTTTTTTTTCTAACCCAACTTAGTTTTATGGTTTATGGTTTTGTTCAAAATAATTAATTAATCTTTGATGAGGGATCTTTTTATCTCAGAATGAATTTACTTCCATTAAAGGTTGTTTTTTTCCTCAGTTTCTCAGTGTGAGATTAAGCTAACTCACCAAAAGATGAAATTTTCATAACCCCTTTTTACTCATCTTTACCAGGGGTGCCGATAATTGTGGAGGAGACTGCGTATATCAGCTTCCTCTCTCTTACTGGTCTTTAATATTCTCTTTAACTTCTTGACCTCCTTGTCAATGAAATGCGTGAACCCGCCCCCTACGAAGCACATCTTGCCTCTTTTGAAGTGCGAGGCATCTGAACAGCCCTTTCGTTTGCATGTTCACTCAGACATTTTACAAAATATGACAGACGAGGACGACAAGAAACATGAAAAAGCCTCTCCAGCTCTACCTGTTATACATCAGCCGTTTGAAATCCTGGAAAAGCGGGTCCTTGTTCTTGTCAAGAAAGCCTTCCACTGAATACCTGAGAAAGAGAGGGGGAAATTGATTGGTCTCGACACAAAGAGAGCAAGTCATAGATCAGCGGAGTGAGTCAGAGACGGGGAAGAGCTGAGGCTCTGAAACAGGGCCTGAACTGTGAGTCAGCCTGAGCAGGTCAGAGTGAGTCACTGTGGACAGGTACGACTGCACTAATGCAGTGTTTCACACTGATTGGAGCTTAAAGTGCGTATTAATCAACCGCTCTCACCACTTCGACGTATTAGCACGCGCTAATCAAATTAGCCCAAAACACAATTACGTAAGTGCACTTTGTCAATTTGTGTGGATGTGAAAACAAACTCAGATCAAACAAGCAGTGAAAGGAAAGAAAAACAAACAAACAAGCGCTGCTCACTCAGGCTGGACGGAGGGATCGTGCTGGTCAGGTAAAGTGTTGAACCTGTGTGTGAGATTAATCACAGATGTGCTCTGACACTACAACACACACATTTGCTCATTCACACACACACACACATACACTCGCTGGCCACTTTATTAGAAACACCAACCTTGTATCTACACTCTGTCCATTCTATCAGCTCCACTTACCATATAGATGCACGTTGTAGACTGTAGTCTGTCTGTTTCTATGTATAATATTTTAACCCACCCTTACCCTGGTTATCAATGATCAGGACCCCCTCTGGACCACCACAGAGGAGGTATCATTTTCAATATAAGGCACACTAGAGCTCGATTGGCTTGTTTTTCTCAAGGTTTTTTACGCTTTTAATCTGATCTGTTGAATTTAACAAATTGAGGAAAAAAATGACATAAAATGCAATCTATGCAAAATTTAAAGCACATTTTATATAAAAGTTTTAGTTTTTTACAATATGTTGTATGTAAAATTTGTCATATTTAAGTGTGTTAACTCATTTTCACTTTGAAAAATAATAAAAAAAAAAACATCATTTGACCAAGGGCGCACAAACTTTTGCATACGACCGGTGTACAGGCGACCTTTATTCAAAGACACATTTTTTTAGCCACTTCACCTTCTTACTTGTTCTCTCGCTCACACACATCCACCCAACCACACAGCTCACTCACACACACACGTGAATGGGCACATGGCTGGGATTGTGTGTGTGTGTGTGTGTGTGTGTGTGGCTGGAATCAGGGGAGACCAGCGATGATCAGGACACAGGGAACAACAACACACACACTAAAGAACATAATCACTTCAAACAGAGTGAAATAGATTTTATATAGATAGATATAAACATATATAGATATAAATAGAAAGGTTTCCATATAGAGCTTTTAGAGGTGGACATCTGGTTCCTATCACCACCATTGTGAACAGTTCTGACTCTGTAGCATTCTCCTTAAGTCATGTCCAGTGGAGGTAAGTGAGATTAATATTTCATGTTTATAGATAACAGTGTACCATACAGGATCAGAAACCACACAATCAAGTCTATTAGAGATTACTTAATAGCAGGTTTAGACTAGTGTGAGATGATTTAGATGTGCAGTCTGATGCTAATTTGAGGGATATGAGCTTCTATTACTTGTTCTACTACATTTAATCTTATTACTCCCGATTTTTTAAAAGAATCTGATCTTTCTGATGGTCAATGGTTCACATTTGTGTCACTGGCATACATTCAAATCAATAATGGCATGTAAATGATCCACATGCTTCATCAACAACAACAACAAATGAACAAACAAGCAGCACAAGCACTCATCACACAGATCTGATCAGCTCTCTGCTGTTCCTGATTAGAGGAGAAGGTGAATAAAACTCAGATGCTTTAATGTCTCAGTAGAAACTTGACAGAAACTTCAAACCACGCTATAAACACCAATACGTGCAGTGGGAAAATTTTATGATCTATGATCTGACCATTGATTGACCCTACTGACCCCGACCACTACACAGCACATGTAAGCAGTAATGAATAAGTATATTACTTATTACTTATCAATCACATTATCTATTACTTAATCAATTACTTATTCTTTAAGAAGTGTTACCCTCATTGTAACTGTGGTTGTTGATGTTGTTGCTATTAGTGCTGCTCTAATAAGGGAATTCTTTCAGAAGACAATAGGTGCATCATGAAGAGAGAAGAGGGAGAGAGATGAAAGAGAGAGAGAGAGTGAAGTAATGAAGTAGGTCAGAGTGGGGGGGTACTGAGGGGGCGGCCAAGGGGAGGGTAAATTTAGACCTCCTTCACACACACACACACACACACACACACACACACACACACACACACACACAGGAGAGCCTGAGGGACATCACAGTGTGTGTGTAGTCGGAAGGGAGGTGATGGTGGGGGGGCAGGAGGAGGGGTGACAACTCAGTTCCGACAGCCCTGATCCCTCAGGGACCTGACTTAGAGAGAGACAGAGAGAGAGAGAGAGAGAGAGACTACAAAAAGAGAAAAGAGAGAGATGGTGAATAGAGAGAGAGCGAGTAGAGACAGAGTAGAGACATAGAGAGTAGAGAGAGAGAGGAAAAAGAGAGACTACAAAGAGAGAAAGGGATAATATATAGAGAGAGAGAGTAGAGACAGAGTAGAGAGATAGGGAGTAAAAAAAGAGAATAGAGAGAGGGAATAGAGAAAGAGAGAGAGAGAGAGAGAGAGAGTGGAGAGAGATAGAAAAAGAGAGACTACAAAGAAAGAGACAGGGAGAATAGAGAGAGAGGGTAGAGACAGAGTAAAGAGAGAGAGAGAGGAAAAAGAGAGACTACAAAGAAAGAGACAGGGAGAATAGAGAGAGAGGGTAGAGACAGAGTAAAGAGAGAGAGAGAGGAAAAAGAGAGACTACAAAGAGAGAGAGAGAGAGGGCAGGGAGAGAGAGAAAGAAAAGAGGCAGAGAAAGAAGAGACAGAGAGATAGAAATAAACAGTGGAAGAGACGAGCATCAACACAGACAGACAGACAGACAGACAGAGGGAGAGAGGTGGAGGAGCTCAGACAGAGTTGACCTTCAGTCACACGGTCACATCAACATCCTCAAACACTTTCAAACAGGAGCCCAAATGAACTGACACTGCTAAAGCTCTGATCATCATCCGCTTTCGCCACTAACACTGTCACCATGGTAACCTTTCCATGTTGGTATGGTCGCGTACCGCTCTGAGGCACGGAACGCCGGGATTCTCAGAGCCAACATGTGAACACAGCACGAGCGGTTTGGCTTCTGAATCGGCCTTTAATGTTATTTAGTGTTTAGGGGGCAGATTCCTCTGCACATCTGACCCATTTACTAATTATATGATCTGAGTGACTCCAGCGACTGTGTGTTTATACCCAGCGCAGCTCTCCACAGCATGATTTACTGATGTAGTTTAAGGCCCTGTTCAGGTCAAACCGCACGCCAAGCACATAGGATATAAAACACGTCTCAGCACAGCTCCCCTCACCGTCATCGCCATCATAATAGAGCAGCGGAGAAAATGAGGTGAAAAATGTGTCGTCTATTTTCGTTCTCTCTGCTCTTCCTTCCTCTGTGAGGGAAAAAAGGCCCACCAGCTCCTAAATTAGGACAGCGCCCTTGAGTTACGGAGTTACAGAAAATTCCTGCACCAGCAGCAACTTTGCTGCCTTTGTATTCAAACGCGTTCTGCTGTCCTCATACAGCACATCTGAGACTTGTTTCTCTGCATAACTTAGTTACTGAGATGTAAACAAGTCATTTAGAGTGGTTTGATGTGAAGGTTCAGATATCTTGGTGATAGGAACCGGGGGTCGCCATGACTACAACACAAATATAGACAATTTATTTACTGTCAAAACCACCAGTGAACCTACACGAGTCTTTAGTCTTTATATATATTTATACAACAAATAGTTCCGGCCACGCAAGCTGATTGGTTGAGAAGCGTTCTAACTGTGCTGTTATTTCGCCATAACAACACTGTATCACTCCGCCGAGACGCCGTTGCTAAGCAATGACTTAGACTGCTGTAGGAGACGCTCAAGCCATTTGAACGTTTTTACTTCTTACTTTGCCACAAACAGAAAATGGACACTTTTAAGATCACGTTTGACCGACAGTTGATTTGGTCAGACTCTGAAGATGAGACGACACTAAATTCCCAAACTGTCATCACCACTGAGCAGCTTTTCAGTCGGCAGCTGTGACAAGAACAGCTAAACAACCTGGAATCAGCCAGAAATGAACCCAAATCCATTCGCCAAACTAAATGGGCTGTAAGATGCTTTACAGACTGGCTGGAACAAAACAACATTAATACTGATCTGGCAAAAACTGACAGAACTGAGCTAAACTTGATATTGCGGCAGTTTTATGGCTCAGTCTGTACTTCAAAAGGCGAGGCTTACAGCAGACTGAGCAGTGTGTGGGCGGAGTTCGTTACTCTGACGTAGCAACAACCTGCTTGTTGAGGAACTATAATTTGGTGAAGGAACTGCGAACATTAAAACATATTAAACGCCGCGTTCACGGCCCAGTTTATTAATTTATTACTTCATTTATTTAACTGTTGTATAATAGCAATAGAACGCTCAAGGAGTGTGTTATCGCGAAATATGTGATGATCTACGGCGACCAAATCACAGCCGTGATGTTATTTCATGATAACACACTCCCTCTCGTCTTCTATTGCTTAAATAAAGAACAAATAAAGCGACGTAACGATGATAAGGTAAGTTTATTTGTTCAGACAGCTATAAAAAACCATAATAATTTACCAATTTGTCCCTTTCAAAGATATATGGCTAAATGTAGACTGCCTAACTTAGCTAGCTAGAAGGTCTGCATTGTTCTCTATGCAATGCATGTTTTTGCATTAAAGATATACACAAATGAGCAAGCGGGCAAAATGTCTTCAAGTTCAAGTGACAGAGAAAAGCAGACAGTTTCATCAACTCATTCAGCAGCTGGGAGTTTTCACATAACTTATAGCTAACTATGTCTTGCAAAGGCAGCCTACATTTAGCGATATATCACGAAAGGGAGAAACTGGTAGTCTGAACAAATAAACTTACTTTATTATCTTTATGTCGCTTTATTTGTTCTTGTGCCACATGTTGCCATTTTATATAAGTATATATACATATATAATTTTTTTTCATTTAGTATCGGGTGCTCACCTCATAGTATCTGGTGCTCACTTGATAGTATTGGGTGCTCACCTCATATTATCAGGTGCTAACCACACAGTATTGCACACTCACCACACAGTAACTGGTGCTCACTTGATAGTACTGTGTACTCACTATATATTATCTGATGCTCACCTGATAGTATTGGGTGCTCACCACATAGTATCAGGAGCTCAACACATGGTATTGCGTGCTCACCACATAGTAACTGGGGCTCACCTAATAGTATTGGTTGCTCACTTGATAGTATTGGGTTCTCACTTGATAGTATCTGGTGCGCACCAGATTTTTACCTAAAAAAAAATACACCACGTCCCTTCACGGGCTCAGTATTGTATTGCATCAACCATGATGATTTTTCTTTAAAAAATCTGCTCAAAATGGGCCGTTTTTACAGCTTATTTTCCATATATGTACCGCATGGACTGAGAAGTGAACAGTGCGCAGTTTGTAGAAGCAAGAAAAAGATCACCACACTAATAATAATCTCGGTCTGCGGGTCTCTCTGAGAGCAGTGTGCTGTCACAGCAGGTGGACTGGGGGATTACCGTTAACACTTATGTACCAACCAGTTCTCCTGAGAGTTTTTAGCACATGTGAAGTTTACGCTGAGGGAATACAGGGCCATTATTCCAGCCACAGCTGCTGGAGGGCCTGGAAACGTGAAGCCAAGCACTTAACCACAATTCAGATGAGTCATACAGCAGAGTGGGTGCCATTTGGGACCACTCTGACACTGCTTAGCTTCTAATCTCTTGGAAAATATATAATATGAGAAGATGTTGTGCTTCATTAAAGAGCTCATATCCTGCATTATTCTTGCATTTTTATTACCACTTATGATGTTTGTGAGTTTTTATGTACCAAAAATTTTGAAACAGGCTGTTTTCGTTACTGCATGCTTTGAAATTTTAACAGTGTTTACGGACTACGTCAAAGTTTTTGATCTCAAAAAAGTGAAGTAAATCAATTTTTGTGGAAATTAAGTGGAAATTAAGTAGAAATAAAAACTATTTACATTAATGTATATTAAGGTTAACACTTTCTTCTTTCTGTTTTACTGTTACCACTTTGGAGATGCAAGGTTTTGTTACAGCAGCGATGATATGTAAGGAAAAAAGGAAGAAGGAAAATCTTTAAAAGATTTGTTAATATAAGATTAAAAAAAAATTGAAAATATAAAACTGTTGACAGTGTAAAGGACAGCTGGAAAGTATCAAAAAATGAAAAACATAAAAACGTAATTAAAGATGGATTCCACTGATTTTTAAACATTTCTGCATAATTAAATGATTCTGAGTCGTTCAGAGTGGTTTGGTGTGAAACGCTCTGTTCGAGAGAAACTTACAGAGTCAGAATTGTTCACAGTGGTGGTGATAGGAACCAGACGTCCACCTCTAAAAGCTCCATCACAGAAAGATGTTACATGAAATGGTTATGAATTCACTGCCTGATGACACTGTCTTATGATAGTTTTGAGAAGATTTAGACTAAGATGTATTTTTATACACATTCATGGTGGCAAAGAAAGTTTTTTCAGATTTAACACCATTTTATCATCAACATTATATATAAACCTAATGAGACACGTGTAGGCTCACTGGTGGTCTTGGATGGTAAATAAAATGGTATATTTGTGCTGTAGACAAAGAAATCTCTAAAGATTCTCTTCAATGAAGCACTTCACATCAAACCACTCTGAATGAGTTTGTTTACATCTCAGCAATTTAACTGTGCGGGAAGTTTGGAAAATCAGTGGACTTCCCCTTCAACATCTTCAGAGCTGGAAGAAAGTACTCTAAACTCACGTGACGTCACCAGCGTAGTGTCGGATGCGGAAGTGCCGGTGGAACTCCATGCTCTTGTCAGTCGGGTTCAGCTGGGAGAGAACAGTTAAAGAGAGGTCAACTGAATGTGGTCACAACATCAAGAGTACAAAAAGATGAGACACGTTACAGACTGCAGTCCATCTGTTGCTACACAGTTTATCAGCCCTCTCTACTCATTGATTACCGGTCAGTTTCTGATCACAGGACAGCTGCTGTCTAGTCAAAATATCCAGACAAGAGCAGTTCTGTGTCAGAAACTGACCACTGATGAAGGACTAGAGGATGAAGAACACAAACTGTGCAGCCTTGAACCAGCAAAGTGGAGCTACAAGAGAGGGGTTTCTGATAAAGTGGCCAGAGAAACTGTGTTGATTGTGAATGATCTGAAACACTGCAGAGCATTTAACTAGAAGTTGGTGTGATTCTGTTCCAGCGAATGAGCCTTCAGATGGTCAGTCACCGACCGTATCCTCTCAAACTAAGAGTGACAGACGTGATTAATTCAGCAGTGATAGTAAGAATCTCCACAGCTGCAGTAAATACTCTGTGGTTTACAGCTTCTGAGCGCCAGGCTAGGCTGTGATGTCTTGACTCTAACCAGCAATACTGTGGAAATGCTGCTCCCTGCTGACCAGGCCGACTGACTGCAGCAGCACCCAATAACAAAGAGCAGGTCAAGCAGCAATGCCACAGCTTATTACTAATAACAATATTAATAACATTAAATATTACAATATTCTCCAAATATCAATCAGAAATTTGTCCCCGAGTGGCAAATTCATGTACAGGCACAGTCGTATGCATGAGGGCAGACTCAGTGAGAACTCCCCCCAAAAAATCTTGTGCACCTCCTGTGTTTTTAAGTTTCAGTAAAACACAGTGTGATACCCTGCTTGTCCATTATTCGTGTAGCTTATTCGTGCCAGATTGCAGTGTTTTAGCAGCCCAAAAAACAGGCTAAGAAAAATGTGGGATGAGAAATGCATGACAGCTCTGTCCAAGAGGCCACACATTCAGGAGTACAGCAGACAGCCAAAGATCTGCCCATTGAGGAAATCTGTCCACAACATTCAGCACATCCCTAAAATGCAGCCAATACAAAGTGATGCACGCAAACACACCTGTGTTAATGGATGTAGCCTTTTAAACCCTGTGAAGGTAACTTTCATTGTGCCACTACAAACCAAGTTCCAAAAAAGTTGGGGGCAGTTGGTAAAATGCAAATAAAAACAGAAGGTAGTGATATTTAAATCTACTTTGACCTGTATTTGAACAAAACAGTACAACAATGAGATATTTAATGCTTTTTATTATCAGCTTCACTATATATAAATATAAATAGCTCCACTATTTTTTGTTAATATAAACTCATTCTTAAATTGAGGCCTGCTGTATGTTCCAAAAATGTGGGATGGGGCAATTTAAGACTAGGAACACTATGAAACATTCAAAAAATCATCTTAAACTTGCTTTGGTTTGTTAATGGGTAACTTGCACTTCTGTGAAAGCAAAATTAACACTCCACACATTTTGGAGAAACATATGCTGCCTTTGAGACACGTGTTTTTCAGGGACATCCATGCTTATTTCAACATGTTAACCCCAAGCCACTTTCTGCATGTGTTACAGCAGCATAGCTGCGTAATCAGAGGGTGCGGGTGCAAGACTGGCCTGCCTGCAGTGCAGAACTGTCTCCTATTGAAAATGTGTGTTGCATTATTAAGCTCAAAATACAACAACAGGCCCTGTTCGGCTGCACAGAAGACCTGTACAACAGAAAAATGGCAAAAAAAAGGACGCTTTCAAAGCTGGATCAGTTTGTGTCTTCAGTCCACAAATGATTCTTCTGTGGACACCAAATCCCAGAACTCCCTGGGAGATCACGTTACTAAGGCACCATCACCACCAACCAGTCGTTGTTCAGCTTCACCTAAATACTGATATGCTTCAACTGTTTCTTGTTTCATGTGATCTGTTAGGCTACGTTCACATTACCAGGTTGAAGTGGCACAAATCTGATTTTTGCCCTAATGTAACCCAGATCTGATGTTTTCAGGGCTGTGTGGACACAAATCTGATCTTTTCAAATCTGACCTGAGCCACTTTCATATGTAGTCCTAGATCGGATTCCTATCTGATTCGTAGCCATGCGACCTTAATGTGACGCTCAGATCGGAATTCATGTGCTTTTTACCCACTGCGCCATCATTCAGCGTTACCATGGCAACAGCACCGAACAGAAGTTAAAGCCTGTAAACGGTGGAAAAGCAGCTCATCTCACCTTTTCCTCCTTCGTCTCGCTCTAATAATGAAGCTGAGAGCTGATCAGAGTTAATTATCTTCTCAGCGAAGCTCGTTCTGCTCGTTAGTTTGTGCTGATGATGAACATGATTCATTCACGTGACGTTACTGAGTAGGATGAGCTCATGCGGGTCATTTCAGGACGCCGGTTCATCCACATTAACGACAGATTTGAATCATTTACCTAAACGAGTGTGAACCACAGTGTCAGAGAGATCGGATTTGAGATATGAGGCTTGAAATGTGAATGTAGCCCAAGCCCAGGCTTTAGTTTAGTTCATTGGGAGGTGTTGCTTCTAGTTCTGGAGCTGCTGAGCGTTATTTCCTGTACATGGTCTCACTGTTAACTGGACTTTATTTCTGTTCTTTCTGACTTTGTTTTTGCCTTTTCTCTTTGGACTTGTTTGCCTGGATTTTTGTCGTTTGTTAAGTTTGTCTCTTTGTGTATCTGATCTGTCCTGCTTCTGACCAATGCCTGTTTTTTGACCACGTCTTTGGAAAATCCTCTGATTATTTTACCGCGAGCGTCTGACTGATTCTGTCCTGTTACAGTGATGTAACACACTGGTAAAGATGCTCCCATCCCAACCAACTTTTTTGGAATGTGTTGCAGGCATCAAATTTGGAATGAGCATCTATTTACATACACTGTTAGATATAAAGGTTCTGTGCAGGTACACTTTTCGTTCATCAAGGTACAAACAGTATAAATGTTCCCTCAAAGGTACAACAGTGGTTTTAAGGTCCAGTTGTGCACCATAAGTAGGTTTTTCCAGGTGAAAAGTTTGTATTTGTACCTTTTTATAACTGAATGTTTTAAAACAGAACAGTAAAATAAAAGCCTGGAGACGAGACGGGGTGTGTGGAGTCAGTACAGCTTAGAACATATCATTTCAGTGGATTATGGTTCAGTTATGTTCCCTGACTAAAGGTACTGAGATGGACCTTTAAGGGTACCACCCCAGTGACAAGAGTGACAGTTTAGTACCTATTTATACCTAATATTAGAATAGAATAGAATATTTCTATTCTATTCTATTTCTTTATTTTTATGAGGTAAAACATTAAGCTTTTCATGTTTTAATTGTTGTCAGTTTAATACAGGTCAAACAGAATTACTAATCACTTATTGCTTTTATTATTATTTCACATATTCTCCCATCTTCTTTGGAATTGGGGTTGTATAAAAACATGCATAAAGCATAGTGGGTTTAGTTGGTCATGCTGATTGGTTGGTGGAGCACTGCTACAATAAATGACACCCTGATGCTGGGCCTTCTTCAAAACCATCCTGTCAAGTCTGTCGCAACTTGAAAATAACGTAGTACATTACTGTTACACTTGACGTGGCCAGTCACACTTTAGCATGAACATCACACATCGTTGGGGTACCCTGCATTCTGTATGTAAGATGCATTTCTAATAAATAACTATGAAATATGAGGTCATGCTTGGGTACAGGAAGAACTAGCACTGATTGACTGACACAAATACTAGTGTACTGGTACAGACAACGTATGGTCCAGTATTTACTTTGTAGTCATCACAAGGATAAAAGACTAGAAATAATAAGCCAATAAAGCAGTGAGCTTAAACACACCACACACACAACAATTAGTCTGTAAATGCATCAACTGAACCCGTTAATCTGCAGCTTCGGCGACTATGAGAGTGAGAAGGCCAACTTAAATTACACTATAAAACAGTTATAAACAAATTTCAATTCGGAGAGACTGAGAAACCATCATGTGGTCATACCTTGCGGGACGTATAGTGAGGGTGCTGTCCGAGTTTGTGGTTCATGCTGTCCAAGCAAACGGTGTCTGTAACTTTTCCTGCGGTCAGACACGCCTCGTCCAGGATGGAGATGATGCCCTTATGGGCCTGTTCCACCAGATCCACGATGATCTGGTTATTGAAGTAGTCAATCTGTCCAGATAAATGAGATAAAAATGCAGTGGCTCTGATCAGACAATCAAATATAAAAGCAGATGTAAAGCTTTCACTCACTGTCAGTGTATGATTGTGCCCAGCGGGCCTTGGCCCAACCAAAGTGACCGCACAAACGTAATTTCAATATTAAAATCATATTAATAAATAAAATAAATACATAAATCAAATAAACTCACCAAATATGTGATATATTCAAAGTTCAGTATTAGCCAAGTGTGTATACACACAGACATACATACATACACTATATGGATAAAAGTATTGGGACATCTACACATTACACCTACAGGAGCTTTTATGAATCCCATTCTAAATCCATAGGCATTAATATGGAGTTGGTCCCCCTTTGCAGCTAAAACAGCTTCCACTCTTCTGCACAGCTTTCTACAAGATGTTGGAGAGTGTCTGTGGGAATTTTTGCCCATTTATCCAGAAGAGCATTTGTGGGGTCAGACACTGATGTTGGACGAGAGGGTCTGGCTCACAATCTCTGTTCTAGTTCATCCCAAAGGTGTTGGATGGGGTTGAGGTCAGGGCTCTGTGAGGGCCAGTCAAGTTCTTCCACACCAAACTCACCCAGCCATGACTTTATGGAGCTGCTTTGTGCACTGGGGCTCAGTCATGCTGGAACAGAAAAGGTCCTTCCCCAAACTGTTCCCACAAAGTTGGAAGCATAGAATTGTCCAAACTGTCTTGGTGCTGAAGCATTAAGATTTCCCTTCACTGGAACTAAGGGTTCTAGACCAACCCCTGAAAAACAACCCCATATCATCATCCCTCCTCCACCAAACTTTACAGCTGGCACAGTGCAGTCAGGCAGGTAACGTTCTCCTGGCATTCGCCAAACCCAGACTCATCCATCAGACTGACGGATAGAGCAGCGTGATTCATCACTCTACAGAATGCATTTCCACTGGCGGCGCTTTACACCACTCCATCCGACGCTTGGCATTGTGCTTTGGATCTTAGGTTTGTGTGTAGCTGCTCGTCCATGGAAACTCATTTCGTGAACCTCCTAATTCGCAGTTCTTATGTTGCTTCCAGAGGCAATTTGGAACTCTTTAGTGAGTGATTCAACAGAGGATAGACACTGTGCGATTCAGCACTCAGAAGCCCCACTCTATGAATTTGAGTGGTCTACCGCTTCATGGCTGAGCTGTTGTTGCTCCTAGATGCTTCCATTTCACAATAATAGCACTTACAGTTGACTGGGGCAGATCTAGCAGGACAGAAATTTCCCAAACTGACTTGTGGCAGAGGTGTTTAAAGTCACTGAGCTCATCAGTACGACCCTCTACTGCCAGTGTTTGTCTATCAAGACTGCAAGGCTTTTAATGTAAATTGCAAATAAAAACAGAAAATTAATGCAATTAATGTAAATTAATGCAAATTAATGTGCTTAATTTTATCCACCTGTCAGCAATGGGTGTGGCTGAAACACCTGAACTCAATAATTAGGAGGCATGTCCCAATACTTTTGTCCATATAGTGTGGACACTATAAATATAGTATTTTGTCCATATAGTGTGTGTATATATATATATATATATATATATATATATATATATGTATGTGTGTGTGTTTAGATAAGTTCTCACATGTTGCCAGGTGATGCCCTCTCTGTGATATTCCTCCTGCTCCTGTCTCAGGATGAGCTCAATGAAGAGCTGCTGAAGCTTCTCATTGCAGTAGTTAATACAGAACTGCTCAAAACTGGAGGAGGGAAATTGATTACATCAATAAAATGACTTCTAAATGTAAATGAACTGCAAGGCACAGTTGTGCTGACGTATAATACAGTATGTTACTCATGTGGAAATGATCTATGCATTTGACTCACATTAATTCAGCCCTTTATTCAGTAGCTTGTAATATCAGTTAAACAACAGTTAAACAGCAATTAGAGTGTCACAGGACATGATTATTGTCTCCAGTGACAAAGATAAGTGTAATAGCAAAAATACCTGTCACACTTGCTGGTACTGACCTGTTATTGTCAAATATCTCAAAGCCGTAAATGTCCAGCACTCCTATGACCGTGTTTTTGCCATGCAGTGCTGGATTGTAGTTCTTCACCTCTATCACACTGTTGATTCGCCCAACTATCCATGCGAACAGTCGCTCGTACAGAGCCTGCAGACACGCAAACAGGCAGTTAGTGGCAGCAGTGCTTCACATGACACCTGCTTACTTACTTCCTCAGCTTATAAAAAGAACTGCAAACGGAAAGGCTCATGGTAGTGAGAACATGCTGAAATGTTTCCTGTTCGGAAAGAAGACAGACAGCAGCACACCTATCAACCAAGCCCTGATGGGAACAGAGAGACAGCTGAGGGGAAAGATGTAAATTATGGTGAAAACTGTGAACTACTGACCCTTTTAAGAAAAAAAAAAACTCTCATTATTAGCTTAGCGCAGGGTTCTTCAGTTCCGGTCATGGAGGGCCGACGTCCAGCACAGTTTTGTGATTTTTCTGCTCCAACATCTACTAAACTGAGGAGTTGAATCAGGTGTGTTGAAGCAGGAAAATCAGCAAACTGAGCAGGACACTGGCCCTCCTGGACCAGAATGCTCCATTCAGGAAGAATATGTTGTTGTATATGTGGGCCTTTGAGTCGCTGGTTCATTTTGCTTAGCATCTATTTTGGTAGCTATTAAAAGTCCATAGTTTTGTTTTCAGAACCACATTAATGGGTGCTCTGTAACAACGGAAATGGGTGCAGTGTCACCATAGAATTGGTGTACTGTAACCATAGAATTAGGTGTAGCATGACCACAGAAATGGGTGGGGTGTAATCATGGTAATGGGTGAACACACGCATGCAAAACATGGACCAAGCCCAAAATGGTAAAACATTAAGCTTTAAATGGATTTAACCACGAATCATTAAACCAACAGATGCAGTAAGTTGATATGGGAGAGCTTTTCCCTTTGATTTCTTTAAATGTAAAAGATTTGTGTGTGAGTTTGCAGACAACCTTTCACAGAAAGAAGAGTCAACACTGTTCCACTCGGCACTGATGGCGTCAAACAGTTGAAAAGCATTGCCAAGCTAGTTTGTGTTTAATGTGAGACCAAATATTCTCTATAGGGTTTAAATCTGGACTCTGTGCAGCCAGAACCATCAGTAAACACCATTTTATAAAATGGATAGTTCCAGTCCTAAAATCTGATTGGCTGAGCTGCGTTCGAAGCCATTGTAAAATCCACAATATACCACAGCTATGACCGCCTCACAGCAACTGAACGCTGTATTACTGCGCCAGGGCTCGAAAAACCCTTCTGCTGATGAAGTACGAACCCATTTTTTAGCTGCTCAGCTAGCTAACAGGCTAAAAGATAGCAAACATGCTAAACAACTTCATCATTAATATCACAGGCTTGAATTAAAGTACTTAAGGTATGATTAACTGAAAAACAGTCTAAAGAATGTCATCTGAATGGCTTACATGCTTCAAATGTCCATGTTTCAGTCAGAAGTAGCATCAAACCCAGGCTGAACCCCAAATGGCTCCTTGCTCCCTAGCTAAATAGTGAGCTGTGTAACATTAAGTTTAGAAATTCTAGATTCTGCTGTCAGATACTGCACTGCTTGTCGAGTATGAATGTGGATGGATCCCTAATTACCATTTTTAGTGATATTTCCCATTGTTGGGCTGCAGGAATCAGCATTTAAATTCCTACGTAGTGCACTATGTAGGGAGCAGGGAGCCGTTTGAGATTCAGCCCCAGCCTGAGCAAAATGGCGTCGTCAGACTGATGGAAGACTCGCGGTGGTAATTTGGTGACCAAAAAGTACTTATAAACTGAAGGTTTTGCATTAGACAGTGTTGTGTTATCATATGTTCACTATTATACGAAAAAAGTTTTAATAAAATCATGAAATGTTTGCAGTTTACAGACAACCAAACGTTCTTCTCTTCATTCAGAGGTCAATGGTTGTTTAGCCACGATACTGTACTCTAAAGGAACTACATTTCTTGGCGGCATACTTGTTTATGTTGATTATTATTAATAACAATTTAAATAATTAGGCGCTCTGTTTCGAGTCGTGCCAAAGAACACCTTTCACCGTGATAAAATCGCAGTAACCCACAGCCTCTCGTGGCTTATTGCTTTGATACATTTTGGGCTTGGCTCATTTTTTTCTTTTTTTTTTGCAGGAGAGTGTGGTGTAACCATAAATATTGATGTAGTGTAACCATAGAAACGGTGTTGCGCAAACATGAAAACTGTGTTGTGTAAACATGAAAATAGTCGCAGTGTAACCAAAAAAATGGCGTTGTGAAAACATGTAAACAGGTGTAGTGCAACCACTAAAATGGGTGCAATGTAACTATAGCAACAGATGTAGCTTATCCTTGAAAATGGGTGTAGTGTAACCATGGAAATGTGTAGTCAGTTGATCCATATATCAGTGTTGTAGTTCTACTTCAGATCGTTATTTATTTCTATCATCTTCAATACAGCAGCCGGGCAGTAAGAATACACCTGTACTGTAACTGCCCCATAACATAGTCTGATATCTCAGCTAATGTTACAGCCTAGTCTGTTTTTTACGTCGTATCTTCAGTTCAAAAACGCTAAGTTTGTAAAGAGGTAGTAAATTGAGGCCAAGAGTGAGAAATGATGATGAAAGTTTAATATTTTTATTTATGTGAGTTAGGTTATGTGTGTGTAAAGATTTATGTGAACTTAACATTTATTAGCACTCTCACTGCAGTGCATAGTGCTCTTTTGTGCTCTGCTACGTGATGCTATGAGAAACTGCAATGGCACAATGCGTCCGGTGTGCGGTGGCCTTTAATATCACAGTTGACTGTGCCTCTAATCTCATCTCCAAATCTCATTTCCAAACCAGTAACTTTACAGGAAAAGGAAAAAACATTCATAACGTGTAAAAGCAGATTTTTTCATAATTGTGGTCCATTTCTGTTTGTCTGAAATTTGCGAAAGGTGAGTTTTCAAATTACGTAAAGTAAAAAATTACACATATGGAAATGATGTTTTTTGTGTGACAGCACTGATATATTGGTATAAGCACTGACATATCAGTATTAACAATATATGGCCCAGTTTAAATTATTTTGTTATTTGTTTGTTGTTGTATTCCTGTTTAGGTCTGGCTCCTGTTCCTTTTTGGAAACATACAGTATAGATGGCAGCTTTTGCCATGAGAGAGCAGAAAGCAGCAAAAATGTGAGGGGTACACGGTGAGATCTGACAGTTAGGTGGTACCTTGGCAAAAGCGTCTCGTCCATAGCTGGCCTCCTGCTCGCTGTGACCTTTCTCAATGACCTCTCCACCCCCGGTGGCCACAGTGCGGTAAAGCAGCGCCTTATTAACACTTTCTGGTTCGGTAGTGGTCAGCTCGGAGATGTGCTGCACTGAGTCTCCTCCCACCAGCTGGACAGATTCTCCATCAGTCTCAAACTGCAGGTTCCCCTAAAATCAACACCAGGAATCAATGAAACAAAGTTAGAATGAAATTCAGGAGAGATTTAATTTAGTCTCAGTTCAGTTCCACACGCTCACAACTACAAAACGTATGTGTTAGTTTAGACAAGATCAGAGGTGCACAACTCCAGTCCTGGAGGGCCAGTGTCCAGCACAGTTTGGTGATTTACCTGCTCCAACACACTTGATTAGATTAGATTAAGTGACCCTTATTAGTCCCACAACGGGGAAATTTCAGCTCCACATTTTAACCTATCAGTGCAGTGAAACACCACATACACACTAGTGAGCATACACACTAGGGGGCAGTGAGCACACTTGCCCAGAGTGGTGGGCAGCCCTATCCACAGCACCCGGGGAGCAGTTGGGGGTTCGGTGTCTTGCTCAAGGGCACCTCAGTCATGTACTGTCGGCTCAGGGGATTGAACCGGCAACCTTTCGGTCACAAGGCTGATTCCCTAAACTTCAGCCCACAACTGCCCCCATAATTACACCTGTCTGTTAATTGCCAGGTTTAATGATTGTGTTTGAGCAGGGAAACCTCCAAACATACCAAACATGGTTTGAGCGTTTGAATTATGTAAACTGGATTTTTTAACAACAAAATTAATAGCAGCATTCTAGATTTGATATTTGTCTGGATCCCTCAGCAATGAAGTCCTGATTTTACTGACCAGGTGCAGGATGGTGCTGAGGATTTTATAGATGGAGCTGATCTCCTCCTCACTGAAACCAATGACCTTCAGCGCTCCCATAACCGCTCGGTGACAGGAACGGTCATCAGAGGACGACTAAGACAGACAGAGAGAGAGAGAAAGATTATATTATATTATATTATATTATATTACAAAAATTAAGTTTAACTATACTTTCAAATTATAACTATTATTATTAATAATAATGTAATAATAATATCTTTATTTATAGAGCGCTTATCATACTGGTGGCAACTCACAGTGCTTTACAGACAGGTGGTAAAGCTTAACAGTAACAGAAGAATCTAGGATTATTGATTTAAAATCATACAGAACAATAACACAGATCCAATTAAATAATGAATTAAATAAATACAAAAGAGATGTAGAATTTTAATTAATCGCTAAGCTAAAGAGATACGTTTTTTTTAAAAGTTACTGCTACTATTGTTATTATTTTTATTATAATTACAATTATAATACATGCAGCTGAATTCATGTATTCATGAGGTCGTGAAAAGCTTACAGTAGAGACGGAGGCTCCCTGTCTGGTGTAGGTGTAGTCTGTAGGATCTTTGTTCAGGTGCAGAGACTTCAGGAGCTCATCAGATCCTCCGCGCAACAACTGCAAACACAGACACATCACATTTACCTTAAAAATCACTGACCGCTCAGTGGGGCAGGTTCGGGTCACTTACTCTACTGCATCACTGATCACTCGGCCCACATATTACTGCAGTGTTAGTAGTGTAATACTACAGTATCATCATCAGTATCATCAGTATTTATTTAACCTCGGAGAACATTGAGGGTGACCCTCCTTTATAATGTTGCCGAGTTAATAGAGTGGAAAGGGAATGATGATGAACATATCAAATAATAAAAGTACATTTAATAATAAAAATGACTCAAATCAGGTAAGTATAAAAATGAAACATTAATAAAAAATACATTAGAAAACTGTAAAAAATATTAAAACAATAATTAAAGCTTAACTAAAAAGTTTATCAAATCAAAAGAAGATAAAGGAGGATAAGATCAAAAATGGAAACTAAAGTTAATTAAAAACTAAATTAAAGTTTATTAAAATGACTGTAATAATAAAAATAATCATTATTAAAACAAAAATAAGAATATGAATAATTATAAACAAAAAAAAATAAATGGGGAAAAATAAAATAAAATAGCTAAAATAATGAAAATAAGACAATAATGATAAAAAATCAGGTAAAACAGTGTCAGGCAGAGTGGAGCTGGTTAGAGAGTAAGAGTTTAAAGTGACTGAGTGACCCAGCGAGCTGAGCTGTAGTGGTTCCTGTAGTGAGGGTCCAGCTCGCTGGTTCTCTGTAGCTAAAGGCAGTTCAGTAAAAACCCTCAGTACCTGGCATGTGATCCAACCACTAGAGTGAGTCTGATAATTACCATTATTTACAGACATCACTGAAGTAATTTATGCTTTCATGTATATTAATGTTAAGAAGATTTTATTCAAAGTCATTTTGGATCATTTTCACTGGTTCGTTCATCACAACATGTTCACACAATGTAAAGCTTTTATTTTGGGTGGTGAGACTTCATTTGTTCAAAAAACACTAACATTAGGACAAAAACTGATAAACAGTCCATTGTAATTGTTCTGCATTAGCTTAATCATTTCCAAATCTCTCCTGGAGGAAGTCCAGGATCTATAGTCACCATCCAGCACCCAGTTTATCTAATCAGTCCTTCATTAAATTAAACAAGGTGCTGCTGATGGAACTGAACAGATCCAGTGATGAGTGGAGTGCAGCGAGGTCAGAAACCAAACCTGTGTCCTTCTAACTGTGTTCTTCCAACCTACATACCCAGAACTTTACTGAAAACAACACATTTTTATTCCATTTTACTGTATTCATGGTTATTTTATGTGTATTCTAATGTTAAATAATGTTTTTACTCATAGCTGCCTAGGACTTTTGCACAGTACTGTACAGCTATTATACGATATATATATCGCTGCTGTCTGAACAAAACCTCATATCTCCATTTTCATTTTCCAGTTTTTGACATAATTTGAAAATACCTGTTGCCCTTTACATTGTGTGTAAATTTTATGATGAATGAACCAAAAGAAACGGCCCAAAATGACTTGGGAAACATTCTGGTTCAATTGACTTACATTAGAAATAAAGTATGTTTTTTCCTTCTCCTGTAAAGTTACCATTTTGGAGATACGAGGTTTTGTTCCAACCGCAGCGACATGCCGCACTGTTAAAAAGGGTTTTTAGCTAAAATAAGTATGTTAAAATTTTAAGTGAATCGCAAATAATAATCTGGCAAAGTTCATGACTGATTCTTGCTCTGTTAACTTACTGTAAGAAGTTCAATATTCAATTACTGCACAATTTTTACTGTTTTTTACAGTGTGTATCTGCCTAAAATACACACAATTTACAGTAACACTACAGTAATACTATAGTACTATAGAAATACAGTCATATGCAAAAGATTATTTTACATATTATTTTTCCCATTCATCAAATATACAGTAATTGTGTATTAACTTGCAGAAGTGTGTCTCTGTAGAGGATGGTTTAACTTATTTACACATAGAAAATCAACAACACATGTAAGTTGAGCAGGGGCGCCCAAATTTTTGCATATGACTGTATAATATACACACACTATGTGATCATTTGGTCCAAATACACACAAACTCGATTTTATCCAATATTTAATCTGAATCACGACTTGCAAGTCTCACCTGATAGAAAGAGTGAAAGTTCCTCTCTCCCTCCTGCTGCTGGACGACTCGTGACTGAGGGAGAGAGAAAGAAGAGGTGGAGAAAAGCCATCATAGTTATTTCTACACTGAATTCACTTACTTGAAAATGCGCCTCATTTTAAATCACCATTCAGTGATTTAATGATTCTCTGTCAAAACAGCCGAGTACAAGTTATTCATTTTTCAGTGTCAGGAAAAAAGTAGGCCTCAAGTTCAGTCTTAGAAGCTGGTTGATCCTTTTCTGAAGTAATCAAACACATTCAGTGATGCTGAGGTCTGGACTCTGGGGTGGTCAGTCCATCGTTCAGCTTCTTTGTTTGATGTGTCCGTCTCCTTTTCTCAGTGAGGTTCTTCTTGATCAGCTACACATCCTTTCAGACCCACAGCGCTGAGTCGTCTTCTCACAGTGGAAGGATGGACAGAAACACCTGTGGATGTTTTCAGATCTGAAGCAGCTTGATTTTCTCCTCTCTCTCAGAGATGAAAGCTTTAAGTGCTGTTTATCTGATGGGGGCAGTTTTGGTGTCTACCAGGTCTTCCAGGTGGTTGTTAGGGGCCCCATTTTCTCTGTAGCTTTTTTCATTTTTTTTTCTCTATTTATTTTCTTTGACTTTCTCCTTCATTATGCAAGTGGATTATCTTACATCTAATCTCTTCAGAAATATCTCTATGAATAACTAGTACTAAATGGCTGTTTTGACTGGAAATAAATAAGTGAAGGGTGGTCTCTGACTTTTGAAGAGTGCTGTGTAACAGTTTTGTCTCTAATTCTCTCTAAGACTATAATGCCTATTGCCCCAAAATCAAACAACACAGACGTTAGACTCAGCTAAACTTGTCCTAGTGACAGCATTTCACATTCAGTAAAAATAACCCCGTTCACGTGGGCTCAGGGGCAGACGGAACCCGTATTCATTGCTGAATAAGGAGATTCATGCTTTAAGGAAATGATGTAATAACACCTAAGAGTGCGAGACAGGCTGTAGCTCACAGACAGAACTTTTTACTGCTCATCTCTCACCCTCTGCATCAACGCCTCCGCATTAAAACTCACCCAGTAAAGCTCATGTATGACAAAGCTGTGAAAAGACGTTGAAAATAACAGATGCAGCGTAGGTGCTATACATCATGTATATAGTATATTTAATGCTGTTAAATATACACTGACAACTGTGTTAGAAACACCTACAATTAGAGACCGAACAGTTTGTGTACCAAACACACTACCATGTCAGTGTCACTGCTTTGCTGAGAATCATCCACCACCCAAATAATATCTGGACAACAGCGGTCCTGTGATCAGTGATGAATAGTGGCTGATAAAGTGTAGAGGCTGATGGACTACAGCCTGAAACTGTACACCTACATGGTGGAGCTATAACATAGGTGTTTCTAATAAAGTGGCCACTGAGTGGAAGTACAAGGTAGGTGTTTCTAATAAAGTGGCCGGTGAGTGGAAGCACATAGCAGGTGTTTCTGATAAAGTGGCCAAGGTAGGTGTTTCTGATAAAGTGGCCGGTGAATGGAAGTACAAGGTAGGTGTTTCTAATAGAGTGGCCAGTGAGTGGAAGTATAAGGCAGGTGTTTCTAATAATGTGGCCGCTGAGTGGAAGTACAAGGTAGGTGTTTCTGATAAAGTGGCCAGTGAGTGGAAGTACAAGGTAGGTGTTTCTAATAAAGTGGCCAGTGAGTGGAAGTACAAGATAGGTGTTTCTGATAAAGTGGCCAGTGAGTGGAAGTCCAAGGTAGGTGTTTCTAATAAAGTGGCCAGTGAGTGGAAGTACAAGGCAAGTGTTTCTAATAAAGTGGCCGGTGAATGGAAGTACAAGGTAGGTGTTTCTAATAGAGTGGCCAGTGAGTGGAAGTACAAGGTAGGTGTTTCTGATAAAGTGGCCGGTGAATGGAAGTACAAGGCAGGTGTTTCTAATAAAATGGCCGGCGAGTGGAAGTACAAGGCAGGTGTTTCTGATAAAGTGGCCGGTGAGTGGAAGTACAAGGCAGGTGTTTCTAATAAAGGCCCAGTGAGTGGAAGTACAAGGACTGTGATGTGACACATTATCCCCAAAACATCAATCAAATGAAAAAGCACAAAGCACAGAACATGCCATCTAAATCATTCATCTTTTCATTAGCCATGAGCCGCTTCTTAGAACTTCCCATAGACCGTAGCCCTGCTAACAATGTAAAAAAAAAAAAATAAATAAGAATATTTTTCTTTTTCAAGACAGAAAGGACAGTAATATGTTTATTATGCCAGAACAGACAGGTTTGTTCCTAAATGTGTGCAGTAATGGTGCAGTGTTAAGTCTTCATAATTATAAAGCAGTGATAACTCCTACCTTCTCCAGCAGGTAGTTGTTAATGTGTCCTCCAGTAGGGTCACCATTGAAGTTAAAGTTAATGTCCATGTACTTCCCAAAGCGGCTGGAGTTGTCATTGCGGTTCGTCTTGGCGTTCCCAAAGGCCTCCAGCACACAATTAGATTTCAGGAGCACATTCTTTACACTGTAAGAGAAGTTTTTAGTGAATAAGGATTGAGGTTAAGATGGTATTGTGTTCCAATATTGTCACTGTGATGCTGGAATCTATCCCATTTACTATTACCTTCAAAACCAGGACTTTCATGCATGAATCAATCATTAAGTTACCCTTTATTAGTCCCACATTGGGGAAATTTCACCTCCCCATTTGACCCATCTTTGCAGTGAAACACCACATACACACTAATGAATGCACACACACTAGGGAGCAGTGAGCATACTTGCCCAGAGGCACTTCAGTCACATACTGTCAGCTCAGGGGATCGAACCAGCGACTTTCCGATCACAAGGCTGGTTCCCTAACCTCCAGCCCACGACTGCCCCACATCAAGCTACAAACAGTCATTCAGAGTGGTTTGGTGTGAAAGGCTCTGTTCTAGAGAAGCTTACTGAGTCAGAATTGACACAGTGGTGGTGATAGGAACCAGATGTCCACCTCTGAAAGTTCCCTCACAGACAGTTATTACACAAAATGGTTATGCACATAATGCCAAATGTCTGAGATGTTGATTTACGATAGTTTTGATATCAGATTTTGCTTTTTTAAAATCCATTCAGGGTGGAGTGGTTATAAGGTAAAAATGCCCCCCCAAAAATAGTTTAACACTATTTTATCATCATCAACATTACATATAAACTCAGAAGACTCGTGTAGGTTCACTGGTGGTTTTGGATAGTAAATAAAATGGCTGTATTTATGTTGCAGACATTGTGACTTCTGGTTCCTATCACCACCACTGTAAAGAAATCTGTGTTTGTAAGCTTCTTTATGATGAACCATTTCACACCAAACCACACGGAGAAACCTTACTTACATCTCAACCACTGAATTATGCAAAACCTTTAGAATAAAATTATAATTCACCTTAAATGCTGCATTCAAGACAGTAGGGGGGTAAAGAAACACACATCAGAGGTGCACCCACAGGTGTAAAACAATATGGTAATGATGAGATCAGTCTAACATAAAAATATATACAGATATACATGCTTCCTGATTCTCATACATCCTGTATGTATATGTGTATATATATATATATTAATAGACTGCAGAACTTCTGCAATAGGGGATTTTTAGTTGAGGAAATCATCAGTCATTTTGAGTTTTCTTGTTTTCTGTAGGTCAGGTGACAAATAGAACACATGAATCCAGAAAGGAACTGAGAGAAAACTGTGTGCAGATGAAAAAACAAGCACACGGACACAAAAGGTAAAACGTTTAGTTAAATCAAACCTAGAACCATTATACTAACGATAATAACTCTCAGAGCACAAAGACATCGAATACCAGAGAGAAAACGTATCTGTTCAGCAGAGCTTTGTGTTGCAGTGTAAAGCTTTAAAGGGCCCTTGTTCTACATTTTACTTGTTTTTTATTTTCCACTTGTTTTAAACTTATAACACTTTGATATCTTGGAAAAAGTGAATCCATTTTTCTGCTTCAACCATGCTTTAGCAGCCTGGCTGTTGTGTTTAGGGTGTTTTTCCTTTGCCCCAAATGTAGCTTCTTTAGTTTTACACTGGATCTAGAGTTGGGCAATATGACAAGGAACATGGGTTCAGTCCCCCGGCCGGGTGACCAGGGTCCTTTCTGTGGAGTTTGCATGTTCTCCCTGTGTTTGTGTGGGTTTCCTCCCACAGTCCAAAGACATGCAGTCAGGCTGATTGGACATGCTAAATTGCTCATAGGTGTGAGTGTGTGAGTGACTGTATGTGTCTGTCTACCCTGCGATGGACTGGCGACCTGGCCAGGGTGTTCCCTGCCTTCCTGGGATAGGCTTCAGCTCCTGCCATGACCCAGAAGGATAAACAGCTTAGAAAATGTGTGTGAGAGAGAGAGAGTGATAAATTATATTATAATGTGTAACAATATGTTTTCCTTAAGTATATCGCTGATATTGTCAGGACCTAAAAAACACTTCTCAACTGCTTGATTGATTAAAATAAGAGCATAATTAGTCCTGTTTAATTGGATTTAGTGCAGCACAGTGTGTAAAATGTTAAATACAGATCATTGGCTTCATAGTGCAAGACCTATTTTCCACTGAACTTAAGTTCATGAATGGATGCCCTTACATTCTCCTGTAGAATTTCCTGATACAATCTAGAATTCCTTTTTCTGCCAAAAATTGCAGTCTGTCCTGGTCCAACAATGGCAAATCAGCCCCAATGAGCTATACTACCACCACCATGTGTCACAGTTGGGATGAGGTTATTTTGCTAGAACATAATGTTCAGTTTTAACCGTTTTTCTTATTACCTATTTTGCCTTATCAGCCCACATAACATTCTTTCAGTAGTTTTCTAGTTCATCCAGGTGGTCTTTAAGAAACTTCAAACAGGCAGTGATGTGGTGGATTCCACGCACGATATTCTTCTTCAGTGTTTGCCTGATGACATTAGCCAGCGCAAGAGGAACCCGCAGATCCTTAGATGTTACCCTGGGCTTCTTTATGATCCCCCAGAATATTATTCACTTTACTCTTGATTGACTTTTGTTGGACGAAAACTTCTTGGGAAGGTGACCACGGTGTGGACTTTTCTCCAATTGTACCTGCCTGACAGCCGATCAGTGAAATCTAAAATCTTCAGAAACTGTTTTGTAACCCTTTCCCAGCCTGATGAGCATCTGACATCCTCAGAAATTTCCTCTGACCAAGGCCTACTTTCACAATCGTGTGTGGACCAGACTTTGATAGAGAAGACTCAAGGTGATGTTTTATAAATAGGGCCACTGAAATTCACAGTTGATTTCTATATCACCTAATTATCTATACCGTATTTATCACCTATGCTAAACTGATAATGCTAGGTTCACATACTTTTGCCAACAAAGACTTTTAATGTTGGATCAATTTGTTCAATAAATAAAATAAAAACTGTGTAACTGTTTGTGCTGTTCTGTTGATTTCCATTTATTGCTCTAACTTGAACATAGGAAGACATTTTGGGTCATTGTGGACTACCGGAAAAACAAATCAGCACCTCTACTTCCTGAGGAGACTAAAGAAGGAACGTCTGTCTCCTCAGATTCTCACAAACTTCTACTGCTGCACTATCAAAAGCGTACTGACCGACTGTGTGACAGTGTGGTGCAGCAGCTCCACTGTGGCCAACAGGAAGGCCCTCCAAAAAGTGGTGAGAACCGCTGAGTGCATCACTGGCCACACGGCTCCCTGCACCATCAGCGCTATGTGCACAGAGCTCACAGCATCATCAAGGACTCCTCCCACCCCAGCCACACACTATTTAACCGCCTCTCGTCTGGGAGGAGATACAGAGGCATTCGGACCAGAACAAGTCGGCTCAGGTCCAGCTTCTTTCCCTCCACCATCACCCACACTACACCACTAATACTCATACTTATATATACATATACACCGATCAGGCATAACATTATGACCACCTCCTTGTTTCTACGCTCATTGTCCATTTTATCAGCTCCACTTACTATATAGGTGCACTTTGTAGTTCTACAGTTACAGACTGTAGTCCATCTGTTTCTCTGCATACTTTGTTAGCCCCCTTTTACCCTGTTCTTCAGTGGTCAGGACCCACATAGACCCTCACAGAGCAGGTACTATTTGGGTGGTGGATCATTCTCAGCACTGCAGTGACACTGACGTGGTGGTGGTGGTGTGTTAGTGTGTGTTGCGCTGGTCTGAGTGGATCAGACACAGCAGTGCTTCTGGAGTTTTTAAACACTATCTATCATATCGACATGTACAGAATACTGAAGGGTTCTAGCACCACTGTAATTAACTGTTACTCATGCTAGAACACCATCATGGTCAACAAAAGATTTAACTGGGAGACTGAGAGTTCGCAAGCCGATGATGTCACAACATTATCACATTCAGCGCATTACTGAAAATATTTTAGCAAATACCATTAAAATACGAATCACCGATATCAGCTGATATTATCAGCTAACCGACGTATCAATAAGACATTGTCAGAACATTGTATAAAACTGCTTTTATAACTGTTTTCACCAGCTTATATAAAGGTAGCGCATCAAAGGTACTCACCTCTCGACCTCTGCTCTCTGGCTGGGGTTAGTGATAGCGGCGATATACTGCATGATGTATTTACTGGCTTCTGTCTTTCCTGCTCCGCTCTCACCTGCAGAACACACATCGGTCAGTGTAAATTTACCTCCTCTACAGCTTAATAGAGACTTCATCAAAGAGAAATTCCATTCTCAAAGGGGAACTCCACTGAGTTTTAAAATTTTTCTGCATATAAAAATGTTGGGAGAATTCTGAAGTTTCTGCTTGACCATTTTTGTTGTTTCCAGCATGTTTATATCAAACTGCCCTGTTTTCCTGCTCTGCTGTCTGGCTTGAGATGACAGTGCTGCAGATCAGGATGAAGCTCTAAATAGATTTGCTTAAAAAGGAAAGAAGAAGTTTGACAGGACTGACAGCGCAGTTGACGCAAACATGAACTAAACAAGGAAACGTGCCAAGATGAAGCAATGAGACTCAGCCTGAAACAACCAATAGAATGTATCAGAGTCCATATAGAGCCATGGACTTGATGTAAGTTTTGACAGTGTATTAGTTTGTAATAAAAATAATGTATTAATGTCTAATTGGAAATGAAAACATCACACGTGTGACAATAACTGACAGCACTATCACTGGAGAATGCTGATCACTGGTTTGTACTCAGTAATGAGTTAAAAAAAAACTGAGGTTGCTGTATATTCTGTGCTCTCACAGTATGCTGCATATTTTAAAGCATACTTTCAATGTATTCCGGCTTTCAATTATAACCAATGCAAATTGTCACTTTGCAAGAAAAAGCAGCAAAACAAAAAAAAACAAAAACAAAAACCTCCTTGTTTCTGTGCTCATTGTCCATTTTATCAGCTCCACTTACTATATAGGTGCACTTTGTAGTTCTACAGTTACAGACTGTAGTCCATCTGTTTCTCTGCATACTTTGTTAGCCCCCTTTTACCATTCTTTAGTGGTCAGGATCCCCATGGACCCTCACAGAGCAGGTACTATTTGGGTGGTGGATCATTCTCAGCACTGCAGTAACACTGACGTGGCGGTGGTGTGTTAGTGTGTGTTGCGCTGGTCTGAGTGTATCAGACACAGCAGTCCTGCTGCAGTTTTTAAACACTTCAGTGTCACTGCTGGACTGAGAATAGTCCACCAACCAAAAACATCCAGCCAACAGCGTCCTGTGGGCAGCGTCCTGTGACCACTGATGAAGAACTAGAGGGTGACGAACACACACTGTGCAGCAGCAGATGAGCCATCGTCTCTGACTTTACATCTACAAGGTGGACTGACAAGGTAGGAGTGTCTAATGGAGTGGACAGTGAGTGGACACAGTGTTTAAAAACTCCCGCAGCACTGCTGTGCCTGATATATATATCGCTGTTGTCAGAAGAAAACCTCGTATCTCCAAAATGGTAACTTTACAGGAGCAGGAAAAAGCATACTTTACTTTTAATGTAAGTCAATGGAACCAGACTTTTTTCCAATTAATTTTGGGCCGTTTCTTTTGGTCCGTTCATCATAAAATTTACACACAATGTAAAGGACAACAGGTGTTTTTAAATTATGTTAAAAACTGAAAAACTAATCTGATCTGACTGTGTTTATTCCTCAAGCCTACCTGATATGACAATGCAGGTGTCTTTTGCTCGTCTCTTCATGGCCTTGTAAGCTGCGTCGGCCACAGCGTAGAGGTGAGGGGGGTTTTCGTACAGCTCTCTCCCTCTGTACGCATCAATCGCATCTTTACCATAGATATCCATCTGTCTGTAGGGGTTCACTGACACCACCACCTCGCCAATAAACGTGTAGATCCGGCCTTTCTCAAACCTGAAATCACAACGATCAGCCATGAAACAATGCAATGGAGCAAGAACACAATATTAACAGTTCAACAAAACAACACTTTTGCACAGTTTCTCCTTTATCCCTAATGTAGCTTCTTTAGTTTTACGTTGGAGCTGGGCAATATGACAATATTACTGTTATTGGGATAAATTATATTATTATATGTAACAATATGCTGTTCTAAGTATATTGTTGATATCGTCAGTACCTAAACACTCCTCAACTGCTTGTTTGACTACAAAGAGACCATAAATAGCCCTGTTTGATTATATTTAGTGCAGCACAATGTGAGTGCGTTTACACGCATTCAATAATCTGATCATAATTGGATTTCTGCAGCTTTTTGATTATTCAAATGGTCGTGTGAACACCAGTAATCAGATTTCACCAGTGATCAGATTTCTCAGTGTAGTAAACTCTTACTCGGATTTCTAAGTCTTCACATGTGTGAAAACAGATGGACAGCATCAGATATAAGCCAGCAGTGTTGCCGTGAGACGCAGCAAACACTTATGGAGAGGCACTGAAACCAAACACGAAATGAAAGACTTAAATATACTTCATCTTCTAGATGATGTACGTCTATAGTTTCAGGTAAAGTGGTGCAATGTTTTTAAAAAGGCTCCGGCGTGAAGTTTAAGTTTTACATTAGGTTTACGTCACGTCTTGTTCTGTGAGTTTACTGGCTGCTTGCAAAGCAGAAGTCTGATTACTGTCTGACTCATGTAGACCTGGAGTTTCCACTATTATTACTGACAAAATCTGATTTTCTGCAGTTATCAGATTATTAAGTGCGTGTAAACACACTGTGTGAAATGTTGAATACAAATCATTGGATTCATAGTTTTTGATAGTATTTTTAAAAAAGCCACTTCTTTGTCTGTTCTAACTTATCAGATGTCAAAAAATAAATGTTGTGATACATTATTTATCACCAAAAACCTCTTGAGGTATTGTGATTACATTCTGCCATATTGCCCAGTTCTAACTGGAGGTAATGAGGCTATCCCACCAGTTAGCATCATCTTATTTTTTAAGTTTTGAATATTAATGAAAATGTAAAAACAGTAATTGAACAGTAATATAAGATTTTTCAAAAGTAAATTAGCTGCTTTTACCATTATGTGTTCTCATATTTAAGAATCATGAGATGACTGAGCTCTATACTCCATCAGAGAGCAGCGAAGAACCTGCATCTTATGTTGTGGTCAGAGTTTCTTAGCTAGGCTGCGTCTCCTGAAAGCATCTTAGCACAAAGATGATTCCTAAATGATAGAGCAAGCATTACATTGAACACTCTCTCTCTACCAGTTAAGATGATCTTAAGACTAGCAAGCTTTTGGAAAACTGGGTCCTGTTTAGTCCAAAGAAGGAAACAATGAAAGACTACTGCAGCCGGCTAAAGACTAAAGGCTAAAGACTACCACACACTGGGCGAGAGGCTCCACAGAGCTGGTGTCTCTGACACCGGTCAGCTAAAGTTCTGTTTGTTTTCAGCTTTCCAGCTCTTCACAAACTCACTGATTGCCAGCTAAAAGGTGTGAGGAGAAATACAACAAGACTAGGCTAGTAACAGTAGCTGAGTTGAAAACAAACGGTTAGCATCTGTGTGTTTATCTTAAATCACTAACACTGCATGTTTGCATATTGACGAACTATGAGATGTCTCTACACTCCACCTGAATTTTACGTTTTTGTCAGAGAGTTTTATCTGTTTAGTCCAGTAAAGGAAAGAGAAATGTTACTGCAACTGGCTCAAGGCTACCACACACTGGGCGAAGCTCAGCTAGGGTCTCTGGCGCCGGTTAGCAGATAGCACAAAGCGCAGCTATAGCATATAAAAACATCATGGAAGAACTTTCTTTGGTATCACCTAACTAACTCCTCTCCATCCTGCTATGACCTTCAAGCAATAAGCCATAGGAGGCTGTGGGTCACTGCTATTTTATCATGGGAAGTGGCTTATTGCTTTTATAAAATGGCCAATATGAAATATGATTAAATACACACTTTTTCAGAAAAAAAAGTCATTATTAATAATAATCAACATCGACAAGTATTCCGCCAAGAAATGTAGTTCCTTTAGAGTGTGGAATCACTGCTAAGCAACCATGGACTGCTGAATGAGGAGAACGTTCAGTCACCCATCGCTGTATATTGCAGTCGTATTACTGAATTTTGCATTGCGTTTTGTCGTATAACAGTGAACATATGATAACACCCCACTGTTTAATGCAAAAACCTTCACTTTATAAGTACTTTTTGGTCACCAAATTACCACCGCAAGTCTTATTTAGCACCAAACCAGCAGCCATGGCGCAGTAATACAGAGTTCAGTTGTTGTGAAGAGGTCATAGGTGTGGATATATCTTGGATTTTACAATGGCTTTGAATGCAGCTCAGCCAATCAGATTTTAGAACCGGAACTATCCGTTTTATAATATGACATAACTGGGCTAGTAACATTAGCTGAGGTAAAAACAGACAGTTAGCTCATACTGAAGAACTATCTCCACCAGAGAGTAGTGAAGAACCTGCATCTTATATTTTGTTCAGAGTTTCTTATCTGTTTGGTCCAGTAAAGGTAAGAGAAGTTCTCCTGCAGCCGGCTAAAGGCTAACACACACCTGGCGAAGCTCCACAAAGCTAATTTCTCTGGTGCTGGTTAGCAGATAGCACAAAGCGCAGCTTGAAAGACCTTTCTTTGGTATCATCTAACAAACTCCTCACTATCCTGCTATGACCTTACGACATGACAGGGCTAGTAACGTTAGCTGAGGTGAAAACAGGTTAGCTTTTGTCTGTTCATCTTAAAGACTTTAGATTTTTGCCTTTCTTGGTGTAAATTTCAAACCAAGTCACCTACTATGGATTTGTGGTCTTAATACAGTAGAGACCCAGATAGCGAGCATATATCGGTCCACTGGCTTAATACAGTCGAAACCCCACTGACCTTGCCACTGCTGGTCCACCTTCGGACCACCCAGATTACTGTCCTGCTTAAAAGCTCTACCTATCTTTTAATCTCCTCAAAAAGATTTTAAATGCACACAAACTTTAATTTTAGAAAATACATACATACATCATCTAAACCGCTTATCCTTCTGGGTCACAGTGGGGTGCTGGAGCCTATCCCAGCTGTCATTGGGCGGAAGGCAGGATACACCCTGGACAGGTCGCCAGTCCATCACAGGGCAGACATACACATTCACACACTCACACCTAGGGGCAATACAGCGTGTCCAATTAGCTTAACTGCATGTTTTTGGACTGTGGGAGGAAACCGGAGTACCCGGAGGAAACCCACGCAGACACGGGGAGAACAGGCAAACTCCACACAGAAATGACGCTGGTCACCCAGCCGGGAATCAAACCCAGGCCATTCTCGCTGTGAGGCAACAGCGCTACCCACTGCACCACCGTGCTGCCTTTTTAGAAAATAAACTAAGACAAATATTACAAACAACTGAGAGAAAAACGGTCTAATATAAAATGATTTTATAGAAAATGTGGTTGCTGACGCTGTGCTGGATTAAAATCATTTACTAAACTAATTTACAAAGTATAATTAAAGAAAAGTAGGAAGGAAAACCAGTAAATTGGACTGTGAGTGGAAAATGAGCGATGATAAGTGGATTTTTGTCTAATATTCTGCTTAACCGCCGGTGGGCCGCCTGGAAAACACTGAGCAAAACACCAGTGAACCACCAGCTCTGCCATCAGCGGGCCAACAGTGGTCCAGCATCCTCTTGTTATCAGGGGACAGTGCAGAGTCATTGTCTCTGGTGGTGGCTAGTGTTTTGTTGTTTGTTTTGTTTTGTTTTATTATTAGAGGGAATATTATTTGAATATTTTCTGAAAAATGCCTTACAAATTTGAATATGAAATTTGACTGAAATGCACATCCCTAATGCAAAGTGGTCCATAAATAAGGGAAAAGTACAGATAAAAACACTGGAAACTTTTCATATTTTGCTTTAAAAGTGGAGCAGAGGAGTAAAAAACCCTTATAAACCCTTCACAGTCTCTGTAAAACATAAATTCATGAGATAATGTAGCAAAAGCAATGAGGACAACTGATGCATTCATTCACACCAAGTACAGCATCACTCATCACTCAATACTGTGAACTGTTTCATAACTCAATGCATAAATACAGGTGCATTACTGATTGGGTGATAACTAAGGCCTAATAGTGAAGTGTGCAGTTCAGCTAAAGGCCATGTAGCATTGCACATATCTCACAGTGTCGTAGTCTTCACCCACCCATATGCAACAGGAAGTGATACGAGGGTGGGAAGTGAGAACAGGAAGTGTAAAGTGCGGCTCAAGATGACTCGCTCTCTCTACTTCATAAAATCCAAATGACTGTGTGCGTCTGCGCGGTCCGAGCTCTCCGACATATTAGCCATTCTTTCTGATCGGCTCAGCGGATCTTTATCTCCTAAAACTGCCCACTTTGTCTGCACAACAAAGGATCTGTGGGACCTTACTTCAGTTCCTCACCCAACCACATAATGTACGCAGTAGTTTTCCACTAGTTTCCCATTAATAGGTCTCAAAGGGGAATTCCACCGATTTTTCAAAAAGTGTACAAAATGCAATCGCTGAGATGTAAACAATGTCATTCAGAGGGGTTTAATGTGAGACAGTGCTTTAGAAAGGAGCTTTACTTTACAGTGGCAGTGACAGGAACCTGGGGTTGCCATGACTACAACACAAATAGAGACATTTTATTTACTATCCAAAATCACCAGTGAACCTACATGAGTCTTCTGAGTTTATATGGAATGCAGATTATGATAAAACAGTAATAAATATGGAAAATATTGGGGACTATTTTGCCTCACAACACCCTGCATGTACCCCTCTGTCATGAATGTATTTAAAACTATTTACGTTTTAGTGCATCTTGTTTCAACACTATCATCAACTAATGTCTCAGTCATCAGTGCAGTGAATCCATAGCCATTTCATGTAGTAACTTTCTGTGAGGGAGCTTTTAGAGGTGGACGTCTGGTTCCTATCACCACCACTGTGAACAATTCTGACTCTGTAAGTTTCTCTACAGCGAACCATTTCACTCAAACTACTCTGAATGACTTTGTTTACATCTTTATCGTTTACTTATGGAGAAATTTTGAAACATCTGTGGAATTGCCCTTAATAATGCTTATTAAAAATAAGCTTGATAAAGAAAAAATAAGGCTTCAAGGTTTAAAAGCCTGTTTAAAATCTACAGAGAAAACGTTCCTCCTAACAACCACCTGGAAGACCTGTTAGACCCCAAAACTGCCCCCATCTGATAAACAGCACTTAAAGCTTTCATCTCTGAGAGAGAGGAGAAAATCAAGCTACTTCAGATCTAAAAACATCCACAGGTGTTTCTGTCCATCCTTCCACTGTGAGAAGACGACTCAGCGCTGTGGGTCTGAAAGGATGTGTAGCTGTCAAGAAGAACCTCACTGAGAAAAGGAGACGGACACATCAAACAAAGAAGCTGAACAATGGACTGACCACCCCAGAGTCCAGACCCCAACACCACTGAATGTGTTTGATTACTTCAGAAAATCAACCAACTTCTAAGACTGAACTTTGGAGGTGTGGAAAAACATCCCTGCAGAAGTGAGTCTCCTGAAAAGAATGGAAGCTGGAATAAAGGTGAAGAGTGGACAAAAAAGTGTGAAGAAACATGTTTTTGACCCCACGCTGAAAGAAGAAGTCACCTGATAGTTTCAGACTCGGCCCATGACGTCACCGTACAGCGATGGAGAGAGAGGAGAACTAAGCGCTGACTGGGTTGCGTCACTGCGTCTTAAGCCGAACAGCTTAAACTCAAAATGCCGGGGCTTCGTTTTCTTTTGTTTCACTCTTACAGTGATACAGTGACACAACCCGCACAGAAAGTTGCAGAGAGAAAAAAAAGTGCTGCAGTTGTCAGTCACTCAATTTCATAAGTAAGTCGCAAAGCGGAAAGTCAGACGCAATGACTCATATATGCTTCAAGCCATCCAAGCCCAACTGGGAGTGGCCAGAGCCATTTATTACCGCTTAAAACGCCAAATGAACGTCAGATTAATAAGCAGAAACTGTTGAAACGTATCTTTTTAATCACCATTCAAAGTTCAATTGAGCTTAGCAGTGAGGCCGTTAGCAAACATGCTTAGCTAAGGCTAATGCCACAGAGCGGTACAGTTCAGGTCACTGTTTTCAGTCAGCCAATCAATGAGTGCTGCCATAAGGGTCTTTGGGAGCCGTTTGGGCCAGGTCAGTTTTGGTGTAAGGTAAATTTTAGCATGTTAGTACTTAATAATATCAGTTTTGATTGATAGCACTAGTACAGATCCAGAGGTGGGCACTAACCAGCTCCCCTTAACAAGCCCCTTAACAAGCCATGGGCGGGCCCAAAGTATTATTACCCACTTCTATAACCTATGAATAGCTCCATTAGTTTGCACTGCAGTCCCTATAGCTACTTAATAATAAGCCTTTGTATCTAATGAGCCTGTATGTTAAGGGGTTAAGTACAATTCTGATGCATTTGTACTACTCTGAGCATTAAATGGTACTGCTTTGACTTCTTTACTGCACTTTTTTCAATAACATTTGGTGCCTAATTCCTAATTTAGCTCATTTTGGGGTGAAGGAGGGGGAGTTAACTTCATTCTGCTGTGTTGGTTTATCTTCTGGACTGCTTTACTGCTGCTCTCTCCTCACTTTGGTGCCTGTATTTCATTTCAGACCAAAAAGAATCTAAAAAAAAAAAGAGAAGGATTGTGCCAACAAACTTCAGTTCCTATGCTGAGAGATGCTGGATGTACTAAGAAGTTCAAGTTCATGTGAACTAAGTGCTGGACCTGATACTTCACTCAACAGCTTCTTTTACTCCCACTTCAGTCATTATCTCAATGAAGTAAGCACACTTTAGCTTGATTACGGGTTCCAGCTCCTCTCCCCTCCTCGCTGAGCAGTGCCGGCATGTTTCGCTTCTTCTCTTTCTCTCTTACCTCAGCTTCAGGTTGTCCAGGAACTGCTCCATGGTCACTTCATCCAGGAGCACAAAGTCCGACTTGCCGAACTCGAAGCCCTCCAGCTCCGCCATCCTCGTTTACAGCCTGCCTGAGGGACCAACAGATGGAGAGGAGAGCGGAAGAGGACAGGAAAGAGAGAGAGAAAGAGAGAGAAGTGAGCTCTGGTGTCAGAGCCGGTAGAGGAGGCAGAAGAAGACTGAAAGTGGGTGTGGTCTAAAAGCCTCAACTGGTTCATCTGGGGCCGTACTTAGGCAAGTCAGTGAGGGCTGTGGTCTGCAGGCTCTGGCACGTCATCCTGTGCATGGGTGTGTGAGTATATATAGAGAGAGTGTGACCAGCATGAGCTATCTTTATACCTTTCTCTTGCCGTTCTGCGTGGGGCTGAGCGATATGGCTAAAATCGAATATCACAATACACGATATGCATCACGATATTTTGTTTTTCTGAGTTGTGCAAGTTGGAAGTGAGAAAAACTATAATTTTTTTATTTTTATAATGTTTCACACATTCACTGCTGTCATTTCCATTAAACATGCATAAGTGTGCTCTCTTTATAATGAAACGTTGGGTTTATGTTCTGCAGTTAATGCTCATGTCCACATTAAGCTCAGAAAAGCATGTTTTTTGATCATATTGTGGAGATCGTCATCAACTAAAGAACACACACTGAATGTTTCACCATAATGAAACACTAGTAAAACCAGGGCTGGGCAGTATGACGATGTGCTCAGAAAAGCATGCTGTGATGTGACAAACTTTATCACAATAATGATAAATATCACCCAGCCTGAGTTTTACATCTTTCTCATCACGTTCCTATCATACACTCCTCAACATGAAGGTGCTCTTTGTATTCACTATGAATTATTCAGTATCACCTATGAATTATTCATTAACTACTTTTAATTATTTAGTAACTACTATGAATTATTTAACATTTGCTGTGTTATTCAACATCTACTATGAATTATTCAGTACTTACTATGACTTATTCAGTAACTACTATAAATTATTCAGTATCTAATATTAATTATTCAGTATCTACTATTATTTATTGATTAATTACTATGAAGTATTCAGTAAATTCTATTAATTATTCAGTATGTACTATGAATTATTCAGTATCTACTATAAATTATTCAGTAATTACTATGAATTTAGTAACTACTATGAATTATTCAGTGTCTACTATTAATTATTGATTAATACTATGAAGTGTTCCGTAAATTCTATTAATTATTCATTATCTACTATAAAGTATTTAATAATTATTATTTACTATGAATTACTCAGTGTCTACTATGAATTATTCAGTAATTACTATGAATTATTAAGTAACTACTATTAATTGGGGCAGTCGTGGGCAGGAGGTCACTGGTTTGATCCACTGAGCCAACAGGACATGACCCAACCCCCAACTGCTCCCTGGGTGCCGTGAATACCCACCCCTGCCCACCTCCCCAGGCAAATGTGCTCACTGCCCCCCAGTGTGTTTGTGTGTGTGTGTGTGTGTGTGTGTGTCTGTGTTTGTGTGTGTGTGTGTGTGTGTGGGGTTGGTTCACTGCATGCATGGGTTAAATGCAGACCCATGTGACCACAATTGGTCAACGGTTCTGAATTCTAATTCTAATCCTTCAGTATCTACTATGAATTATTCAGTAACCCTTACAAAATATATACTAGTACATGTTTACTATGAAACTAATGTGCAAGTTCTGTAGTTATGAGAGTGGATATGGGTCCACAGAGAACTAATGGGGTTTATGGTCAAACACCACACTGGCATCGCAGTTTAGTCCAATTCTGAAAAAATGCATCCTTTTTTAAGCGAAAATGAATTAAATATAGGCAACATGTGTAATATTTCTCAATACTAGATTGAAAGAATATTACAAGAGTATACAACCTGTTTCCAGACTATTTCACCATTGATATGATCTTAATAATATATAAGCAATAATACTTAAATGAAAGAAAATGATCTGACAGTGCAATAAGATGATCTCATTTGAAAAGATTACTTATAGAAAAGTGAGTAGAAACAGGCTGAATAGCCTTATAATATCATAACGTGAAATGTTAGATACGTTGCTAGCATTTCATGACTGAAGCCATGTGTTCGGTAAAGGCGACTTGAGGTTACAGCGGAATTTTATCTTTTTGGGAAAGAAAACATGGCATTTCCTGCTGTAAGTCCCCCTCAGCACCCTCAGATCAGATGTACAGACGTGGGCAGGCCATGGGAAACCTCACCGCAGAAAAGTGGAACTTCAAAATCTGACCTTTTGTGTTTTGACGTTTGCAGCAACCCTGGAGCAGCTTCCTTTATCCACCTCTAATCTTTACCATTAAAGGGGAACTGCAATACTGGACTCGTGTTAAAGCACAAACTCAGTCAACACTAAAATACACACCGCGCAGGCAGGAAATGAGCCCACGAGCCATGTGTGGAAGAGCGAGCGGATGTCGAGGGAGCTGTCCAGATACTGATCAGCAGAGCTCAGCTGACAGACGGCGTAATTGCAGTGGGACGAATCAGTCAGCAATGGGATACAACAGCTGCTGTGCGAAATTACAGAATTAAAATGGTACAAATCAGTCAGGTATGGTTTAGAATCACTGAAGGCCGATCAGAATGGGCTTTAGTGCGAAATTACACACCAACAGAATTATTATGGAAAATTATTATTCTGTTTACACTGATAAATCAGACTGATAATGACTTTAATATAAAAAAAAACAAAACAATAATGACCTAAAATGCCTCTTGAGTAAATAATGCTTTTAAAAAACAGAATGTCTATAGTAATTATAATAGTCAAAAATACATCCCCATTTCCAAAAAATTTGGGACGCTGTGCAGAAGATGCAATGATGTGCAAATCATGTAAACCATATTTTTATTTTATTTTATTAAGGAAAATACTACAAATATGAAATATAATAAAATATATCAAATGTTGAAACTTGTTTTGCACATTTTGAATTTGATGCCAACAACATGTTCCATAAAAACGTTGGGATGGGGGCCTGTTTACCACTGTGTTTCATCACCTCTTCTTTTAACAACACTGTAAGCGTTTGGGAACTGAGGAGACACTGCTGTAGTTTTGAAAGTGAAATGTTTTCTCGTTCTTATTTGATACAGGATTTCAGCTGCTCGTCAGTTCAGAGTCTCCTTTGTCGTATTTTCATTTCATAACACAACAAATGTTATCAGTGGTGACAGGTCTGGACTGCAGACAGGCCAGTTTAGCACCTGGACTCAATACAAAGCCATGCTGCTGTCATACATACAGAATATGGTTTGACAATGTCTTGCTGAAATAAGCAAGGACACAGTGTTCATGATTTCCAAAAAGAATTTCAAATGTTGATTCGTTGGACCACAGGACACTTCTTCACTTCTCCTCAGTCCATTTTAAATGAGCTCAGGCCCAGAGAAGGTGGCAGCATTTCTGGGTCCTGTTTATGTTTGGTTTCTTCTTTGCATTCTAGAGTTTTAATTAGCATTTGTGGATGCAGTGATGAACTGTGCTCACAGACAGTGTTTTTCAGAAGTGTTTCTGAGCTCATGCAGTGATTTCCACTACAGAATCACGTATGTTTTTAATGCAGTGCTGCCTGAGGGCCCAAAGATCACAGCCAGCAAATACTGGTTTTTGGTCTTGTCCCTTACATACAGAGATTTCTACAGATTCTCTGAATCTTTTAATGATATTATGTACCGTAGGTGATGAAAAGCAAAAGTTCTTTGCTATTTTATGTTGAGAAACGTTATTCTTGAATTGTTGCACTATTTGCCTGTGCAGTCTTTCACAGAGTGGTGAACCCCTCCTCATCTTTACTTCTGAAAGACTCCGCCTCTCTCAGATGTTCATTTTATACCCAATCATGTTACTGACCTGTTGCCAATTAACCACCAGGCGTTACACAACTTTACCAGACTTTTTTTGCCCCCGTCCCAACTTTTTTGGAACATGTTGTTTGCATCAAATTCAAAATGGGCATATATTTTTCAAAAAACAATAAAATTTCTCAGTTTCAACATTTGATTTCTTGTCTCTGTACTATTTTCAAAGAAATATAGGGTTTAAATGATTTGCACATCATTTTGTTTTTATTTAAATTTTGCACAGCTTCCCAACTTTTCTGCTAATAGGGTTGTATTACAGATTGAGGTCTTAAGCACTTTTAATAAATGTGTTTTGGGATCATTCCAAATTTATTCCAGTCATGTTAAAACGTCAAAGGAATAACAAACTAAAAAGCAATTAAAATCTAAAAATGAAGCTCTGAAATGCCACAATTTTAACATTTAAGTAAAATGTAAATGATGTCATTAACCCGTTAGTGGAATCTTTCAACACGACTCATCTTCTAAAACATAATAAAAGCCTTAATAGCCCAAAATATGAATATATGGATAGTGCTGTTGAACGTTAGTTACAGAATTTAAGGGTTTCACTTTTAGGCTTCAACTTTTGTTGGGTCTACAGTGCAAAAGCTTGAGCACCCCTGTGAAATGACGTTTTGTTGGTTTTCTAAGTGTTAATCAGCAAATAAACAGTAAATTAAACACATCCTCTACAGAGAACACGCATTTTAATGCACAATCACTGTTTATTTGAATTTGACGAAACTGAATGTGACGTATTGGCCTGTGCTAAAGTTATGGCACATTATACTCCATATTTTAGTTCAGTTGTTCTCTGTAGAAGATGTGTTGACCTGGTTTCACTCAGAAATATTTTGGGACTGTAAATATCAACTCTATTTTCAGTGTATCAACACACAGGCCCAAGAATCATTATTTAATCATTTAATTATTTAATTGTCCCAGGGAACTGTGGGAAATACAGTTTTGTTAAAGCTGTGTAAGTGGGAGGAGTCACATCAGCCCTGAGAATGGTGATTAACACTGCTTTTGTAAGATTAGCACCGCCCAGTTTGCAGTGAAAGAGGCTAATGTTGGCCATTTAGTGGTCATAGGAAAATTATTCACAGGGTATAGTTTGTACATGTATGTTTTGTGCCCATAAGGGCGAGACTGACCCACTTTCCCTGCTGTGTTAAACACTTTGTTGGTCAATTGATGATCAAAATGCATTCTTTTCTTTTTCCACAAGATGGCACTGTTTCTTCCAGACAAAAGGAGAGGATAACATGCTTGTCCTGCGCACAGGAGAAAGTGGTTAAAGAGTCAGCCTCACCTAATCAAACCAATCTCAGGCTTATTATTACACACTAAGGCTTATTATGTAGTAACTACAGTGACTTCAGAGCAAACTGGCTGAGCTATTCTTAAGTTATAGAAGTGTGTAATAAAACTTTGGGCCTGCCGGTGGGCCCTGACCATTTAAGGGGTTAATCAAGCAGGGACAGAGACAGGCCTTCTAAACGATGCTCACACTGACTGGCTAATTGGTCCTACATAAATGATTGAATCCTGGATCAGTGTGAGTTTTAGAGAGTGACCAGAGTAACAGAGTGATGTAATGAGTAACGTGATTAGTTTTTCCAGGAAGTAATTAGTACTAGATTACTTTTTTGAGTAACTTCCCCAACATTAACGATGACCATGAAATTCCTCCATACTAAAGGGAACCACTGAATTTTAAACCATCTTCTCCTGAAGTGGTTGTTTTGTCTTTACTATTCAAATTGCTGATCTGTGATGGACTGGCAACCTGTGTGTGATGTGTGCATGTGTGTGTGTGTGTGTGTGTGTATTCAAATCACTTCAGTTACATTGCACCACTAGATGGTAACTAGAGTATAATAATAATAGAGAAATAGAGTAACCTATATTTAAAATGGGGCTACTATCTACTCATGATATGTAAAACAAGCAGAAAGTATATGTTAAAAAGTGCAGAAGCTGCCCTATTTTAAAAAGCTATATAGAGGAAAAAGTCACTGAATTATCTGAAACAGTACAAAAGTGTGCTCTGATCTCCATCATCTCACATTTTTGTTTTTTTCTTTATTCCAAAAAACAAAAATTAAAATAATTACATACATTTTTGACTGCTAAATGTACAGTTTAAAATATACATATCATACACACTATACAGTACATAAAGTACAGATTCAAGCATTTTAATAAATCAAAATTGTTTGATTGAACCACTTACAATGAACATAAATATACATACATACATATATATATATATATATATATACATATTTATGGCATTCATGTTTGTTTATATGTTTATGGCATTCATGATTGTTATAGTATACATATTTATATATACTCTGAACTATAACAATCATGAATGCCATAAACCTAAATGATGGCTATCTGATTCCTAGGGATGCAGGATGATATCAAGATGATAGTCATGGTGAAATTATGAAACGTTTTGCTGATTTTCTAAGTGAAAATAAGCTCTAACTTAAATATGGCGATTTTCATTTAACATATGGGAAAAATGTAAATCATACAATGTAAAATGTGCCATAATTTCTGCATATAAACAGTAATTGTGTATTAAATTGTGCAGAAGTGTGTTCTCTGTAGAGGATGTTTTTACTTTTTATTCGCTTTCAATTGACCCAAACCTTTGTATCAGCAGATATTTGTTTTAAAATTTTTGACATTCGAATATAATTTTTTTTTTTAATATTTCAAACTAATATTTAATGGTGTATTTAATGTACTGTAGAGCAGAATGTTTAAACGATGCTGGGTTACTGCGCTTAAATATCAAGGAAATCCCTCATTTTTAACAGCATTTTCCTTGTTCATAACAAGGAAACTTTTTTTAAGCGTGTCTTATTTATAAAATCTGAAGTTAATTTATTCAGACCAGCTCCTAATGATTTTTTAATTGTTGGAGTCTTTTTTGTTGTGAATGTCTTTTCTTCACCACCAGATGGCAGCAGCAGTGGCTCAATTTGTTTTGGCTGCTCTCTGGTCTCCCTGTATTTATGTCTATCCACAGAGCTGCTGCGTCTCCTGCCTGGCTGTTCGTTTGGAGGGCGCTTTTGTGGCTCTCTTCTTGACTGATCTTCCTCCTGATAGTGTGAAGGAGAATAGTCTTTTGCTGCACTGGCCTGATAATCAGGTTTAGGACTGCGTCCTTGGTCAGTTTCCCTAACACTGCTGACCCTATGCTCTCTTTGTAGCGAGGAACTCCGTCTTAGTCTTGAGCCCCTCTCTAGTTCTCTGCCCCTTTGACTGGAAGTAGACGGGTCATCATTCATTCCCAGCAGCATTTGCATCACCAAAAAGCTCCTTGTAGAAGTTCCCACCAGCTTTATAGTGTCATCGTCTTGCTTGATCACAACACCCCAGTCTTTATAATGCTGGATTCTGTCACGTATCTGTTTTTGTTGGACAGGCCTGTATTCTTTCAGGTTTATTTCTTGTTTGCGCAACTTGGGTCCAATATCCTCAATGAGAGCCTGGAGCTTCGCTTGAGCTTTCTGACAGTTTATTCCCAAAAACTTGACCACTGTAATGTCTTTATCATCTATTACACTCATCTCAGCACCATAGTTCATATTCATTTCCTTGAAAACATCCTCTCTATAGACAAGTGCATAGTCCAGGATGTCTCGGTCCACTAAAACGCTTGCTTCTCTTCGGCTGGACGTTGGCCTACTATAAGAATCAGCATGCAAGTTGGGAAGACTCCTGGGGGAGTCTGAATCTCCATGTACAGGAGAGGTGGGCTGTGGCCGAGTGAGGCTGGCTGGAGAAACACCTGATAATACTGATGCACCATCAACCACGGGGCTCCGGTTCCACACATGCACTCCATTGCCAATCAAATGACCATATTTTGATGAGGACTTGGCAATATATCTGTCCTCCAAACGATCAGGCTCTGATCTGGAGACAGGAGCTGATGAAGCTGATGAGTATCCGTTGGAGAGAGCTGGAGGAGATCTGCTTTGGAGCGGGACACCCTGGGCCAGAAGGTGAGTGAGTTTTTTTCGTAAAAGCTTCAGATTGAGGAAGGACCCCTTTAAATGGAGGCGGCCTGTGCTGGGTTTGGTTACCTCGAAGCCGTGCTCCTCAATGAGCTGTAGGGCCTCCCGCGGATTTGGGAACATACTAATATCCAATGTGGTTTCAACCCCCATGTCCACCTGAAACAGCACAGAAAATCATCCAATCTCAGTTTAGACAGCACAGCTCACTGGACATACAATATAATCACAATACTGCATTATGAAAATACATGTTTTAAAATGTTTTTAATGTGATATACATTATGAATGTAATTTATTGTTGTGTATAATATTTACAATACAATATATTTACAATAAAGTTATGCAGCAATGTGGTTTTAATGTTGTTATACAGCATTATGCTTATATTATCATCGCTGTCCAAAAAAAAGAAATATCTTCAATTTTTTGATTTTTATCTTTTGACATCATTTGAGCTCAACAGCTGCCCTTTACATTCTGTGAAAGATTTGTGATGGACCAATAGAAATGCTCCAAAATTGCTTGGAGTAAAACCTCTTTAACATTAACTTACATTAAAAGTAATGAAAGTTTTTGCCTTCTCCTATAAAGTTACAATTTTGTTTTTCTCTGTGACGATATCAACAGATCATATTAAGGAAATTAGCATAAATCTTCTTGTTAAATAAAGAAATAAAGCAGAGTAAATTAAAAAGTCATTAGATTAATGAAAATGTGTGGAATTTATGATTTATGGAAATCTGCTAAACATATGGATCTGAAGAATCTGCGGAAGAGGGGTCAGATGACATGATCTGCTGATTTTATAAGTAAAAATAAGTTAATCTGTCCTCTACAGTGGACAAACTTGAATACAGAATTTTCTGCAAATTTTAGTGCAATTTTTTTGCAGAGTTTAACAATAAAAAATACAACAAAAACTATAAAATGTGCCACAACTTTTGCACAGGCCAAAATTTATTTTCCCCCAGTATGTCAAATTTAGCAAATAAACAGTAACCGTGTATTAAAATGTGCAGATGTGTTCTCTGTAGAGCAGGCACGTCAAACTGTCCCCAGACCCTCCCAGACCAAAGTGCTGTGGAGATCAGCGTCTCCCTCATCTAACACTCTGAATCCAGTTCATGAAGGCCTTGCTAATTAGCTGATGAGCTGAATCAGGAGTGTGTAATGATGCATTGTGTCCTGCGAGGACTGGATCCTGACACACGTGCTGTAGAGCATGTCAACTTATTTACACTCATAAAATAAACAAAATATGTCAGACGATTGAGGATGACTAAACTTTTGCATACAGCTGTATACTTTCTGTATCTGCTCTCGTTAGAATACGCTGAACAGCTCAGCGGAGAGCTAACAGGCTAATGAGCTCATCCAGAAATATTCATAGACAAGATTTAATTTTGGTCTTCGCTGATGGAGTAACTAGAACTAGAACTAGTAAAATTACAACATAAATTTTAATATACAAAGAAAATGTTCTTTGAAGGCCAGTTACAAGTTTCAAATGTCTGCGTTACACTAGAGCTCATAACAAATGCAATTAAATTAGCATTATGCTATCAGAAAAAATCGCTATTTTCTATTACAAGATTTCAGAAATAGATTGATATTTAATGACGCACTGCTGCAACATGTTCCTGATTTAATGACTAACATTAAACTGGTTCTTATGAAAACAACACTTCAAGTTTAATGCAAATACTGCATTTCATTGGCTCTGGACCTGAACTCTACACAATGACAATAAAGTTTAATCTAATCTAATCCAATCTAATCTAATCTAATCTAATCTAATGTAATCTAAATTCTTACTGTTACTGAGCAGCTAGCAAGAGGACACAGTAGGTCTCAATCCTAAATACTTAAGTAGGAATACACACCCTGGACAGGTCACAAGTCCATCGCAGGGCAGACAGACAGACAGACATATACATTCACACACTCACACCTAGGGGCAATTTAGCATGTCCAATTAGCCTGACTGCCTGTCTTTGGACTGTGGGAGGAAACCCACACAGACACAGGGAGAACATGAAACTCCACACAGAAAGGAAAAACCCTATGAGAGATATTTTTGTATATTTTTCACTTCAAAAATAACCCCTAAAAAAGTAAAACCAATTTATGCTCCTGGTCTGAAGTCGTGTATGTCAAATATGGACTGAACATATTCACCTCAGACTGACGAGCTCTCTGGACATGGACTGGATAAAATCTGCTGTCCACTTCCAAAACATGAGTGCACTGCAGGACGCCAGGAACTAAAGCAGAGTAAAGTTGGAAATTACAGGTAAGTAATCAACTTCATTAGACAGCACTCCCTCAGACTGGACTGTGACCTGAAACTAAGAGCAAGTGTGTTTCAATAAACACAGTAAACCAATAAACCTGATCAGCCAAGATAAGCCTTCAATGTTTTGCACTAGGCTAATGCAAATACTAGGGTTGGGCAATAAGACAATATTTATCGATATTGTGATAAATTATGTCACAATACTATACAATATACTCTCCTAAACATATCGTGGACACCGTCAGTGCTTGTAGACACTACCAACTGCATGATTCATCATAAAGAGAGCAAAATTAGTCCCATTTAACTGGATTTAGTGCAACACAGTGTGTGAAATATTGAATAAAAGTCATTGTATTCATTGTTTTGGTAGTATTTTTAAAAATTTAGCACTGCTGTATCTTTTTTCTTTGTTCCAACTGATCAGATGTCTGAAAAAATAAATATTGTGACATAATGTGTATAATGAAAATGTCATATATATTTTTGCCATATCGCCGACCTCCAGTAACAAGGCTAATGTAATGAGCCAAAAGACATTGGCTCACAAAGACTTCAATGCTATTAGACTTACATGCTATTTTTCATTAATCCATTATTATTATTATTATTATTATTATTACTATTGATGTTAATCTTACCTTTTTCTGATTCAAAGATGACGTAGGCCTGTCCTGGAGTAGAGGTCGGGTAAAGTACCTCTAGAACATCATCTCCATTGTTGCTGCGCCTCAAGAAGTGTATCTTCAGCTGGTCCACCATTCGGTCAGAAGGGTCGATATCTGGGACTCCACGAACTTCAAGGACCATTCGCGCCATTCTGACATCAGTACTGAAAGAAATGACATTGAGATTAATAGTAACAGACACATAGGTGAACAGAAGATACTTCAGTTTACTCAGTTCCAGGTACTCTGAATATTTCTGCGTCAGCTCAGGTCTATTTGAAATAAAAACAATATTATTTTTTTCTCAGGTCCATTTATCCTTCAAAATGTAGCCCTGAACTCCTGTTTTGGTGGTTGATTTCACTCTGCTCTGTGGGTCCAGCTCCTGAACTGCTGTACTGTTGCTCACAGCTCACACTCTGAAGCTTCAGCATAACACAGTGAATGAGTTAATGGACTCATGTGAACTATTTCAGACCAGACTGATCCAAAAAGACAGTCTTATGCTAATCGTACACTAGAAGACTCTGAAAAGACTTTTAAAAGACAGTGTCAGAGTTTTTAGTCGCAGACTGTGATTTTGCTGGGGATCCTGCAGGGTCACTATTTGTAAGACCGCAACTAGATTTTTGAGATTATTCCCATCATGCACCTGGTGGAATTTACAAGAAGAGGAACTTTTTCCTTCTCCGCTCTGTAGAGGAACAGATGGGAAGATACGTTGGCTGGGTGTGTAAAGATCTGGGGCTCAGCTCAGTTCAGTTCACTGTAGAGCTGTATACTCTGGCAGATCATCACCCAAAATCATTTTAATTAACCTGTAAAATGTGCAGTTACTTTAATTTGATATAAAGATTTACAGATCAATGAAATATGCAGCGATTCAGTATTGTTGATTGAGTGATATGATTTCCTGAGGAGGCTGAGGTCCTTTAACATCTGTAGGAAGCTCCTGCAGATGTTCTATCAGACCGTGGTTGCCAGCTGTCTTGTTTATGCTGTGGTGTGCTGGGGAGGAAGCATGAAAAAGAGAGACAAGATGCGACTGGACAAGCTGGTCAGGCGAGCCGGGTCAGTGGTCGGTGTGGAACTGGACTCTGTGGTCAAGGTGCCCGAGAGAAGGACACTGCACAAACCTCTCTCCATTATGGAGGATAATGGCCACCCACTGCACCATCATCACGGACAGGAGGAGCATGTTTAGTGGCAGGTTGCTGTCACAGAGCTGCTCAACTGACAGACATAAACAATGGCCAGTTGGGTTCAAAGCACAACATTAAACTCTTCATCTCCTTGAGACCACCAGTGGTTCCAAATCGCATTTCGTCATATTCTTTATAACTTTCATATTTCATAAGCTACATTCAAAAGGTGGGGGTCGTATGAGAGCTGTAACTGTCCTCTTTCCAGTCAAACAGATGGGTGATGTAATTTTAAACCCTTATAATAAAAGAAGCTGAACTAACAATTTTTTTGTCTACTGCAAGTCGACCCATTTGTCCACAAATCTGGGCTATAAACTATAAACAGATGGCGTCTCTTCAGTGATCTGCTCTGTAAAAATGATATTTTAATAAAATAATACAAACAGCGTCTAAGATTTTTGGCTTTCAGCAGTAAATTGTAAGCATATAGCAATATGTGTGATCATAAAAGACATGTTCTGTTCATTTGAGGGGAGCTTTAACAAACAAATAAATAAATAAATATAATAAAACACTTTGTTTGGATGGTCCACTGTAGATTCTCTGTAAATGTTCAGTATATATTTAAGCAACAATCAACTGAATAGTCATTAAATGCCACTGAACTTGAAGTTGAATGTAACTTGATGGTTCACTATAGATTCTTTGCAAATGCTCAGTCTGCCTTTCAATAGCATTCAACTAAATACCCATTAAATTCAGCTGAACCTGAAGTTCAGTGTGAAAGAGTTTATTAAATCTATAGCTAAACTCTATACCTAACCCTATCCTTAACCTCAAGGCAAAACTTACACCTACTCCTACTCCTAACCCTAATGTTGTTGATGATCAACTGAACATCACCAGAAAGTTTGTTAATGATGTAAGTATCTGTAGAGCATCTATAGGGGACCATCCAAATAAAGTGTGACCATTTTTTACTATGGCTCGTTTAGTGGTCGAGTTTGACCCCCCTGAATTAAACTATAAAAACAAACATAGAAACTGAGAAAACATTGAAACATTAAGTAAAAAAGGAAAAGAAAAACAGATACTTCTTCCAGAATACACAGTACTATAGAGAACTGAACTGGGCTGAGCCTCAGATCTTTACATGCTCAGCCAGTGTATCTTCCCATCTAGAAGGTTCATCTGTGTTTCTTGTAAACTCCACCAGGTGCATGATGGGAAATAATCTCTGATGTCCAGCTGCAGTCTTGCAAAAAAAGTGACCCTGCAGGATCCCCAGCAAAATCACAGTCTGTGACTAAAAACCTGACATTATCTTTAGCTATGAAAGGGGGTCAGACCATCCTGACCCCCTCACACTGATGACGAGCACGACGTGACTGTACCAAGACCCCCCTGCAGCTCTGTAAGGTAATACTGGAGAATTTAGACTTCATGGAAGTTCACTTTCACTAAAATATCAGAAAACTGAAGTCAATTTAGGCCCCTCTGCCCACCTGCACGTCTGTTTGATCCTGGCTAAGCAGGTGCTGCTCTTTCTAGTAAGCCATATCGAGTCTGTAGCCTAAAAAAGGACTGAAGTTTATATTCTGAGTGTTTAACTAGGAAAAAGATCATTTATCACTCATCTGAGCGACTTCATGTCACCAACATCTGTAGACTAACCTGTAAAGTGAAAGTACAAATCGCAAACACGAAGTTGAAGTTAGCTTCTTATTCGAACTCTCCGTTCCACCTTAAATGTCGCAGCCTACATTCTGGCGCCTGGAGCGCTTTACTGTAGCAGCTGCCCATTTAAGGTGGAACGGGGAATTCGAATAAGAAGTCGGCGAACAGGAAGCCAAACTGAGACTCTTCCACTGAAGACCATCAGAAACGCTCCAGATAGAAAGCAGGACTGGCTATTTTCGTAGAGATGGTGGTTATAAACGCTGATACTCATCGACTCACCTCGGTCTCTCCTGCAGACAAACAGGCGCGGTACAGAGTTCAGTCTGAAGTGAAAGTAAAAGCAGAGGAAGCCTCGTCCTTCAAACTTCTCCCACTTGGCACTGCTTTAAACAGGCTGTGCATCAGATTGGCTCTGTATTAGCAGCACAGGCTATGAAGTTCATTTCCCTCTGCATTCACTGCATTACATGCATATTCAGTTCACTGGCTGTGTATTTAATGCATTCTGAAGCATTCCTGACACACTTCTATCATTTGTTTCTATTATTTAAAATTATAATGTATTATGGAAGTTGTGCTTTACCTTATTCAGATGTACTTGAATCATAACTGGTCAATATTTTGCTTGGGGTGCGACCTAATAACAAACTAACATATGTATACACCCATATGTTAGTGCGTTTAATTCAAATGCACACATACATTTAGGAGCAGTTTGTAGTTACAGACTGTAGTCCATCTGTTTGTCTGTGTACTCTTTTAGCCCCCTTTCACCATGTTCTTCAGTAGTCAGGACCCCCATGGACCCTCACAGAGCAGGTACTATTTGGGTGGTGGATCATTCTCAGCACTGCAGTGACACTGACGGTGTGCTGGTACAAGTGGATGAGACACAGCAGTGCTGCTGGAGGTTTTTTAAACACCTCAGTGTCACTGCTGGACTGAGAATAGTCCACCAACCAAAAACATCCAGCCAACATCGTACAGTGACCACTGATGAAGGACTAGAGGATGACCAACACAAACTGTGCAGCAGCAGATGAGCTATCGTCTCTGACTTTACATCTACAAGGTGGACTGACAAGGTAGAAGTGTCTAATAGTGGACAGTGAGTGGACAGTGTTTGAAAACTCATATCGACTTGTACCAATGCTTTTAATATCTTAAAGAAACAAAACAGATACTAGTATAAACATTTTTCTTTGCATTGCTAGACAAACATACAGTAGATACATGGTTTATGATGTATGCATGGTGTGACTTTTCAGCATTTCAGTTTTGCCATCCTCTAGCTTTATTAGTGGTCAGTTTCTGACCACAAGACCACTGTCAGCAGGATATTTCTGGTTCTGAGCTGGGTTTATATACACAATGACTTCATAGTCTTTAAGCATTTATTAGAGTTTAATACATCCAATAGCAAAACAAAACAAAAGACATGTTCAGACACTTTACAACCATTTTTTCAAATCTATTTAAAGCTTTAATAAGATGTTTCAAGGCTCCACAAGAACCCTGATACTGAGCATCTGGAAATAAAGGAAATTCAGATCGAGATCTTTTCACATTTATTTTAAGGCTTTTGTCTCTTCTCACAGTCCAACACCTGGGCAATGGACGGCCTCCTGCAAGACAAGTGAGAGAAACTGATACAACAGATCTTAAATGACTGACAAATGTCAAAGGCTGCATATCAATCCACTTTGTGCCGTAAGAGATGGTCTATGAAAATACAGTACACTGTCATTAACAGTGCACTAATGAGTTTAAGACGCAGCCAGAGTGAACGTATTTGTATGAGGTTTTCTATAACCGTGCCTTAGAGGAACACAGGCAGGTCTCAAACAACCTCAGCGTCTCTCTGGCAGACATACAGGAAAGAACAGAGCCACATATCAGACCCAGACTCGCTGATCAGCCTGCACAAAGTACTTGCTCACTATGAAAATCATTCAGTTGTGTTCACACAAATATGTCTAAACTAAAATGTATTGCATTTCCACAAGTCATTCAGAGTGGTTTGGTGTGAAATGGTTCAGATTTCTTTACAGTGGTGCTGATAGGAACCAGGTGTCATGATGTCTACAACACAAATACATTCATTTTATTTACTATCCAAAACCACCAGTGAACCTACACGTATGTTGAGTTTTTATATGCCATGTTGATGGTAAAATAGTGGTAATTCTTTGGGGTCTATTTTGCATCACAACTGCATTCACCTCTCCAGCAGGAGTGGGTTTTACTAAAGATTTTGGCCCAAAACACTCAAATCTATGTAAGTCTGTCTTCTTAATACTCTCTCATACTATAACTTCTATTTCTCTACCATACTTTAACTTGTCTTTTTTTTTATTTCTGCCCAATTTATGTCTATTTTTATTCCTATTTTCATTTCTGCCTAGTATATGTATCTGTCTTACCTATCTTTATCTATCTAAATCAATGTGTCAGACATTAGCCAACGTTTCCATAGCCATTTCATGTAATAACTTTCTGGGAGGGAGCTTTTAGAGGTGGACATATGGTTCCCATCACCACTACTATAAACACATCTGACCAAGTTTTCCATAGAACGAAGCATTTCACACCAAACCCAAATTGTTTACATCTCAATCATGCAGATACTTTGAAAAATGGGTGAACTTCCCCTTTAATGCATATACATGTGGCACACATATCTACAAAAAGTCTGTCAGCATTCACTTACAATCTTAAATAACCAAGGACTGATGATCCCCAAGTGGCCAGAATCTGAGAAAGACAAAAAGTTGAATTAAATAGTGAAACACCACATTTCCTCCTGCTCAGATAATCTAGACATGAACAGCATGTCTGAGGTTTCTATAGCCTCCCTATAAAGAACATAGCAAAGGCCTCAAACCACCTCAACGTCTCTCTAGCAGACATACAGGAAAGAACAGAGTCACAGATCAGACCCAGACTCGCTGATCAGCCTGCAGAGTCTTTATTTTTCAACAAATACAAGGTTTGGTACGATTTTGGTGATGAACACTGCTCAACAGTTCAAACTGTTTAATGGGCAAAACGCGACACACCTTAAGACCTCAAGGCATCTTCAGTTACGGCCCATCTGACAGGAGACACAACGGCAGTAACAGGATCAGTCTGAGAACCAGAGATCACAAAAACTTCAATTATCAGGACAATTTATAACAGCGGCAACACTTGACATTTGTATAAAATCATGTAACATTTCAGTTTTCACTTTTAAAATTTAAAAACATCTGGCCTTTGACTCCAGTGTGTTTTTTGCTCAAACATATGACTTTAGCTCCAGAATGAGGCTAAAAGATTAATCGTTTTTATATCAAAATAATCGCCATTAAGAAAAGTGAGATTTTCTATTAGACATTTTCCCCAAATCGTTCAGCCCCACTCCAGAAAGAACTGATCAATAGCTAAACGTGACCGGGGAACTATTTCACAAAGCAGGACTTTGGTAACACTTTCTTTGGAGTGGTCCTTTGTAGAAGTTTAACAAACTCATAACAGTATCAGTAACACAACAACATATCAGTGCAGTAGCAAAGCATCTGAATACACTCAGGTAAATATCTTGTAGATGTTCTGTTGATACATTACTTACATTAAAGAAATACACTGTTAATAAGTTTCTTCCATTACGCAAAACCTAACCTTACCAACCTTACCCAACACTTACCCTAACCCGGGCCCTAATCCTGACCTTATCCGCAACCCTAAACCTAATCCTACCCTCTTATGTTTCTGACATGTTACTGAGAGTCTGTTGAGTGTTTGTTTCATCTAAAAGGATGACTCAAAATAAAGTGTCACCCAGGATTTTTTGTCAACCAGACAATTTAAGCTCAGACTCAGACCTGTCTTATAAGAGAACTAACGCTTTTGTCTTTTACATCCCTGTTTGTCAGTCCTTACTTTAGAATTCATTTGTCTGGGTTTACTTAACGTTCTGGCTTTGTGAAAAACAGTTTAAGAAGCACCACCCTAAGGCCTAACAAAACCTCAAGATACTTATAAATAAATAATAAAAAAAAAAGATCTGGAAACTGACGTCAGGTTGAGTATCTGTATGGGATTCATCTAACCGTGCTGTGTGGAGGAACACAGCCAGGTCTCAAACAACCTCAACGTCTCTCTAGCAGACATACAGGAAAGAACAGAGTCACAGATCAGACCCAGCCTCGCTGATCAGCCTGCACAAAGTACTTGCCCACTATGAAAATCATTCAGTTGTGTTCACACAAATGTCTAAACTAAAATGTATTGCATTTCCACAAGTCATTTGAGTCTTTATTTTTTAACAGATACAAGGTTTGGTTTGATTTTGGTGCTGAACACCGCTCAACAGTTCAAACCGTTCAAGGGGCAAAATGAGACTCACCTTAAGACCTCAAGGCATCTTCAGTTACGGCCCACCTGACAGGAGACACAACGGCAGCGACGGGACCAGTCTGAGAACCAGAGATCACAAAAACTTCAATTATCAGGACAATTTATAACAGCTTCAAGAACATCGCAGAAGTTGTATGAAAATCACGTAACATTTTTCAGTTTTCACTTTTCCTCGTTTAAAAACAGCTGCCCTTTGCCTCCACTTGACAGGCTGTTAGAGTTTTTTCCCCCCCCCTCAAACATGTGACTTCAGCTCCAGAATGATCATTAGCCAAATGTGACTGGGTGACCATTTCATAAAGCAGGATGTTTTCAGTCAACCAGACAATTTAAGCCCAGAGTCGAGCATGTTTTGTAGGAGAACTAAAGCTTTTGTCTCATTTCCCTATTCGTCAGTCCTTACTTTGGAATTCATTTATCCAGATTTATGTAAAGATCTGGCTTTGTGACAAACAGTCCTGATTTGGGAAGCACCGCCTTAAGGCCTAACAAAAGCACAACTTATAAAAACACAGATTTGAATAAAAATGATCTGGAAACTGACGTCGGGTTGAGTATCTGTATGGGATTCATCTAACCGTGCTGTGTGGAGGAACACAGCCAGGTCTCAAACAACCTCAGTCTCTCTAGCAGACATCCAGGAAAGAACAGAGTCACAGATCAGACCCAGCCTCGCTGATCAGCCTGCACATGGCATTTATTTGAGATTAGAAGCTTAAAGGGGCACCCCAACCAAAATGAAAAATGTAACCATCACTACATTTGTTGCTAACGTACCTCCTCACCTCCAACAGCAGGGCTGCAGTAGTTTCTAACGCAAGATGTCCCTTTGTTAAAAGATCAGGAAAACCCTTTCTAAATGGCACATCTTGTAGGTGGAAGTAAAATGTGAAGTCTGAGTGCACTGAGCCAGGCTCAGTTTTTGTCCCCACTAGCTTACTGAATTATTCCTTTAACAAAAGATTTTTGACGACCAGTTGGGGTCAGTAATGCTCTATCAGTAACGTGAGCTTGCACCACAGATGTATTTACCAGAGCCGGTTAATGAGGAGCCTGGCTACTTCCTACTTCCCCCGTTATATCAAAAACACGACTGCAAAACAGCAGAGGGCGTCCGCGAGCGAGTCCTCAATAAATGGGGATGAATGGAGCTCAATGGCTAAAACGTAAAGTTAAAATAGTTTCTAATCACTCGTCCAGAACTTTCCTTTAATTTTAGAAAGTAGAAGTATGTGCTTCATTAAAAAGCAAAGAAAACTCATCTGTATGTTTCCTTTTTTCTACAGCAAACAGGTTTTGGGCAGCAGGACGCTAACATTACCAGAGGGAGTCCTGATTGGTTGGCGAGCGGAGCAGCTCATTGGCTGTTTGCGCTCACTGGCGTTATGGACGTAGATGAGGCGCCGTTTTAAACTCATAACTCAAGTTTAAAAGCTCTTAAAAATATAACAGCAGTGTTTAAATGTTTCATGCTGTTCAGGAAATGATTGTATTCTTTTATATTAAAAATGTTTAGGCATTTATAAACTATGATTTTGCTCAAATGCTCCATATCAACCCATTCATTTTGGACTTGCCCAGGAGCGCCCTCTAGCGGTTGAGAAACCCAGAACACATTACAGAGTGGAAATTCTCCTCTTTACAAGTTCTTTGTATTTACTCTCTCATTGAGTAGCCAGCAGTAGGATTTCCTGAGCATTGCTGGGATTTCTAATGTTTGTGTAATGTGTTCACGGAATGCATGCTGGTAAGTGTGGTGAGAAAAGACTACAGAATCGTGGATTCTGTCAATCTGATGAGGCTAACGGCTGCAAATGCACACTACAGACTATAATATACGATAAGTCTCTTATTAAATGCAGGTTTTATGCTGGAATGCCCCTTTAAAATGGTGAAAGGTATCACTCAACAGTTAATGCACATGGTTCAATGGGAAAACTAAACTCACCTCAGTCAAAACCCATGCAGAGTTTGGAGATCTGCAGTAACTTCACCACATGAGGATCTGGACCCAATCTGAAGCTCCTTCAACAGAAAACACAAATTATAGTGAGCTTACCAGAGTGGACAGTGAGCAGCCTGGAGTCTATGTAAGACTCTTAAAATCAATCATGTACATTAAAGAGAACGCTGACCTTGTTTTCAATCTTGATTTTAAGAGAGAAAAAGACAATCTTCCTCTTAAAAAAGGAGTTTTCAAGGGTTCTTTAGTAAAGAAAATGGCTCTATATAGAACCATGAACACAAAGAATTATTTAATAATGTGAATAGTTCTTTGGGTATGTTGAAATCCTCTTCAGATTGTTGGAGAATGTGTTGCATATGGTTCTATACAGCACCTTTCTGAAAATGGTTAAAATTCTATATAGCACCAAAATGGGTTCTTCTCTTGTTACAAACTTGACATCATAACCATGGCAGAACCCTTTTTGGTGCTATACAGAACAATGAACACATCCTCCATCAATGTGAAGAACCATTTCACCATGCAAAGAACCCTGTGATCATGCAAAGGGTTCTTTGAGTGTTCATGATTCAATACAGAACCATTTTCTTTACTAAAGAACCCTTGAAGAACCATCTTTAAGAGTGTATTTTAAAGTGCAAAAAAGAGTGTTCAAGAATTCTTTAATAAGGAAAAAGGTTCTATATAGAACCATGAACACTCATGAAACCATCTGCATGGTCAAAGGAATCTTTTTGTATGTTGAAAGCGTTCTCTATGGAACCATAGAAAACATTTTAAAAAAATGTTCTCTATAGCACCGAAATAGGTTCCTCTATTGTTACAAGCTTGACATCGTAACCATAGCAGAACCCTTTTAGGTGCTATATAGAACAATATACAATACATCCTCCATCAGTCTGAAGAACCGTTTCACCATGCAAAGAACCCTTTATTCATGCAAATGTTTCTTTGAGTACTCGTAGTTCAATACAGAACCATTCTGAAGAACCTTCTTTAAGAGTGTACTTTGGCAAAAAGTTAGAAAACCAACTTCACTTAAACACACATTAACAGGCGTGAACAATCAGCATAAATCAGCACTGCAGGCTCAGAACTTTACTACCTCATTACCATATTATATCATGTGCAGACAATAAAATAATAGTAACACTTTACATTTTAGTTTCCATTCATTTCTCTTTTTAAACCAGACTGAACTTTAATGTGAAAAATCTTGCATGACTTAACTCACCTTGCCCACCAGGCAGGTCCTGAACCCAAACACTTCAGGCAGAACATTCAGGAATGGTATAAGGTTTATTACATATTTATAACCTGAAGGACTCCATTAAGGAGGGTTATAGTCATAAAACCGACAAATACCCACAGTTACACAGCTGAGCGAGACAACGGGACGCGTACTTTCAACCATAAACATGCTGTAAGACGCAGTTTTTCTTTTAAAAGCTAATATTAGCCTTTAATCTCTCTCGCCTTGAGCTGCTCTGCTCCGCTCTCTCCACGTGTTCTCTGCAGAAAGGCCGAGTGGAGCACGGCGCATGCGTTAAAGCCGCTTCTTATTCTAGAGGAAGGGGCGACTAAATGAGCGGTGTCGCCCCCTGCTGGAGGATGACTGAGTAACACAGCACCTTTCTAATGTTTCCACATCTTTGAGTTTTATTACTCATTATCACTGGTCACTGGCTCCCATATCTTTGCTGTTTGTGATTTATTATACTGTATGAATCATATTCAATTTAAGTTTTTTGTTATTTTCCCCCCAAATTTCTTCATATTTAAACAGTTAAGATGTCAAAAAATATTAAGAAACCTTTGTTTGTTATAACCCCACAACCCAGAAGGATAAGTGGCTTAGAACATTTTCATTTACATTTGTGTGTGTGTGTGTGTGTGTTATAACAAAAGAGGACTTACAGGGACTTACAAAGAGGGCTAGAAGATAAAAAAAAGGCTGAGGGGAGTATTAATCAAGCACATAGTTAATACAATGCATAACCACATAATTAAGAAAATATTTACATTTCTAATGAAACAATAACAAGAATGTTGCAAAGTTGAAGAAATAAAATAAATACAAAATTTAGAAAATAATTTCTATATTATTATAAATATACCAAGACTGCAAATAGTCACAGCTTTTCTATCATCAGATAAGCCAATAAGCTTCAGGTACTGCTCAATTTCCTTAATAAAGACTATGTAGGCTCTATGGAGGCCTAGAGTTTGAGTATGTTGATATATAATTGTGATATGTAGCTGGAAACAGCACTGAGTTTATGAAGCAATGCTGCTGTTCTCTGTTTTTGTCATAATCAGTGCATAATTCAGTGCATCCTTCCACAGCAGGGAGAAATCTTCACACAACCAACCAATTAAAAAGTCCTGCCACAGTCTTCTTCACTCCTAAAACAGATGGTTCTTCAAGGGTTCTTTAGTAAAGACAATGGTTCTGTATAGAACCATGAGCACTTAAAGAAACATCTGCATGTTTAAAGGGTTTTTGCATGGTCCACCTCTAAAAGCACCCTCAGAGAAAGTTTACATGAGATGGTGATGAATACACAGCCTTTTATGATAGTTTTGAGAAGATTTAGGCCTAAAACATATTTTTACAATCCGTTCATGGTGGAGAGATGCGTGCAGGGCGCTATTAGGCAAAATGTCCTCCCATAAAGAAGTATTTATTTTTGGATTTAGCACTTTACCATCACCATTTCACCATCATCAACATTACATATATATATATATATATATATATACATATATATATATATATATATAAAAGTCACCACCTTTGCAAAGAAATCTCAGTCTGAATGACTCAACAATTGAATTAGTCAAGAAATTTTGAAAAAAATGGTGGAATTCCCCTTTAAAAGTAGAGGTAATGAGTAGTGCAATTAAAAAATAAAATGCACCCGAATTGTTATAAAACAGTCATGTCCTTCATTTTCTCAAGTTAACCTGATTAAATAAATATATGTTACACATTTTACTATAATACCTTCTCTAGTTTACTCCACACACAGTTTACGTCACAAAAAGCATTTAGAAACTAAAACTGAAGGACTGAAACGGAACTGAGATAAAAGTAGCGTCTTTCTCACACAGATATTCGAGGAGAAGTGAAAATGTCATCATTTGTAGTTTAGAGAAATCGCTCTAGATAATAGTGACGCACTTGTGAATATGCGGAAACACGGAAATGTCCAGTAGGTGGCGGTAACGAGCGGCCGCAAAAAAAAAATTCTGCCCGTGTTTTTGGACATAAAGCTCATCACTGAATCCGTTTTGAAGTCACAGTAGTAGTGTTAGTATTTCAGTTCTGCTGAAGAAAAAAACCACACGTTAAAAAAAAATAGAAGAAAAACGTTTTACTTTCATTTTCACTCTGACAGCGGACGCTCATCTGCTGGACGTTTCCGCAGGTGGAGAAATGACCTAAACACAGGAAGATGAAGGAGCTTTACGGTTTATTCTTCTTTTTACCTCTCCTCCAGCGGTCTAGTGCGGGTGAGTGCTGATTTATTGTAAGTCTCTTGCTTTCTTTAAAGGACCAGCCACGCTGACGTCTGTGCTGCATCAGAAACGCGCTCTCTGTGGGGATGACAGGCGCTACACCGTTACAGTAAGATGCTTCCTCAAGGGTTCTTCAGTAGACTTCAGTAGGCCTTGAATGGTGAAATGGTTCTTCAGATTGATGGAGAGTTTATTGTACATGTCGCATTGTTTCTAGCAGCTACTGTTGATAAACAATTCCACTGAAAATGAGAGGAAATGCAGAGTTACAAGGTAACTGTAACAGACAGAGGGTCAGTTTAACACCTGCTAGAAAAGTCTGATGAATTAGTGGAAACAAACTGGACAAGCTGGTCAGTGGTCGTCGTGGAACTGGACTCTGTGTTTAATGTGCCCGAGAGAAGGACTCTGCACAAACTGCTCTCCGTTGTGGATGATGATGGCCACCTGCTGCACACCATCATCATGGACAAGAGGAGCATGTTTAGTGGCAGGTTGGTGTCACAGAGCTGCTCAACCGACAGACTCAGGAGATCCTTTGTCTCCAGAGCCATCAGGCTCTTCAGCTCTTCCCAGTGGGGCCAGAAGATCTCTTAGGCTAAATCATAGGTTTATCTTATCTATCTGCACAGATGGACACCTTACTGTACATATTGCACTTTCTGCACACCTTATCGCACATCTGGACACGCCACAGCTGGACACTTTAGACACTTTTACTTTATTACCAATATTTGCACATCATTTTTTGTACTGTCATTATACGCTGTGACCTGCGCCTCCTTGTACGTTCATTATTGCACTGCCTTTTTATCTCAGGAGAGATCTTATTGTATATTTTTGTATATTTTTAGTTGTATAGATGCCTGTAGATGGTTTTTGTATATACCCTTGTTGCATTACCCTTATTATTAGAACTGTCCTGTGTTGTGTGACTGCTACAGGCTGCTATCTATCTATCTATCTATCTATCTATCTGTCTGTCTAAATATATTTTCCAACCATACTACATGTATAACCTCCTGGGTCATGGGGGGTGCCTATCCCAGCAGTTACATAACAGCCAGACCGCTCAGTCGATAGACGCACACACACATCAACATATATGTGAAAGCTGACATGAGACTGTGTGTCAAACAATGACAAATTTATTTTTGTCTAGTGAAGGACAGCAAATGAAAACATCACACGTCAGTAAAATATGGAACATTGTTTCTAAATAATTACTGTTAATGTCAATTTTATTAATATACTTATTTAATACCAGAACACTGACATCTCGAAGACATAAATAAAGTATGTGACACATCATATAGTGTAGTTAGGGTACCAATCGGACAAGTTTTTAACAGGGACAGTTTTTTATGACAAGGAAATTTTAGACAAACATATATATCAGCATAAAATTATCATATATTTTTATATATTTATTATTTAAAACCATTTAGAAAAAAAGTGTATATAAATGAAGTAAAACAAGATCTGTGTTTCGAAAAACAGAGGACTAGATATGAGAACATGGTTCAATACGGAATTCAGTATGAGTCTAAGGCAGCATTTCAACTTCCCAAAACAGGTTATGAGCTCAACAGTCATGAGCTTTGAGAGGGACGTCATGGTCAGCTTTTCATTATTCGAGTCTTTGGAGTGTCCAGCTGAGGCTCTTGCTTTGCAGAAAGAACATGGAGGTCTTTTTTGTTCACTGAAACTTGTTTTTACTATTCCAAGGATGCACCAATATACAACCCCATTTCCAAAAAAGTTGGGACGCTGTGCAAAATGTAAATAAAAACAAAATGCATTAATGTGCAAATCACTGAAACCCTATATTTCATTGAAAATGGTACAAAGACAACATATCAAATGTTGAAACTGAGAAATTTTACTGTTTTTTTTTTTTTTAAATATAGGCCCATTTTGAATTTGAGGCCAACAACACGTTCCAAAAAAGTTGGAACGGGGGCAAAAAAAGTCTGGTAAAGTTGTGTAGTGCTAAAAAGAACACCTGTTGGTTGATTGGCAACAGGTCAGTAACATGACTGGGTATAAAAAAGCATTTCAGAGAGGCTGAGTCTTTCAGTAGTAAAGATGAGGAGGGTTCACCACTCTGTGAAAGACTGCACGATCAAATAGAGCAACAATTCAAGAATAACGTTTCTCAAAATAAAATAGCAAAGAACTTTTGCTTTTCATCATCTACGATACATAATAACATTAAAAGATTCAGAGAATCTGGAGAAATTTCTGTATGCAATGGACAAGGCCAAAAAACAGTATTTGCTGGCCATGATCTTTGGGCCCTCAGGCAGCACTGCATTAAAAACATGATTCTGTAGAGGAAACTACACTCAGAAACACTTCTGAAAACCACTGTCTGTGAAAACAGTTCATTACTGCATCAGCTTAAAACTCTAAAACGCAAAGAAGAAAACGTATATAAACAGGACCCAGAAACCCTGCCACCTTCTCTGGGCCCGAGCTCATTTAAAATGGACTGAGGAGAAGTGGAAAAGTGTCCTGTGGTCCGACGAATCAACATGTGAAATTCTTTTTGGAAATCATGGACACTGTGTCCTCCGGGCTAAAGACCACTCAGCTTGTTATCAGTGCACAGTTCAAAAGCCGTATTCATGATGGTGTAGGGGGGCATTAGTGCACATGGCATGGGTGACATGCACATCTGTGAAGGCACCATTAATGCTGAATGATATATACATGTTTTGGCAACATATGCTGCCATCCAGACAACGTCTTTTTCAGAGAAGGCCTTGATTATTTCAGCAAAACAATATCAAACCACATTCTGCATGTATTACAACAGCATGGTTCCATATTAAAAGAGTCTGGGTGCTAAACTGACCTGCCTGCAGTCCAGATCGGGCACCACTGATAACATTTAGCACATTATAAAATGAAAAATATGATAAAGGAGACCCCAAAGTGATGAGAAGCTGAAATCCTGTATCAAACAAGAATGGGAAAACATTTCACTTTCAAAACTACAGCAGTGTCTCCTCAGTTCCCAAACGCTTACAGAGTGTTGTTAAAAGAAGAGGTGATGAATCACAGTGGTAAACCGTCCCAACTTTTTTGGAATGTGTTGTTGGCATCAGATTCAAAATGGGCATGTATTTTTCAAAAAACAATAAAATTTCTCAGTTTTCACATTTGATTTGTTGTCTTTGTAGTATTTTCCTTTAAAAATATGGTTTACATGATTTACATATCCTTGCATTATATTTTTATTTACATTCTGCACAGCGTCCCAACTTTTTGGGAAATGGGGTTATACATAAATATTCATAAAATGCAGAAATAGGGAAGACATCTACTTGGATTCGTGTTACAGAGAAATATAGTGTTGATTTTTATAAAGTTATAAATACAGTTAAAAAAGACATTTTTGGCATAGTAACCCTGCATTGCCTAAAGTCTGCTCTACTGGAGTACAGTAAATGTTTAGGCGGCCCTGGACAAATTCCATTATTGATTTTGTAAGTGAGAATAAGTTAACACATTCTTCACACTTAATATGTTATTTCATATGTTATGGTTTATTTATTTCCAACATGTATAACTCAGCAAATAAATAGAATTTGTGCCCTAAAATGTGCAGAAAGTATCATATATCAATGTGTCCCTATAGAGGTTATGTTAACTCATTTTCACTTAGAAAATCAACAAAACATGTAATGCGACTTGGGGTGTTCAAACTTCAGACTGTAGTTTTCTGTCCAGTATTGATAATTTTCTTTAGCAATTATATGCCGATATCAATTTGAGTCCAGTATCATTGCGCATAAACTAATCATTGAACTTTCTCTGTCTATGATCCCCCAGATCTGCACCTTTATCTAAATACAGATACATTTTAAAGGCCTGACTGAACAAACTAGACCTTTATACAGTACATCAACTAACACAAAGCTGTCTTCATTATTTTGCAGATGTTCACTCCTTCAGTGCCTTTTTCATCGGCTCTCAAGGCCTCGATCTGCCCGATTACATGGAGAGAGTTACTGTGGACGATGTGACCATGTTTTATTACGACAGCAGTATGAATGCAGAGGTGCCCTGTCCTGAATGGCTCAACACTACAGAGGCTCAGGAACACTGGAAGGATATTAATCTCAGATCATTTCACAACAGATATAGAATGGCTTTAGCCCTCCAATCAGCCAAACAGCAGTTCAACCTGACAGGTAATGAGCCCCTTCATTCTGCACTACAACAAGAACACAATTACTGATATTGCTTTAGATTTCAGTCTGAGAATAAGTAATACTGAGGCTTATATCCCAAAGCCAGTACCAAATACTGATACTATTAGGGTAAACAGGGGAAGTCTTTGTGATTAGGGCTGTCAGATAATGAAATTTCAGCTAACGAATAATTGTCATATAAATAATTGCAATTAATGATATAATCGTTTTTTTGTTTGTTTGTTTTTTCATCTTTTGTTCATTACATGCCGATATTAAAGTACAAGCCAAATGCGTTTACTATGTAGCAAACACTGGTGGCACTGTTGAATTGGAAACACTCTCACACAACTGTCTACAGTCACACAGAATCATGTGTTGAGTCAAGCAAAGGTACTTTTGTCTTGAGAGTGAAAATGTACACAAAAAACTAAAAACTAGCTACATAGCTAATAAATGAATACACATTACTTAAGTTTGTTTCCACTATAAAACTGATACCTACAAGCAAATGTATGTTAATGTTTGTTACACGCTTTAAATGTCCGTGTTTATTCTAGAACGGCCAGTGTCATGTCCATCAGCTTAACACTAACGTACTATTGGAAATCCTGTAGGGGAGCAAGCAAAATTAGCATTATTTTTGAGGTATTTTTTTATATTTATGGTTCAAACTGAAGGCCTAGCTCTAAGAGTCACCATTCACCACTGTATCTGAGTACAGTGAGTGCCCCTGGTCAAATGACATGTTTTGTTGATTTTCTAAGTGAAAATACATCAACACTTCTGCACATTTTAATGCACAATTACTGTTGTTTTTGCTGAACTTAACATATTGGAGGAAAAATAAAACATAAACTCTCCCCTGTGCAAAAGTTACTGCACATTTTATAGTGTGTTTTTATTGTTTTCCATTATGTTAAACACAGCAAAAAAAGTAAAAAAAAATAAATACACTTAAAAAAAAAAGTATTTTCAGTCAGATTGTTTTCAGAATGTTTTGACCTGTGTTTTGCATACAACTGTATAATGATTGTATTATATGGTAAAAATAGTTTTCTTAAAATAGTAGCATTATTTTGCCCAATACTGTATATCCTTTAATAAAATCTATAACATATAATTCTCTGTCAAACTGGCTACTCCCAGTCTGTTCCTTGCGTTAGTCCCATCTAATGCAGATTGCACTGGCAATTTTAAGGGCTGTAAAACCCTTTTCATGCATTTATAGTTTATAGTGTACAGCAGGTTTGTGGTGTTGACACAATATTGAAGACACTTTTGTCATTTATCAGGTTTTGCTTCATTATTGTTTAGTGGAGAAGAATAAATCATTAGTTTTCCTTCTGCTTTAATAGAAATGCAGTCATTGCAGCTCATACTGTGGTTATTCAGCCGCTGCATGGCTGTGTGTTTTCTGGTAACAGTATTTAACAATAATAAAAATACTAAGCAGTAAAAATGCAATAATCAATTCTAAACAGGAACAGATACTTTTAGATTGATATATTTTGATTATGCTTTTAATTACAGGCCCTTCTTTGGACGTTAACATTTACCAGGCCTACAGTCGCTGTGACCTCTATCCGGATGGGACTCGCAAGGCAGTGCTAATACACGCATTCAATGGGAAGGACTTTTTAAGTTATGACATTGACAGAAAGACGGTCATAGCTTCTGTTCCTCAAGCGGTCATTTACAAAAGGCAGAGGGAGGAAGATCCAGTCTTGACTGAAATTGTGGCATCGTTCTACAAGAAGACCTGTTTTGAGAGACTGGATATGTTCCTACAGCACGCTCCCGGAGTCAGAGTGAAGCAAGGTAACACACGTCTAAATGAAGCCCTCTTTATATATACAGTGCTGTGAAAAAGTATATGCCCCTTTCCACTGTCTTCTATTTTTGCATATTTGTCACACTTCACTGTTTTAGATCCTCAAACTACTTTTAATATTCGTCAGTGATAACTTGTGAAACGTGAAATGCTGTTTTTAAATGATGATTTTATTTACTGAAGGAAAAATGCTGTTCAGTCTCACCTGGTCCTATGTGAAAAAGTAATTGCCCCTTAGCCACTAAATCAACTAGTTAACCAAATTCAACTGACTTTTGGGGTCAATTTCACTGCCAGACTGTTGAATCTAAACATCACTTAAATAGAACCTGTCTGGCAGTGTGAAGCAGCTAGAAGGTCTCAAAAAGCAGCACATGATGACACGCTCTAAAGAGATTCAAATACAGATGCAAAACAGTTATTGAAGTCTATCAGTTTGGAAAAGGTTACAGAGCCATTGCTGAGGTTCTGGGATTCCAGAGAACCACAGTGAGAGCCATTATCCACAAATGGAGAAAACTTGGAACAGTGGTGAACCTTCCCAGGAGTGGAGGGCTCACCAAAACTTCACCAAGAGCGCATCAACGACTCATCCAGGAGGTCATAAAAGAACCCAGACGAACATCTAAAGATCTGCAGGCCTCATTTGCTTCAGATAAGGTCTGTGTACACAGTCCACAAAAAAAAGACACAGGGCGAAAATGGAATCTAAGGGAGAGTCGCAAGGCACAAATCACTGCTGACCAAAAAGAACACAAAGGCTCGTCTCACATTTGTCAAAAAACATCCAGACGACCCCCAAGACTTTTGGGACAATATTCTGTGGACTGATGAGTCAAAGGTAGAACTTTTTGTAAAGGTAATGCATTCCACCATAAGAACATCACAACCACAGTGAAACATGGTGGTGGTAGTGTGATGGTCTGGGGCTGCTTTGCTTCTGCAGCACTTGGACGACTTGTCATAATTGATGGAACCATGAATTCTGCTCTTTACCAGAAAATCCTGAAGGAGAATGTCTGCCCATCAGTTTGTGACCTAAAGCTCAAGCACAGTTGGGTTATGCAGCTGGACAATGATCTGAAGCACACAAACAAGTCCACCTCTCAATGACTCGAAAGAAACTAAATTAAGGTTTTTGGAGTGGCTGAGTAAAAGTTCTGACTTGAATCCCATCTCAAGACCTTAAAGGGGCAGATCATGCTTGAAAACCCTCCAATATAGCTGAATTAAAACAATTCTGCAAAGAAGATTGGGACAGAATTCCTCCACAGTGATGTAAAAGACTCACTGCAAGTTATCACAATCGTTTGATTGCAGTTTTTAATACCAAGGGTGGCACAACCAGTTATTATGTTTAGGGGGAATTACTTTTTTACATGGATGATATAGGTTTTGAATAAATCTTTATCTTCGATAAATGTGATGATCATTTGAAAGTTCCATTTTATGTTTACTGGTGTTGTGTTTATCTTGCATTAAAATGAGTTGAATTATCTGAAACATATATATATATATATACAGTAAGGGTCCAGCCTGCGCTGCTGGCCACCAGCAGAGGTGCCATAACTTCAGGGAACTCCAATTCCCAGAAGTCCTCAGGCTGATTAGGCCCAGCCTGACACACCTGTGGACTTCTCTGCTTAAGGCTGTGGCAAACAGCAGCCCTTGTCACACCTTTGTAGAGGGGTGACTGGTGGGTATTTAAATAAAAAGAAAAGAAAAGAAAAACAAAAAGCAAAGAAAAGAGGGCCAGAAAAAACTAAAGAGAGTAATTGCCCCAAAACTACTTAAAAAAAAAAAACAAGAAGTCTTGAGCAAGAAACAGCTCCAAGCCATACAAAAGGTGTTTGCTCCACTAAGAGCAAACAAGTGAAACACAAAGTCTGCCTCTCATAATTATAGAGCAAGTAGTTTTTGTTTTCTCATTATCTTTTATTTCACGTTTCTAGTTCAGCCTTTGTCTGAGCACGCTGCTTTCAGCATCTCCTTTGTTTGCCCTTTGTCCGGCCTTTTTATTTCCTGTTCCTTGAGGTGTTTTTCCCGGTGGCGCAGCTGTAACTCCAGGTTTGAGCCTGGCTCTGAGTCACCTCAACTCCAATGTGCCAACTTCACACTCCATTGCCTCAATAAATGTATTTAACACCCTTTCTCACGGGTTTTCATCTTTGCACTTGGGTCTGCCTCCCTGCCGTCCCATTTTATATATAATTTAACATATTAAAACAAAATAAAATATAAAATGTGGCATGTATTCTAAAATTTTCAGAATTTTGTGTCTTTGGTCATATTAAGACATTAAACATAAACTTTTAACAACAAATTACATAAATTAAATTATATAAAAAAATCCTGCTGTCATTGACTGCACATTTCAAGGTCAAAGCTTTTGCAGATGCATGCTGCATTAACAGTACAGGGTGAAAAAAGGTCTGTTGTGCCATGGTTATTGTGTAGCTCATATGGAACATCTCTCATTTCTGTTGTATATAGATAATATAGTTGGTGCAGTCATTTATTCTAAATTGTTAATTCATTGTCATTGTGCAAATAAGACTTAATAGTTTTGTTTTCTGTTGTTGTTCAGTTCCAGAAGTCCGTCTTTTCGAGAAGACCAGGGCTGGCTCTACTGTCCTCACGTGTCATGTGACTGGGTTCTACCCCAGAGACGTGCAGGTTGAGTGGGTCGGAGCAGGTCTACAGTCTGTGGATGAAGAGATGGTTGATGTGCTTCCTAATGGAGATGGTACTTATCAGACCAGAAGGAGTGTGATTAGACCTGAGGAGAACCCAGAGGAACACAAATACAGCTGCGTAGTGCATCACAGCAGTGTAGCAGGAGACATCACCAAAACCTGGGGTATGAGTTTACATGTTTAATCTTGACTGTATTCTTGGGTATGAATGAACATTGCCATTATTTTGACACTTGCAAAACCTTGCAGAACAGTTAGATCATGATAGAATGAGAATATTACTACAGGCTCAGCCCACATGCATTATTTAGTAACTACAGGGACTTCAATGTAAACGAATGGAGCTATTCTTAGGTTGTAGAAGTGTATATTAATACTTTGGGCCCAGAGCTTGTTAAGGGCGCTCGTGTTGGACAAAATGCAACCACATTAATGAGAGTATGGCATCGGTGGGTACAGGAGGGTCAGATGTTCTGTGGTAAGGGGGGGGGCAAATTAACAGGAGGACAGACATCTGGTGCATATGGCCATGATGGACCAAACAACCACATCACAGACCCACCCACACTGTTTAATGTTGTTTGCAGCAGCAGGACCTTTCGACCATAGGCAGTGGTGCCAAGGACATCACCAATTGTAGGATGACTGGCATCATACTGCATTTTCGGAAGAGTCCTGCTTCAGTTTACAGCACTATCGTAGAAGAAACCATGCATCGAGGCAGTCTGCCAAAAGGCTAATGGACGCATGTATTTTGCAGCTCCATATGGGTCCGGTACCAGGCGTTATGGTTTGGGGTGCCATTGGGTTCCACTCCCATTTGCACCTCATACCCATTACTGGTATCAGACCAGCCAGCAATACATCACAGAGGTGTTGGAACCTGAGGTGGTACAATGCTTGACAATGTGTGGCATGAAAAGGACTACAGTTCCTTGATAACCTTGATAACCTTGATGTGCCACTTCTTGCCTGGCTCACATGTTCACACAATTTGTGCCCCATTGAGCACATATGGGATGTTGTTGCACAACAACTGGTGCACCAAACACCGCCAGCGGTTCCCACGGATGAACTTTGGGGACATATGAAAAGGCCTTGTCCTTTACATGCAGAAATTTCCCCAAATTCTCAGAATCTTTTAATGTTATTATGTACTGTAGATGAAAGACTCAGCCTCTCTGGGATGCTCTTCTTATACCCAATCATGAAACCGACCTGTTGCCAATTAAAATGGGCCTATATTTTTCGGAAAACAATACAATTTCTCAATTTCACCATTTGAAATGTTGTCTTTGTAATGTTTTTAAATTAAATATATGGTTTAAATGATTTGCACATCATTGGATTCTGTCTTTATTTACATTTTGCACAGTGTCAACTTTTTTGGAAATGGGCTATACAAAATAATGTGATTAAAAACCTTTTCAAACCTTTTTTAAATTCTTTTAATTCTCTGTGTGCAGATACAGAGGAACACTCTAGACTGGCGGTTTGGATTTCTCTCATCATTTTCTTCGTCATCATTGGAGCTGGGCTCGTACTCAAAAGGCTCTGTAAAACTGAAGGTGGGGGAACATGCCACTTTCCCGTTTTGATCTCTTTGTATTTATCAGGACTTTATTACTAACAATGATTATAATCAGAGGATTAAACAGGTCTTTCAGTTCTTAATGTGTTCTGCTCTCTTTAACAATGTAGAAACATTATTGTATTTTGTGACCTAATCGAGATTAAAACATCTCGTATTCAAGGGTTTCAGGTTTAACAGGTGGTACTATTTTGGTTATTTTACAGTCTAATTAAGTGATTGTAGATTAATTTTATAACATTACTGAACTGGTTGTTTATCTCTTCATCCTGTTCTGTCCTACAGATGCTGGGATTTGAGATTTCAGCACATCTGAAGATAAAGCTGAAGGTCACCACTTCTCCTTTCTATCAGTCCTGTCTTCAGCTGTGGCCGTCTGTTTTTACTGGACATTTGCAAATGTCTCCTGCTTGTTTATACTTTAAATAAGCTAAATAAGCGACAAGTTTCCTGCTCTTAAATGATTCTTGGCTTAGATCAGGGGTGTCAAAAATACGCCCAATGAATTTGAATCTGGGTCCTAAATTAAGATCATCTTGTGTTCCATAATTGAAATGAAAGATGCTGCATTACAAAAGGGAAGAATGCTAGCGTCTATTGTTCCACTATGGTGCAAAATAAAGGTGTAAACCTAGGGCCAGATTACAGACTGCTGACAAAATGTCCTAATGATGTGAAGATCTTCATTAGCAAGCTAAGAATTTGATGCTGCAACCATATCTCCTTCCAAAAGAAGAAGAGTGGACACAGAGTGTGAGTTTTCTAAGGATAATAGAGCTCTTCCTTTTTTTATATAGTGCTTCCTACTGTCAGACTGCAAACCCTGGAGTGCAGTGACTTTGAAATCATGTGGGCAAGGATTTGAACTCATTATCTCCTGATAATCTGACAGTCGCACCACTCAATGTTTTTGTTCAATAATTTATGACTGAAAAGAAAATTCAACTTTGAACACTTTGCTGTAATAAATTGATTGGAGCACAGGTAACTGCTCCTTATCTAAGACCAGACAGTTCTCTCTGTCTGAGCATGAAGCACTGTATGATCACTACTTGAGAAATTTACCTTTTCATTCTTTTGGAGCAATGAAATTCATACACTTTCATGGCTAGAATTGTGCAACTGCCTTAACTGACCAGTCATCCTCAGGTGGGGGGTCCTTACCTGTGGATGGGAATTAGCAGTGAACAAATGAAGGGAAACTGAGATCAACACAAAAAATCTATAAGCAGTTTCAGTTTACAATGAGGCAGTGCATTTAGTGCCTTTTTAGTGAGCTTAACTTCAGTTGCACTGTTGATCTGACTGAGATGCAGTATTGAAATGGGAGTCAGGAGAACTTTTGACTAAGTTAGGTTGAGTGAACTTAAAAAAAGCTTTGAAAAAAGTTCAAAATTTTATGTTGCCTGCTGTACTGGGATCTTGGTTAGATAAAAACGGGGACCCTGAAGTGGTTTGAGAGCCACTGCTATAGAGAAACCATTAGGGGATCTTCAGTGACAGAGGTCTTCAACTCTGGACTTTGAATCCAGTTTCTTCTCCTGGATTTTGCTGTCCCTGGTATAAACAACACATTAACAGTCTGGTTAACTACCGGCTATTACACAAAACAGGAACTGGACTTCTGATCAGACCTCTGATCTATGGCATTTAAAAGCATAGTTAAAAAAAATGAACAAACAAACAAAAAAAGTGGGCCTCAGGGAAAAAATAAAAGAGAGGAAAAATGTAGGATATGGGCTCTTTACGTTCATCCACATCGTTTCTCTTACAGACTCTGGAAAGTTTTGATTGAACTTATTTACTTAGAAATGACAGGTTTCTATTTAGTACTGCATTATTAATTGCTTGCTAATAGTTAATTAATCATAAGAAGCAGACTTCAAAATAAACTGTTAGCAGAATTTTCTTAAGGCTGTTTTTTTATTTTCAGTTTTAATTTATTTTTGTGGTAAGTGGCGATGGTTTAAGGTATTTGTTTGGTTTAATGTATTTATTTTGCTTTTATTTTATTTTAATTGTGGTGAGTGTATAGTTTGTTTTCCACTACTATTTGCAATTGTGTGACTGTGTTTTCATGCAGATGTAAGTGGATTAATGCTGGCATGTTGTTTGTTGAATGCATCATATATTTTTCCTGTTTGTGACCAGTTGCTATTTTCATGGCCTGAAATGATAGCACTTGAGCTGTTTTCAGTTTTGGTCCTACTACCTCCTCAGATTAGGGGCATAGCCATAACTTTTGCAAAGGCATGGTCAGGTTAGACCCACTGTCAATCAAACAAAACAGCATAACAGGAATAACAACATTCTTCGGTGTGTATATTTAGCTCACATTATTAAAGCAATGAAAAAAGGATGCATTAAATTCTCTACATAATAGAATCTGCACGTAGAAAGTACTTAAAAAATGTATCACATTAACAGCAATACATTAACAGTAATAAAAGGAATGCTGTGTTGATGTTTTGTATTTTATCAGTGTGGAGATGATGTACAAATTTGAATCAAGTAAATTCTATGCAGCAGTTTTTTAATAAGCAAATTTAAATCTTCATGTAAGGTAGTTCCAATATATTCTATAAAAAGTAGTGTTTGTTTGCTATGTTGAATATTTTTAAATGTATAATAAAACAAAAATACTGTAGTTTATTGATGTAATTTTATTTGGGTGCTTTAACTGTGTTTTTCTTATGTAGACATACACTGTCAGCAGCTTGATCAAGCCAAAGTAACAAGACTTTGGCCAGCACTTACTTACCTGTTTGCTGAGTAGAGTGGTGAAGAATCCAAACACCATCCCAAACCAGGGAGCTAGCCGTATGTCTGGAGAATTGAAGTTTATTCACACTAGGGTGGGAATGACCGCGCTCAGGGCTACACCCTTCCCTCAGGCTTACTCTTAGCCCAAGTGCTAAAGCAATTATACTCAATTACAAGCTACTGAATACGAGGAGCTGACACGCTTAATATAACCATAATATTTAAAATCTATATCACACAGGAGATTCAATAGAATGTCTAAAGAAACTGAAAGTCGATTGGCTGAGTCATGTTCAGAGCCATTGTAAAATACTGGATGTATGCATGTATTTGAACACATACATCATCTGAATTCTCTCTTATTGCAGCATATTAAAAAAAAATTGATAATTGTGGAAAAATCTTTGGACGATCTCCTGTTGACAAATACAGCCTACTGTTAACAAACAACATTGCTTGGCCAAAGAATTTGTCATATTTAATTATTTATTGATTTATTATTTAACCAAGATTGGATTAGTGATACTGGTGTTTGTAATTCTAATTTTCTCCACTGTATATTCCTTATATTATTTTATATTCAAGAGTTTTATTATGCACAATAAGACAGGTTGTTACACTATACAATGAAGTTCTTACTTTGCTAATCCATGCACAAAAAAAAGAGGTAGACATAAACAAGTAGACTCAGTCAAAACAAATACTTGTGTGGTATTCTGCAAAGAGCATGAGAGTAAAGTTACACGTGCAGTATTGTGCAAAGAGAGCAGCATTCATAAAGTAACACGAGGCAGCAGTCATAAAGTGCACTGTGCAAATAACAATGGAATGACGGCAGCAATAAATGTTTGTATGTGTGTAGAGTTCAGTAGGGTTCGATAAATTATGGGTATGTTAGCCAAAGTCTAACTAGTCAGAGTAATGGGAAGGGGCGGTATGTGAAAGAGTCATTGGAAGGTGAACCTACGGCCCAGTCTGAGGTCCCGAGTGCTCTGGATCAGGTTTTCATTAAGAATATCTCTCTACTTTTGCAACCCTGACTCGTTTTACCGCCCCAGCTGCTCAAAAAAATCCTCAGCATGATGCTGCCACCACCTGTCTTCACTGTAGGGATGGTATTGGGCAGGTGATGACGCCTAGAATTGAGGCCAAAAAGTTTAATCTTGGTTTTGTCAGACCAGAGAATCTTGTTTCTCACAGTCTGAGAGTCGTTTAGGTGCTTTTTTGCTGGCTTTCATGTGTCTTTTACTGAGGAGAGGCTTCTGTCTGGCCTGTCTGCCATAAAGCCCAGATTGGTGGAGTTGATCTTCTGGAAGTTTCTCCCATCACAGGTTCTTTGGAGCTCAGAGTGACCAATGGGTTCTTGGTCACCTCTCTTACCAAGGCCTTTCTCCTCTGTTTACTAAGTTTGGTGGGGCGGCCAGCTCTAGAAAGAGCCCTGGTTGTTCCAAACTTCTTCCATTTAAGAATTAAGGAAACCGCTGTGCTCTTGGGAACTTTCAGTGCAGCAGAAAATGTTTTGTAGCCTTTTCCAGATCTGTGCCTTCACACAATCCTGTCTCTGAGCTCTACAGGCAGTTCTTTCCTCCTCATGGCCTGGTTTTTGCTCTGATATGCATTGTCAGCTGTGAGACCTTATGTAGGCAGGTGTGTTTATTTCCAAACCATGTCCAATCAACTGAATTTACCACAGGTGGACTCCAATCAAGGTGTAGAAACATCTCAAAGATGAAAGAGAAATGGGTGGCCCCCAGAGCTAAATTTCAAGTGTTTTAGCAAAGGGTCTGAATACCTATGTTCATGTGAAATTTTAGTTTTTCCTTTTTAATAAATTTGGTAACATTTCTAAAGGTTGTCACTTTCTTATCATGGGTTATTGAGTGCAGATGGACAGGGGAAAACTTTATTTATTTTAGCACAAGGCCTCAGCATAACAAAATGTGAAAAAGAAAAAGCATCTGAAGACTTTCCAAATATATTTTAAGTGTCCTGTAGTGAGGGGAAGGCTGCTCCTGAGATGGACTGTGCAGTTTTGATCACACGCTGGAGAGCCTTCCTGTCCTGAGCAGTGCAGTTTCCATGCCAGACTGTGACGGAGCTGGTAAGGACACTCTTGATCACACACCTGCAGAATTGCTGAGAATTCTGGTTGGCATGCCAAATTTCCTCAACCTTCTGAGAAAGTACATTCTCTGCTGGGACTTGGTGTGTGTTGTAAGACCAGGTGAGATCCTCACTGATGTGAATGCCAAGGAATTTTAAGGACTTCACCCTCTCTACCTCTTTCACACCTATGTAGTGGTGTATATAGTGGTGTGTGCACCCCCCTCCTCCTCCTTGGGTCAACAAACATTTCCTTGGTCTTATCTGCATTTATGGTAAGATTGTTGTCATGACACCAGGCCACCAGATCTGCCACTTCCCTTCTGTATGCTGTCTTGTCCCCACCAGTGATCAGTCCAATGACTGTGGTATCATCAGCAGTTATAATGTACAAATACAGTTTCATTACAGACAGAAAGCAAACTTTTCTAAGTCACTTACCCTTCTGGGTCAAGGGGAGTGCTGGAGCCTATCCCAGCGGTAATTGGGAGGAAGGCAGGAAACACCCTGGACAGGTCAGACAGAAAGCAATGATTAGTAATTCTGTTTGTATTACATTGAAAACAATAATGAACTTTTTGTAAATATACACTCATTCTAAATTTGGCACCTGGCACACATTCCAAAAAAGTTGGGATGGGACCATGTTTACCACTGTGTTACATCATGTTTCCTTTTATTAACTGCTTGGGGGACTGAAGACACAAATTGATCCAGCCTTGAAAGCAGAAGTTTTTTGTCATTCTTCTGTTATACAAGTCTTCAGCTGTGTAACAGTGTATGGCCTTCGTTGTTGCACTTTGACCTTAATAAGACACACCTTTTCAGTCGTAAACAGTTCTGGACTGTAAGCAGGCCTGTCTAGCACCCGCACTCTCTGATAATGCAGCTATGCTGTTGTAAACGTGCAGAATGTTTCTTGCTGTTGTCATGTTGAAATAAGAATGGATGCCTTATTTCTAGAAGCCATGTGTTGCTCCAAAATATGTATTTGTCTTTCAGTGTTAATGGTGCTTTCACAGATGTGCAGGTTACCCATTAATACCCCCCAAACCATAATGGATGCTAGATTTTGAACTTGCTGGAAACAATCTGGATGGTCCTTTTCTTTATTGGCCCAGAGAACACATACATTGTTCCCATAAACAATCGGAAAGTTTGAAATATTGAAAGTGAGACATTTTATCATTTCATGAAAAATATATCATTAGATACATTTTTTCAGAAAAATATATCATTTAGAACACATCTCAAAAAAGTTGGGACAGGGCCGTGTCTACCATTGTGTAGCATCCCCTCTTCTTTTGACAACAGTCTGTAAACGTCTGGGAAGTGAGGAGACCAACTACTGGAGTTTTGGGAGAGGAATGTTGTCCCATTCTTGTCTGATGTAGGATTCTAGCTGCTCAACAGTCCTGGTCTTCTTTGCTGGATTTTTCATTTCATGATGCGCCAAATGTTTTCTATTGGTGAAAGGTCTGGACTGCAGGCCGGCCAGCACCCAGACTCTTCTTCTGCAAAGCCATGCTGTTGTGATGGAAGCAGTGTGTGGTTTAGCATTGACTTGCTGAAATATTCAAGGCCTTCCCTGAAAGAGATGCTGCCTGGATGGGAACATATGTTGTTCTAAAACCTCTATATACTGTTCAGCATTGATAGAGCCTTTCCAGATGTGTGAGCTGCCATAGACACTAATGCAACCCCAGACCATCAGAGATGCAGGCTTTTGAACTGTGCGCTGATAACAAGCTGGATGATCCCTCTCCTCTTGAGTCCGCAGGACACGGCGTCTGTGGTTTCCAAAAAGAATTTCAAATTTTGATTCATCTGACCACAGAACAGTTTTCCATTTTGCCTCAGTCCATTTTAAACAAGCTTTGGCCCAGAGAAGACGGCGGCGTTCCTGGATTGTGTTGAATTCGACAGCATATCCAGACATTGTTGAGATGTGCCTTCCACTGTGTATAGTACATTCTTAACTTGCATTTGTGGATGCAGTAGTAGTATTAGTATTCCCAAAGTATTCCCAAGCCTGTGTGGTGCTATCCATCATAGAAGCATGCTGGTTTTAAATAACAGAGCTGTGTGAGAAGTTGAAGGTCAAGTCAAGTCAAGTCAAATTTATTTATATAGCGCTTTTTACAACAGGTGTTGTCACAAAGTAGCTTTACAGAAAAATCCAGGTCCGAGCCCCCATGAGCGTCGCCAATGGCAACAGTGGCAAGGAAAAACTCCCTAAGAGCAAGAGGAAAAAAACCTTGAGAGGAGCCAAGACTCAAAAGGGGAACCCATCCTTCTATGGTCAACACTGGATAGCAAACAGTAACAAAAGAAAGTCACGGGCATTCAGTTGTGGTTTCCCTGAATCTTTTGATAATATGCACTGTAGATGATGAAATACCCAAAATCTGTGCAATCCCTGGCTGAGAAACAGTCTCATTTAACAGCTGGAATATCTGCTGATGTATTTTTTTGGCAGAATGATGAGCCTCAACCCTTATCTTCACTCATAAAGGACTCAGCCTTTCCTGGATGCTCCTTTTATACCCAAGTGCGATTACATCACCTGTTTAAGGTGTTTTTTGAACAAAGTTCTTAGTCTTAATTTGCTTCTGTCCCAACTTTTTTGGAACGTGTTGCAGTCATCAACTTCAGGATGAGTGTATATTGACAAAAAACAATTAAGCTTATTAGGTACAACATTACAAATCTGGTCTGTGTGCTGTTTTGATCAAATACAGGTCAAAGTAGATTTATACATTATTGTTTTCTGTTTTTATTTGACGTTCACATACCGTCCCAACTTTTTTTGGAATTGGGTTTGTACAGTCTTATGCTAAAGTTTGAACATCCCCAGTCAAATGACACGTTTTGTTGATTTTCTAAATGTAAATAAGTTAATGCACCCTCTACAGGGAACAAACTCAAATATGACATTTTCCTGTAAATTTCAGTGCACATTTCTATTCATTTGCTGAGTTTAACATATGTTTAACATAACTGATGACTGATGTGACTTAAAGCCTTCACATGTTCAAAATTCATTTCCTCTTCATTTTTAATCTGATATGTGAATCTGCGTCAGTCGTTCTGCTTTCATGCACGGAATCAAGCTGGAACAGTGAAGTAAGCATGGGGAAAATGAAAGATTTATGGTTTATTTTTCATTTTGCATCTTCTTCAGCGGTCTGGTGGTGGTGAGTTTTGATTTTGTTAATTTTGTAAATCCTAAAGTAATTCCTTTCCTGTTGATGCTTCTCTTAGGAGACTAAACACGAATAGTTTGTGTGTTATTATTCCATATAATAGAAAAAAGTCTGCTCCATAAAACAATAAAACAATTGTGAAATTTTCCTTTCTTTTCAATGTTGCATCAACAAAAGGTGTAAATGTCTTCATTCTCTAAAAAAAAAAGTTTTATCACTTCATCTCTTACTGATGTTTATTTACTGATATAAACAACGTGGTAGACCCTGACGAGCATCTATATGTTATTATAGTTTAATAGTGACCTGTAAAAATAAGCTAATTTAACACAATGGCTTTTGAAAACCTATTTTGTTTTTTGAGTAAATCAACTATTTTTCTTTTTTTTTTTGGGAACATGCATAAGCAGAAGCTCATTTGTTGAGCTGGTTTGTTCAGAGTATAAAAATACACACACACAGACGTGCATTCCTTTGTGAAAGTTACCATCCATAGTGAAAATTTAAAAGATAAAAACAAAGAAAAGATGAAGCCAATGAAAAATTATAGATAAGAGTAAACGTGTAAATATGTTGGTTTTTCATGACATCACAAAAACAATTAATTCAAAATGGGCTGTTTTTGCAGCTTTTTTTCCATACTGAGACTGTTTTGACTGGGGAGTGAACGGTACATTTTGAAACTTTAACAATGTTCACATACTACATTAAACTCTTTCGTTAAAAAACAACAGGAAATTTGGTTTTACACAATAGAGGCCATTAAATAAACTCTTGTACTTGTGACTTATATTCCTAAGAGCATCAAAATGTAAACTCTTGTCTGTTTGCCCTGTAATTAGGATTACTAGATTTCAGCCATAGCAATCCTATGTTACAAGACTTGCTCTGATACATCATGACACCCTCTAGGAAAAGAAAAAATGCAGAGCTGCAGTATCTTCATCTGTAGTTTCAGCACATGGACTTCAGCACTTGATTTAATGCCACGGTTAAGTGCCGTGTCCATGTATCATGTATCATTTAATTCCCAGAATGTTCTTTGAAATTGGTTGTTCACTCTTGTAGCCTTGGTGTACCGTCAGTAAGTTTTTCCAGGTGAAAAGTTTGTATTTGTACCTTTTCATAACCGAATGTTTTAAAACAGAACAGTAAAATAAAAGCCTGGAGACGAGACGGGGTGTGTGGAGTCAGTACAGCTTAGAACATATCATTTCAGTGGATTATGGTACAGTTATGTTCCCTGTTTAAAGGTACTGAGTTGTATCCTTGAGGGTCCCACCCCAGTGACAAGAGGAGTACTGCCCCAGTGACAGTTTAGTACCTTTATTTCTAAGAATGTTGAAGGCCCTGAGGGTTTCCCCTTTTTCATGGCTGCAGATTAGATTTAAACATCATCAATGTATACAGCAACAGCCCATGCAAACATATCACATCAATCACCAATGCCTGCAATTCGCTTGCTAGTAGGGGCACTTACCAATGCATATAGCAGCATCAAATATTAACAATGTTACACTCGTTCCCCTCTTGAATGCCTCACATTCTTTGATAGGCTGTCATCCTGGCAGGCGAGTTCAGTTCAAAGTACTTTTTACTTGTCGGGGGTGGGGGGGTACTTACATGAAGTACTTTGAACTGTATATTCACCTAAAATAACGAGAGATGTTTCTGAGTCTACTTTGTGCTTGAACATGGACAGCTATAACAGCTGAACTAAAACAGGGAAAAGCTATATGAAAAAACTTAACTACCTAAGTAGGTTTTTGTAGTGTATGCACTCAGATGACATATAACCGTCTTCTTTCATTATTTTGCAGATGTTCATTCCTGCAGTTTCCATTTCATTGCATCTCAAGGCCTTGACCTGCCCAGTTACATAGAGATAGATAGAGTAGATGATGTGACTGTGTTCTATTACCACTGCCATATGAACGTAGAGGTGCCCTGTCCCGAATGGCTCAACACTGCAGCAGATCAGGCACAATAGAAAGAAATCAATTACATAGCAAACTACAACAAGCAACAGATGGCTACAGCTCTCCAGTCTGCCATCCTGCAGTTCAACCTGACAATCAAAATTATTCATTTGAACTAATTAATCATTTAAACTAATCAAATTAATCAATCACCCATTGCAGAACTGACTCTGTGTGTTTTTCCTTTCTTTCCTTTGCCGAGTTGAACAGCTGCCCATCCTGTGTGTCCTGATGCTTCTGCCTCTTCTGCCTTGATCGGGTGCCACTGCTCGCCATGCAAACCTCACCCTCACAACCTGACCCACTGATGTTGCCGCTGCTGCTGCATGAACTAAACTAATCAAATTAATCATTTGCTCCACCTCTTTCCCTGTTTTTGTACTACAATACTAACAATACTAACAATGTTTACTATACGGTGTTGACCAGAGGAGGATGGGTTCCCCTTCTGAGTCTTGGTTCCTCTCAAGGTTTCTTCCTGTTTCTCTGAGGGAGTTTTTCCTTGCCACTGTCGCCACTAGCTTGCTCATGGGGGCTTGGTCCCAGATTTCTTTCTGTAATGCTGATTTCCTTGTAAAGCTGCTTTGTGACAACACCTGTTGTAAAAAGCGCTATATAAATAAACTTTACTTACTTATTTACTAGGTTTTTTTTTTTTTTTGTGATGCACAAAAAAGGTAGCATGTTATTTCACAGAATGGTAAACACATATTATGTAGTTATGCAGTAATCTAATTTAGTATCTAGTATGTAGAAGGGTCATTCTACAGAAACATCCACTTTTCTATCTCTCCATAGGTGTCACTGGTGTTACTGATTGTCATTGGTGTTTCACATAAGAAAGGAAACACCAGAGACATTTTAATGAAGAATGCATTTTACAAAACGGCTCCTACAGAGCATCAAACCACATGTTGTCAATCATGGAACATCCACTAAAATATGTAATTTGATCCAATTGTCTTCTATTTTTTAACAATTACCTCGGTCACACCAGTGACGTCAACTAAAAGCTTCATATGAAATCATGAGCTAAATGAGAAAATCTCCGATAACTGAAAGACACAGTGGACTCACCATGTGCTTTTCTTCATAGATCCTCAGAAAACAGGTAAAAGGAAGTCTAATGATGTCATCAGTGTGATTTTTATTTCAAAATAAGAGATTTTTTGTTACGTGGTAACACCAGTGACACGACTCCTGGGAAAACAACTTTCATTATATATTTTATAATATTTATTTGGCATTTGCTTTCTTTATGTCATTTAATTCATATATTCCATAGCCATGTATAGATTATTGAAGTTAAAACTGCAGAAAAACATTTTTTTTTACCTCAAAATGTGGCCTCACCCTTCACACATGACTGTGGGGACGAGCTCTTCTGTGGTGCTTGGAATTCTATATAATTGATTTAAAAAAACCTATATTGCTGAATTGAGGCTCAAGAAAGTGTAATTATTTAAATAACTAATTGTTTTATTTTAAAATATAAATAAATTGTAACCCTAACATGTTTTTAAGTGTACTATATCTGTAAACAGTAGAGACTCAAAAATGGACGTTTCTGTAGAATGACCCAGAACTTACAAGAAATTTTTAGTGCGTATTTTGCCTATACATGGTAACTTGAGTGTAAACTACCAGCTATGTACAGCAGTACTTAGTACTTCAATACAATAATTACTCAGATTTGAATAGATAAATGTGCAGTATTTAGAAGTAGTAATTGGTGCATACTTTGCAAGTCCAGTATGAAAGTACAGAGTAAATAATATGAGAACAAATAGGTATATTTCACTAAGAAGTTACATAATAGTGGTAACTATTGGTAAGATCTGATTTTTGCTTTCTTATTCATTTATATATATAAATGAATAAGAAAGCAAAAATCAGATCTTACCAATATATATATGACTGACTAGAAGTCTGTCGTTGTTGCTGTTAAAAGTGACATAGCATGGATTAGAGCTTTAATTGAGCCTGAAATTTAGGTCCAAATCTGAGTACAGTCTGAGAACTTTCTGCCCAAGCTCAAGCTTAAGTATGAAACTGATCTGAGTACAACAGTATTCTATTCGAAAATAACCTGAACCAGCACAAATTACTGTATAGCGACAATAACAGCTGCCAATAGATAAATACAATTAAAAAATAAAATATTACAATATGACATTTAAGTGGTGCTTTAATGAATTTGTTTATCAAGCAATGCTTTCTAACAATATCTCAAAGTTTTAAGACTAGATAAACTCTCCACACTGACACGTTACATATAACATAAAAAATATTTTTGGCCAAACGAATTGAATATGGACGTACTTTCTTGCTGCACTGAACTGTACTCTCCTGAGTCAATTTGATGGTTTATTTCTTGCACATCTCTGTACTAAATTCTGCCTACAGCATGAGCATGTGCCTGCAGCATGCCAGATTAAAAACTGTTTTAAGGTAGAGAAAGTAAGGAGTAAGAACAAATTATGTAGTATACTGCAGATAATTTCACTTAATAAAATTACTTAAAAACAAGTAAAATGGTCTGGAAATAAATTAAATAATCTTATAATATTCCTACAGCCATCTAAAAAGTGAAAAATATTAGACATGATTTCACTTGCCAAGGAACTGCTTTTTGCAGTGTAGCATTAGTTTCTCTATTCTGCAAGTAAACTCTTTCACACATGAACTGAGCAGTGAGTAGCTTGATCCAATGATTTACGAGCAAAGTACATCATGGAGGTCTTCCTTGGACTTTGCAGCGCCTTTTTGAATTAAAGGAGACCATGTAAAGGAACCTGCATTTTCCTCCCCAGTTCACAGTTCACATGTGAAGTCTCCACTGTTTTGGTGTATTTTCCTTTCAAAAAAAGCCGTGCAATTCAACAGACTGCTTTTCTATGTCACAACAAAGTAGAGGCTCTCCCTCCACTAGAATAACCACACCCACCAACCCCACCTTCACTAGCACCTCTGGCTTTTCCAACGTGATTTTAAAGTGAAGACCATGTCAGATGTAAACAAAAACAAATGTGCTGTTGTTGCATGGGCAAGTAAACACCTGGTTAGTTTCTAAATCTCAGTTTAACTGGTAACATAAATTGCCCTCCTGATGAATGCAAGTCTTTTGCGATTGAAGACGTCAGGTCTTGGCTAAACACCTGAAAAATGATACAACTGATAGGCTACATGTTTCAACATGGTTTTGTTTTCTCACCTTAATCAGACTGGTGATACAAAACTTGCAGGAACAGATAGCTAAATTGACTCCAGTTAGAACATATGAGGCCACAGCACACCAGAAGCATCACACAGCATCCAAAACTGCATAACCTGCAGTTCATTGTCTCAATGCCTCATTCAGCATTTTGCCATTATTTCATTAAATCCCTCAACACATCTCTCAACAGAATGAGTGAAGTTTATGAAAAAACAAGCTGGAGGTCTTCAAAATATTAATAGAAAAAGAGTCTCTCAAACTGTAACTTACTTATTAAAAAAAATTAAATGCTGGTTAAAAATGTGTGGAAATGTTCACTGGCTACTTACAGGTGGCCTCAGATTTTGTAACGTCTCTCCTCTGGAAATATTGGGTTTGAGTGCATCAAGCTATCATCTGTGATTCTGTGTATTAATGAACAAGTTTGAAAACACAGTTTTTTACTCTGCAAAAAGTGAAATCATAACAATCTATAAAATCTTTAAAAAGAACAACAGATGTTGCCTTTTTATTTAAAGATTAACAGACTAGACTAGATTTATATGTATGAGATTAATCAGCAAGCTCTACACTATGAAAGGAGAAAGCCTTACGTAAAGGAATTCTTTGATCTGGTGTTCAGTATTGACTGCTAAAACTATTTTTTTTTTTCTTAGTAGAGACTCCAACAATGTTCATTTCAAATTCCTGCGAGGAAAGTCAAACATACAAATCTATTTGGGTGCTCTAGACAAGTGGATTTTTGCAGATGATGCATGCAGTTCTAGTAGAAACATTATGTACACTCAGTTCAGTGGATGTGTACCTCTAAAATATCCTGTTTAAAAAGTTGAATTAGAAATGATTGATGACTTACTTTTTAATTTAAGTATCTTTATGAGCATGTAGTTTTATAATTCTACTTGAGTAAAAAATCGAAGTCAAACTTTAACTTTAGTTGAGTATTTTATTTTTTACAAGATTAAGAGTACTTTTACTTAAGTAATGGACTTGTGTACTTCTGCCACCTCTGCTCACAACACTCTGCATGTACCCCTCCACCAGGAATGGATTAAAAAAATAATAATAATCATCGTAAAATAGTGTCTTAGACATCAGGCAGCGTGTTTATAACCATTTCATGTAATAGGTGTCTGTGAGGGAGCTTTTAGAGATGGACGTCTGTGACCACCACTGTGAACAATTCTGACTCTGTAAGTTTCTCTAGAGCAGAGCATTTCACACCAAACCACATTTTTTAAAAATCAGTGGAGTTCTCCTTTAACATACAACAGAAAGTCAGCATTTACCTAGAACCTTAAATAAATCAAAGATGATCCCCAGGTGGTCAGAATCTGAAAAAGACAAAAAGTTGAAATAAATAGTGAAACACCACATTTCCTCCTGCTCAGATAATCTAGACATGAACAGCATGTCTGAGGTTTCTATAGCCTCCCTATAAAGAACATAGCAAAGGCCTCAAACCACCTCAACGTCTCTCTAGCAGACATACAGGAAAGAACAGAGTCACAGATCAGACCCAGACTCGCTGATCAGTCTGCTTTTATTTTGTATTGGATACAAACTTTAGTCTGAAATGACACTGGACGCCACTCAACAGTTCAAATGGTTCAATAAACAAAACGAGACACACCTTAAGATCTCAAGGTGTTTCAGATTCTTCCCATTTGACAGGAAACAATGGCTTTCAGTACCAATCTGGAAACCACAGTTGAACAGAAATGAGAAAAGCTTAAAAGATGACAATTTATATTTTGTAAATTATTATTATTATTATTATACTTGTGGACAGCAACGATTTGAGAACAGCTGCCCATTGCTAACACTTCATGATGAATAGAGCAACAGAAATCATTTAAAATAAAATCTCATTACTTTAAACTTATGTTAACCGTACACTAGAACGGATGATGCATGCAGTTCTAGTATAAACATTATGTACACTCAGTTCAGTGGATGTGTACCTCTAAAATATCCTGTTTAAAAAGTTGAATTAGAAATGATTTTTAAAGAAATACTCTTACTTTTTAATTTAAGTATCTTATATAATTCTACTTGAGTAAAAAATCTAAGTCATACTTCAACTTAGTTTAGTTTAGTTTAGTTTATAAGTGCTGATTGGGTGTTATAAACTAAACTATAAAAAACAAAGAAACGAAATAAGAAACCAGTGCAACAGGAAGCAAAAATAAATAAATAAATAAATAAAATAAAGGGAGAAAAAAACATTGATGCTTCAATAATGCTATTCTTAAAGTCTCTGCACATTTACAGGCGCAGTGAACCTGAAATATTACAGCCAGTTTACATTGTTAAGTTAATATGATTATTGTTTTAAAGTGGAGAAGATTTGACTTTTCACAGAGATTTCAGACCCTCACACATGCATATTCTACCTTGCACAATTTTAAACACGGTTGATTTTGTCGTAGCGTCAAGACGAGAAAAAGACCTTACACTAAAAGATTGAGATGATGCGAGTGCGACGCAAATCTCTATTAAGGCATTTGGGTTTTCAAGGTTATACTTTTCAGGGTACAATTTCTACATATGAATGAGAGCCCCTGGCGGGGTAGTGGGCTTGAGGTTAGGGAACCAGCCTTGTGACCAGAAGGTCGCTGGTTTGATCCCCTGAGCCAACAGTATGTGACTGAAGTACACCTAACCCCCAGCTGCTCCCAGGCTCTGTGGATAGGGCTGCCCACCGCTCTAGGCAAGTGTGCTCACTACCCCCTAGTGTGTGTGTTCACTAGTGTGTATGTGGTGTTTCACTGCACAGATGGGTCAAATGTGGAGATGAAATTTCCCTGTTGTGGGACTAATAAGGGTCACTTAATCTTAAAACGCCCCGCATGTGCTCCTCCACTATTAATAATAGAGATGGAGCGATCCGTGTTTTTGGGGTTGATACCGATCATCATTCGCCTTTAAGGACGAAATCCAATCAGTAAACACAGTTTGTTGTGGTTGTTAATGTTGTTATTACTTTAAGACATGTTTATGTGTGGCTGTGTTTTATTGTGTTCTGCTGTGGGATAATTAGAGTGGTTTTAAATGCACCATAGACGGATGTTTTATGACCAGAGGTGACCTCCCTGGCCTTGCTGTTATTGAGTGGCCTTTTCTGCCTTGTTCAATAAAAGAGTTTTTTCCTTGAGCAGAAAAATGGCATTCCCTGGTTTTTCTTCTGAGCCGACGCTACAATATGTAATGTTGTTGATGGTAAAATAGTGATAAACCTGTAAAAATATTCTTCTGGGACTATTTTGCCTTATAACACCCTGCACATAGCTCTGCACCATGTTTGATTTATTTATGTTTTATCATTATCTTTTTAAATGACTTTTGGTCCAAATCTATCAGAAGACAGTGTCTCAGACATCAGTCAGCGTATTCATAACAATTCGATGTAATAAGTTTCTGTGAGGGTGGCATTAACCTGTTCAGATGTCTGGTTCCTATTGCCACTGCTGTGAACAATCAAACCACTCTGAATAACTTTGTTTGTCTTCACATTTTAATTATGCAGAAATCGGTGGAATTTTTACTTCAAGTAATGTTTTTCTTTAACAGGGTGTAAAAGTAAATACATTTTAGTAAATGATTTTGCTCATAATTGCATTGAGGTGGGGAAAGAAGACAAAATCTATACTCATAATAAAGTGTTAATGACGTAAGTAGAAGTAAAGGTAACTGTGTTTAAAAAGTGCTGTTAATACTTTTTTCCCTACCAGTTTTGTTTTTACACATATCTTTGTTCATTCTTATAAATACACACTTTTTTCATATTTATAAATACAAATTCAAAAGACAATATGTGTGTAAATGTGAACTGGAATAAACGCACTGGAAGTATGTTAAATAATAAAAACAGAAGTATCTGAATACTTGTTTTCCCCTAACTGTATGACTGTGTTTCAGATGAGTTGCCAAGATATCTTTTTTTTTCTTGCAGTGCTCAGCTCATGCCAAAATCTTCACTTTCATTTTCAGTTTGACGAGTGAATGCACATTTGTTGTTCTCTTGCATTATCGACACTGTGAAGAATTGGTCTAAACATGAGGAAAAGGAATGTGTTTTACAGTTTATTCTTCTTCTTACATCTTCTCCAACAAGCTAGCAGTGGTGAGTATTTTGTGGCTTAGTTTAAGGAAAGTTTAAAGTTTGCTTCTGCGTTTTGGTAGGATCTGATACTTGGCACTCTCATGTAGCCCAGCAGCAGTAGGAGAGGAAGAAGGACTCCACAAGTGTTGCTGCTGCCACTAGTCACTTTTCTTCACATTAACTTTTCAAGCTGCTTAAACATGTTACAGGGCTAGCCTAATTGTCCCTTTTAAGACCCAAGAAAAGTAATTCTGTGTTTTCTTTCTAATTACAAGTATATCCTTTGAATAATGTTCCAGTAACCAATAAATTACCTATATATTTCACCATATTTCTCTACTCTCAATGTAAACTGGGCGGTGCTTATGTAATGCTTCCGTAAAAACATTCCCCTGACCAATCACAAGGCTGACATCTCTTGCCCTGCCCACAAGACAGTTTCAGAGTCAGAGAAGCTCTGCGAGCTGAAGCTAACCCAGCACAAGCTAGACCACCTCTCTGTAGCTGCCTGTTGCCCATTCACTCATTTGTCCAACAACAGCACTGTTAGCTCATTCAATCTTTTACACGTTGCTTTGTCCGTCTGTATATTTGTTTATCTGTCTGTTTGTTTGTTCATCCATCCATCCGCACATCTGTTCATCCATTCCTTCATGCGTTGCATCACCTGCACAATTGTTTGTTTGTTTGTTCGTCTGTCTGTCTGTCTGTTCAGTCAGTTGCACATGTTTATCTGTGACTTCATCCAGTTACCATCAAATAAAAGCTGATAATAATTTTAGTTCTGTATGAGGGGCGGAGCAGGCTAGGAGTGATGGACAGAGAGCTGTCAATCAAGCTGCTCATAAGCCATGCCCATGGATTTTAAGTCATGTTTTATCGTATTTATATCTTACATTTTCCATTGAAGCTTTGCAAGATGTTTAATGTAACAATGTAAGTTTAGTATCATACAAACGTTTTTTATATTTTAACATTTTTAATATTACTCTGTGTCCCCTGGGACTTTAACCTAGTTATCAATCGGTAAGCGCTACAGAACTAGCCTCAAATCTGAAAAGCAAAAGCAAAATCTAACAATTATCAAACATACTTCACAGTCAGCAAAATATACAGTTTTACAAAGCATGTACATCTAAGTATGTATTACAGTAATAATTGAAATTAGATATGGGGGAAAAATCTGACATGCCTGTAACGGGTTGCACTTTTTGCTGGCCACTAGGGCTGCCTAATATGGACGTACTATGCGATGTTCAATAAAGCTGTCGGATATCATGTTGGTTTCTGTTGATCAGTGACAACAAAATAAATAAATAAACACACTGTAATGTTCCGTGTTCTATCATAAATATATGACAACTTCCAAAGCCAGGTGAATGCTTTTTGTAGGTACTGCCACTCTCTTTTATCATTATTTTGCAGATGTCCATTCCATCAGTGGCTATTTCCTTGGTTCTCAAGGCCTCAATCTGCCCGATTACATGGAGAGAATTACTGTGGATGATGTTGGCATGTATTATTACGATAGCACTATGAATGCAGAGGTGCCCTGTCCTGAATGGCTTAATACTACAGAAGGTCAGGAACACTGGAAGGATATTAATCTCATATCACTTGACAACAGACATAGATTCGCTTCATCTCTCCAGTCTGCCATACTGCAGTTTAACCTGACAGGTAATGTACTTTTTCTGCTGGTTATAACAATAAATAAATAAACAAATGTTATATTTGAAAAAGGTTTACCACTAAATTACAGGTTTGGTGCCCAACATTACTTTTTCTCTTACAGGTTCTTCTTCAAATGTTAACGTATACCAAGGCGTTGGCCGTTGTTCCCTCTATCCAGATGGGACTCTCAAGGCAGTGTTAACACATGCATTCAATGGGGAAGACTTTTTAAGTTTTGATATTGACACAAAAACGTTCATAGCTTCTGTTCCTCAAGCGGTCATTTACAAAAGGCAGAGGGAGGAAAATCCAGTCTTTCTTGAACATTTGACATTTTTCTACAAGAAGACCTGTTTTGAACGCCTGAAGATTCTTCTACAACATGCTCCTGCAGTCAATATGAAGAAAGGTAAGATATGTGAAAGGTATGAACACAAGACACACATGCATGCATTCTGAAATGGTGCAGAAAACCCGGAGCGTCTTTTTTATTTGTGATTTTGTACATAAAAGGTTGGTGTTTCTGATGAGACGTTTGTTTAGGACATCAAAATAAAGATAGCATTGCGCTTCCAAATAGGTTCCAAAAGCACTACATATAACAATACTCACTCAGTGCTCCACACGTATAAAAAAAAGCTGGCTAGTGCAGAAGGAATGATGGTACGATGCTTGCCTTTCGGATGTGGAATGACAAAATCAAACAAAAAGCTAACTAAAAAAAAAAAACAACATAAAAAGAAGAAAATGTAGCCCATCCAGGAAAAACACATTAAAGCAGCATTATGTGAGAATTGTTATTTTTTTTGTTCTTGGGGTCCCTCTACAGTTGTGGAGTATATTTCACTGTCATATACAAATCACGCTATGAGCCCCCCCTCATAGACAGCTGTACACATGCATTTGTTGATGAGCTGGAGGATACAGAATCCGACTCCCCTGCACATCACGTAGGCACATGGACACTGCATATTATACTTGTGATTTCTATGTTTCTATGTGTAAACAACTGAAATCACGAGTGTTATGTAAAGTCCATATACCTGCATGACGTGCGTGCATGCAAAGGGGAGTCTGCATCAGAAGAGAAAGAACCATGTCGACTTACGAGGTAACAACAGGATTTTATTACAGGAGGATGCAAATTTTCAAGGCTTATTTAGGACTGACAAAGACTTTTTGTCTGACAGAGACATTTTGGCATGAGATGAATTTATTTTGTTGCATACTAGCCTGAAAAGGGACTGAGGTTAGATGACTTTTGGCAACCAGAAAAACTACAAAACTTGAATGTTTTAATTAACACTGGCAGGAATGTGCACTCTGCTGGCTTTTCGTTGTTTTCCATTAGTCGTGAGACTGTCACATCCTTGTATTTCTTTTAGCCCGTGCCAATGAGTAAAAGCCAGTCTGAGATTTACTCTTGTCCAGTCTCTTGCTCGGTCACTCTCTCTTTTTCTCTTCCTCGTCTCCTCCGACAGCGTCTTCTTCGGTCTCTTCAAAGCCTCTGCCATATTGTCCATGCTGGGAATACCGATCTAGCTTTTTCTTGTAGTTAGCTGGAGAGCCAGAGTAGTTCATGTGTGACGTGGTACCATAAAGCATCATACAGTTGTCAGGAGAGGTCTCACGTTATACCACTATAGCAGGCATTCTGTGCCTGCAGTAATAATGACTCTTCTCACTATTATAAGTCAGTATACCATCAAAATGATTTTGAAGCTGTTATTCTATGTTAAAATTGTTGCATAATGTTGCTTTAACTTAACACAAGTTCAGTCTACAGATGTTCAGGCTGTAAACAAAACAAATGAAATCTAAATTAATTGAACACAAGTCAGTATAAGTTGCAACTTGCCATCTGAGATCATAATAAAAGTTCTGTAATCATCAGGGCTCATCTTGAATCACTTGGATTTCCAACTGCAACATCCATCAGTTATAATTGAAACAGTCCCACAGTCTGACCTGTTCTAGGCAAATCTACACCCAAAGGCGCTCTCTCCACTAAATGTCCTTACATGTACACATATAGCTCCAACAGCAGGACAACAGTTAACCATTTGCTAAACACCTCCCCTAAATGCTGGTTGTACAATCATAGCTTAGCAACTGTTACTAAGTCTGGCTTTGACAAGCTTTTAAAGCTTTACAATACGCCACAATGCTGTGTTTGCAGTATTTGTATATCAGAAACCTGATAACTCTGATAGCTATAAGTGTTTAGTGGGGAAAATATTTTTTTTACCCATTTCCTAATCCGAAGGGCATTAAACAGTGTGGTACCCTGTTGCCAATTAAACCTGTCAAAAATCACACAGAACAGGCACATCTGCTCCAAGGTACATGGTTAAATTAGATAATTAGCAAGCCTGGCTAGCTAATGAAATCTTTCTTTATTATTTTTAAATCATTAGAGTTAGCATCACACGTATTAATTAATGGTGAATGGTGACCTTATCACTGTTTCCTAGCTAAACTTACAATGGAAATATTTAACAGGAACCCATAAGGCATACATGCTAAAGTTATTCAAAATACATAGAATCATACATTCATGTACCATACAGTGAAGGACCAATGTTGCTCTTTTATTTCCATGGTTATCTACATGAACCACTATTTGATGAGGTGTCTCACTGCATGACTGAACTGCAGTGCTACATTTTGCAGCAGCTTGCTGGTAGTTCAACTACATCCATGTTTGCATAGTGATTTAAGTAGTTAAATTACTTTTTTGGCATTTTTGTATAGTTAACTACTGAAGCTACAAACACTTTTGGATCATAAAAGGAGAGGATTTTTACATTTTCATTTTAGCTTTGCTTCTCTACAGTAATTGAACCCCCTTTGACCAGCCCTACCCGCTTTTTCTTTTATCCTGACTGGTAAGTGGGCATGCCCAGGCAATGCATTTGTCAGGCAGCCAAAAGTGCTAACATAGCATAATGTCATGGATAAACTCAATTTGAGTGATATTTTTGCTGGCATGTGACTTATTATATATATATATATATATATATATATATATATATATATATATATATATATACTACATTTCTCCCTATAGCTTTGCTGTAGTTCAACTTCTTCCAGTAGCTTCTTGGTACCTTGCAAAGCTATGATTTCAAAGTAGCTTCCCCAACACTGCTGATCTCACTATCCTTATCATATTAGCTCTTTTGGATGTGGCGTTCAGATATGCACACTGGAGACTTTTCTCAGTATTCTTTGATGAAACTTTCACACCAAAAGGTTCTAAGAAATTCATGCGATAAATCTGTGGTGGCCACTAAAAACTCCATTGTTGACAGTTGGGGCTTGAAAGCTTGTGAGATGTAGGCAGAGCTTAGCAAAGGATCAGTCATCATATATACTGTGGATACACGCTCTAGTAATCATGTGTCCCTCCAAATGCATACCCTACTTATGCACTAAACAGAAAAAATCATCACTAAAATAATCAGATGGCTGAGGAGAGGAGGGTCATTTTATCAGGTCCTCTTTTATTCTATGTTCTGTCACCACTGGATCCACTTTGCATGACTTGCTCAAGAACAGAATTTAAAAGTGCAAACTGTTGCTCCCACACCTCTCTGGGTATATCAAAAATGCCCTGGGCTGTTCTGAAAATGAGTTAAAATGAGTAGAAAAGTCTCCTGAATCTTTTATATTGAGGACAGTAGAAGTTTGACTGTGAAAATGGCCTTAGTAGAGACTCATGAGAGGCACACACCAACAGTAAAATGGGACTGTTTATGTTGTTAGTGTTGTTCTGTTGGTTTACATTGTGGGTACGTGTAATATGTGTTGTGTTCTGTGTTGGGAAGTAGGTTCATTAGAGTGAGTTTGTGTGCTTGCCATTAAGGTAAGGTGTAAGGCTTTAGGTGACCTTCCCACTGTTTGGGCTGTATTTATAAGTAGTTTTTCAGCTGTGGTTCAATAAAAGAGCAGCAGAAATTATTATCTCACTGGACTGTTTTTCACCATGATGCTACAATATTACATACATACATACATCATCTAAACTGCTTATCCTTCTGGGTCGCGGGGGGGTGCTGGAGCCTATCCCAGCTGTCATTGGGCGGAAGGCAGGATACACCCTGGACAGGTCGCCAGTCCATCACAGGGGCTACAATATTAAAATGTTTAATATTATGTTTTATTTTTGTGCATGTAGCCTATACAGAAGGTGCATGCATATGCTCTAACTTTCTATATTATGTCTAGCTATACTGCCTTGCATGTTAGACTTTTGTTTTCTGTTGTTCAGTTCCAGAAGTCCGTCTTTTCAAGAGGACCAAGGCTGGCTCTAAGGTCCTCACGTGTCATGTGACTGGGTTCTACCCCAGAGACGTGCAGGTTGAGTGGGTCGGAGCAGGTCTACAGTCTGTGGAAGAAGAGATGGTTGATGTGCTTCCTAATGGAGATGGTACTTATCAGACCAGAAGGAGTGTGATTAGACCTGAGGAGAACCCAGAGGAACACAAATACAGCTGCGTAGTGCATCACAGCAGTGTAGCAGGAAACGTCACCAAAACCTGGGGTATGAGTTTACATCTATGTTTGTGAATGTATTGATATATTTATGTCGATATATTTCAGATGTTGTTCTTTCAGTCAACAAACCTTTATTTAAAAAAAGTTAGGACAGAATGTGAAAAGCCAATAAAACAGAAAGCAGTGATTAGTAAATAAATTTGAAAATAGAAAATTAGAAAAAAAAAATGTGGAAAAACAACTTACTTCAAATTAAAAATAAAACTTAGCTTAATACAAAACAGAAAACAGTTAGACACCAAGAATGGCAGAGAAAAGGTACAACCTTTTATGAAGGATTAAGGCTTCACAAATATAAGCATTAATCTGAGCTGCCCCAAACATCAGTTTGTGTACACCCCTGGGCAAAGGAGGGGTTCACCTCTCTCCTCCTTTGCCCCTCCCATTTTATCAATCTCTGCATAATTTGGGAACCATTAATTCTTAAAATTGTACCTGTATTGGTTACCAATAGCTCCTGATTTGTGAATTATTTTTTGATAATGTCTGGCTTTGTCTGAAAAAAGACTATGTTTGAAAAAAGACTACATCATATTTTGGGTATTTTCCAGAACTTCAGCTCAAGAACTCCCCCTTATTTCCGATCGAGGGATGGTCTCATAAAAAAAATGTGTGTATATGTATATATATATATATATATATATATATATATATATTTATTTATTAGCTGAGACTATAATGGTCAACTGTATTCACAGTGCCTCACTAAAATAGAGCTACACTTTTAAATATGACAGTCCTTAATGAGTTCATTAGTAAAGGCAATGGTTCTATATAGAACCATGAACACTCAAAGAACCCTTATATACAGTCAAACTGAACTAATCACTGCTTTCTGTTTTTATTAGCATTTCATTAAGATTTTAAAAACAACTGACATTTTCTTTTCTCATCTGAGTATAACATTTTGTTTTAATTCCATTACATTTATCTGTGTAGAAGAACACTCTGGACTGGCTGCTTGGATTTGGATTTCTCTTATCTGTTTTTTCTTGGCCATTGCTGGAACTGGGCTTTTGTTCAGGCGGTTATGTAAAACTAAAGGTGAGAAAACATGTTGAATAAATGCACAGTGAGCTCCTGCATGTGTGCAGACAGTACCAGTCAACATTGTGGATTTTAATCAGTGTCTCTTTGCATGTAATATTCCTCCCATTGCCATTACTGTTTAATAATACATTAACTTTAACAATGTACAGATAGTGGCCCTTATACATCAAAGTTGCATAAAAAAGCGCAAATTTGGCCGCCTTTAATGACATACGCCATTGTATCTGATTCTACGATGTGGGAACAAGTGGAGAATTACTTGAAATCAGCCTAGTGCATGAAATTAAGTGCCAGCCTACCAGAATCTCATTTACACACATGAATCACCCCCTAATTCATACCAATAAAACGACAGCATCCAGCATCTTGTAAGCCAGTGGCAGTGTTCATAGGTGGAGTTTGAGGTTGATTTTGATGGATAAAGGCCATTGTCCCTTGAGACCTCCAAACGTTTTAAGTTTGATTGCTAAGATTTTGTTACAGAGTAATTGATGTGTTTTGAATTAAATTATAACATTGATGAATTGACTCTTTCTGTTTCTTGTTTTTGCGCTGTTCCTCAGATGTTGGGATTTGAAATTACTGCTTGTGTGAAGATGAATCAGTGTGGCTCCACCTTCACTCCTAAAACTCAACAGCTTCTGCACAGACTTTACTTCTTTCAATGTCTGCAAGTATCGCTAAAAATTGGTGCTATGCACCCTTCAGGGGTTAAAGCAAATGGTTCAATGGGCTAATAAGAGATGCTCAACTTAAAGCATATGAAGAGCTTAGGGATGAGTCAATACCAATCAAAGAACACAAATGTTAGCTAATACACCTGAATTTACAACAATTTACAATGGTGCGTAAGCCTCCTTAAATGTCGGTGCACTATACTACTCACATGTAATGACACAATTACATGGCTAATTTCACTGTCATGTAAGACATTACATTTACATTTTATTTACATTCTGTGGTGATTTAAAATGTCTTCTCTTCAACTTACACATAGACTGAAAGTTTACAATCTGCACTTTCAGCAGAATTTCTCTCCCTGTTTCAGTGATCTATAAGTGAGAAATAATATTAAATGACAAAATGTGTTTTGCCTTCTTTTTTTAATTTGCTAAGTTTATACCCTTGCTGTGAAAGAAAACACCTTACTGCCTTAAACAGCATCATCTCATGCTTGTCCTGCAGACTCATTAGGAAAGGAGCAAGGGTCAGGAGCAGGCTCGGAGATGCTTATGCTACAATATAGCACCTGAAAGTGATAAACTGCTGTATATTTCTATATAGCATGGGAATCCTCTTGTGCACTAAAATTTGTAGATAAATGTCATATTTAAGCGTGCTCTCTGTAGACAAATTAACTTATTTTGTACAAAATGCGTCCTTTGACCAGGAGTGTTCAAACTTTTGCATGCGACTGTATAACATTTGCGGTTTTTACGCACATTTCATGTTTTATGATTATATTCCAATGTGTTCAGTTCAATAAATAAACAGTAAATATTTATAAAAATATGTGTAGAAGTGTATTCTCTCTAGAGGATGTGTTAACTTACTTTCACTTAGAAAATCAACAAAACATGTAATTTTGTAACAGAGGCAGGATGCATGTGTGAAGTAGCTTTATTAATGGCAATCTAATAAACACAGGCCTTTATACATACACAATGTAAATCCGTGATATCAAAAACTAGAATAAAGCAATAAGCCGCTTGAGACCATGCGTTACTGCAGTTTTATCACAGGGGAGGGTGGTCTTAGGCATGACGTGAAGTGGAGTAAAACCCCCTTCACCCTGATAAAACCACAGTAACATACGGCCTCAGGAGCCTCGCTGCTTTTATAAAATGGCAGCCAACATAAAATATGATAAAATACACATTTTTTCAGAAAATGATTTGTTATTATTAATAATAATTGACATAAACAAGTATTTCTCCAAGAAATGTAGTTCCTCTAGCGTATGGTGTTGTTGCCAAGAAACCATGGACTGCTGAATCAGGAGAAGAATGTTTGGCCGCCCATCGCTGTATATTGCTGTCATTTTGAGAACTTTTTAACTTTTTGTCATATAATAATGAACATATGGTAACACAGCACTGTTTAAGGTTAAAACCTTTGCTTTGTAATTTGGTCACCAAATTACTCCCGCAAGTCGTATATAGTGCCAATCTAACTGCGCCCCTCTTCTCACACTGGGGCTCAATCTCAAATGGCTCCCTGCTCCCTGTAGCTAGTGCACTATGTAAGAATTTACATACTGTCTCCTGCAGCCCAACAGTGCATAATATAGTTAAAAAAAAGTCATTAAAAGCTGTGTGTGTGGATGTGTGCGTGTGTGTGTTTGTGTGTGCGCGTGTTTGTTCCGTTGTAAGTACGCTGATGCAATATGGCTGCCGCTTTACATCGGTTTTTCGTTTGTTATATTGTATTGTTTATGTGAATGTTTTGATGTTTCCCCGCTGGCTGAGGAGGCTTCTTGGCCTGGCCGTTTATGTGACGCTACATCACAGCTATGATGCAGCCTGGACTGGCTCCTTGAGAGGCACTGTATCGCAGCTATGAGGCTCTCATTGAGTGACATTGCTCCCTGCGCTGCAAAATCCTCTGTGTTAATTTCACTCACTTGGTGTTAAAATGAACACTATCGCAGTGTTTGTATCACTCTCACTGGTTTGGAGATAAAATTAAACTTTGGATAGTGTGAACATTTCAACTCATTAATAGTGTTAAATTTCTAACACTCATGTTGTTCTATGGCACGTAAAACAGGACTTTTAACACTACATTGTGTCATTCCCTTTCACTAGGAGGCTTCATTTCTAACATTCACAATGTTGTTTTATGACAAAGTATTTTTGAAGGGTTTACTTCCATATTAATGCATGCACTGCTCTTCCACCATGAATGTTTTTACCAAATATGAAAATGCTTCTAGACTCTCCTGCAAGGCTACGGAAAATCAGGATGAACACTTACCATGCTGTAAATCTCCTTATTCTCTGTATTTACAAAGGTTTACAAAATTTGTTGAACAAGTATAATAAATCATAAAAAAAAAAAACATCATTGAACTTTTTATTCAGGAAAAAAAAATCTTCACAACTTATATATACACAACTTATATATGCATATTACACACACACACACACACACACACACACACACACACACATACACATTTTATTCAGAACCAATGGGACCTGCCCAAATGCATGCATTATGCTTTTGTATTTAGTTCCCCATGTGCGAAGCCCATCATTTGTTTGTTAAAGAGCCTGAATACGGGTGGATTTTACTGCGATTAGAGTGGGCTTTGCATTTTGTTTTTAGCAAGGAGATGCTGTGTTATTAGCCTTTGTAGCTAACAGTTCGGGGACTGGAAACAAGCAGTGAATAGTGCCTGTTCTTTTGTTTTGCTGTGTTCTGTGGTGAGTTTGGAAATAAAGCCGAGCAGATCAGACCCGCAACTCTGGAGGTTCCTGATGAAACAGTCCACTTTACAGTGTTTATGTTTTTTGTGTTTATTTGTACTTATGAGAAAGATTCTCAACTTCTACACCTTCGAAGCATGGATTTATGAAATCTTCACCCCTCGCTGTTTCCACAGTTTTTTGTGGTCGCTGTCTGCCGGGTGGGCTCCCTGTCTGACTAATCAGGCCGTGTGCGTTTATGTGTTTTGAGGGAGTAGTTTTGGAAGGGTGGGCTGGCTTTCTCAGCGTCTTCACCATGAGCTCAAAAAAAAAGCATTTGTGCCTGATCCTAAACCCTAATCCAGACACCACATGTGTAATATAAATGTGTGGGGGGTGAACAGAGTGAAGACACTGAAAATGGGTTATTTTATGTGTTCTGCACAGAAAATGAGCAAAGACCAAGAAATCTGGGGTTGAAATATTAATAAATCATAATTTTTTCTTTTTTTTTGATAAAATGGGAAAATGGGTCCCACAGACCCCAACACCACACAAGGGTTAATTAATGATAAGGGCTTATATATTAGTCATTAACTGATTGGCTTCCCACAGAGTCCTCACCCAGAGTCCCCCTCTGGCTGCATTCCCACTTTACTAACGTCATTCAGCTCTCACACTCAAACTCACCACTTTATTACATGACCCACTCTTCTTCAGGACTGTCCACTATACAGCTGGGTTTTAGTCTTTAAGTGCTGCTGGAATAATGTATTATCTATCATCAACACAAAATTGTTCAAATTACACAAATTTCTATTATTAGACCAGAATTTGCAGCAGATCTCATCTGTAAGTGTTGATGTTCTTGCTTTTAGGATCTATTAAGGATCAGTTATGTTTTGGTATTGATCTTGTGTTGGCTGAATATTGTGCTCATACGAAATATTCAGACCTTAGATATTTACAAGGATTATGTTATGATCTATTTAAGGCATTAACAGAGATAGTAAAACTAAATATATACAAAATTATCATTTATAGGGTTCTTTCTGTTGGGAGGTGTCTGTCCTAAACCCCGACCCCTAAATTTACACTTTATAGTACTTATAGTAAATAGTACTTGTTAAAATAGTATTTTTTTTTGTTTACTTTTTTTGTTTCTTTTTTTTTAATTTTGTTTAAAGTTAATTTGAAAGATTTATATTTATCTTGTTTTTTTTTTCTTCTTTTTTTTTCACTTCAAGTGAACTACCAAACTACCAAAACACACAGAGTTTTCATCTGTTGGCGGAGCCTTATTTATAACCACGCCCCTGCCTTTTAGAACAGTTTTCAGTTCAGTTCAGCACAAAATGACCTAAAACTGTCACTACTGAAACATTTTGTAAAGTTAGGGTGTTATGATTGTTCTGGTAGAGGCTAAATGGACTGTTCAATCATTTGTTTTAATAAAATAAACATAATTAAGATAAAGCGTCACTCAAAGCAAAATGATTTTAGTTTAAAGTCCAGGTCGGCTAAAAGTCCTAAATGTGTTTTTAGCCTTGTCTTTGGACCAGCTCAGTAGAATCATCCGTATATTTGCGTGTGTGTATTATGCACATTTACTGTTTATTTGCTGAATTAAACATATTGTAAAAAAGTAAGCATAAAATGTGGACTGTGCAAAAGTTATGGCACATTTTATATTTCATGTTTTATATTTTTCCAATATGTTAAATTCAGCACATGGATAGAAACTGTGCACTAAGATATGCAGAAAAATGTCATATTTAAGTGTGTTTTCTCATGCTATATTTGAGTATGTTAACAAAAAAATATGTGATTTATATTCTTATTTATGCCTATTTAAAATTGCTCTTACAAGTTTGAGTCCATCTTTTTTTTAATTGATAATGTCTTAAATATTGCTTATGTATTTATGGATAAATGTATGAAACAATAAGTGTATTATTATTGCAAAACTGGTGTAAATGTTGCCTTTTTATTACTGTTTATTACTCACAAGTGCTGATTTATTAATTGTAAAGTTATGCTTAGTTTTGTGATGATTAGATACATCCATAATAAATATTTCAATACAGCGTGTTGACAGCGGGTTAATTTTTATGGTAATAATCGGTGTAATCCACCGTGCTGTTTGTTTTCTTGTTGAGCTGTGAAAGTTTTCTTATTCTTAGTTATTCTTGGTTTTTTGTTGTGTTTTTTTTTAGATTAGACAGACGATGTGTGATCTTAATGGTGGGCTCAGTAGGATTAAATAACAGAGGGGTACACTCATCCAGACCTCTAAGGACATTTTTTTGAGAAATCATGTAAAGTTGAGATGAAATTTCCTCACAATTGTACTTGAGCAGAAATAAAAGAAGTAAGAAGTAAAAGTATTTATCTGCAGATGCACAAAACATTCATCCAAATTTCTGATAAATTTCTGATTTCAGATAAGCTACAAACTCTGTGTACTGTAGCAATTGATTGTATCTGTGAATCCACAGTTTCTTAGTATCATAAACTCAATCTGAACAGGTAAAAAGTTATTAAAACTATTAAAATTGAAATTTGGTAAAAAAAAAAAAAATCAAATTCTAACGTCAAAATTCAAATTCGACCAGTATTCATTACATTTTAGCCTATATGTTTTCCAGATCACTGGCTTTTCTCACTTCATTATAATGACACAAATATTTTTACAAATATTAATAATATTTTAGGATTAATTCAATTTTCGAAAGTAGTTGAAATTCTAATTACATGTTTAAAAAGAGTAAAAATAGTTGTTGCACATAATTTAATTTTTACACTAAAGACTTTGTATCTTTATATGTAAAAATGAAATGTACACAATCTCCCATTTACAAATTCTTAGTTTTTACCATAGACTGTACATAACATAATATAATATAATTTAATATCATATAATATCATGATCAAATAAAATATAATAGTAAACCTTGAATTGCTAGAACACGTTTCTATATTCTACGATTCTACATTAGTTTCGTATTTTTCATTACATTTCTGATTTTAATAGCCTGTATTAAATATTGCTAAGAGGCTGTACTGCTTGTGTCAAGTAGGCGGCAGCAGCGAGCGCAGGCTTTACATTTACAACCAGCCACAAACCCAAGGGAGGCAACAATGGGTGCGTTTTAGCTTTATTTTTAATTTTAAAATATAATATTGTATCGTTTTTATCCCAGAAAGACCGATATTTTCTTTTGTCAACAAATACGTGAACAAAAAAGCGCCACACGCTGAAAAACTCTTACTTTCACTTTCGGTCTGAGTGAACTGTGAGTGCTGCTCTGTCTGTCGCGACAACAACAGTGAAGAAATAAAGTGAACAAAGAGCGGAAAATGAGGGAGATTTACTGCTTATTCCTCCTCTTACAGCTTCCACAGCGGTCTGATGGTGGTGAGTGTTGATCTGTGATTGTTTTACTCTTTGTTCTGTCGGGCTGAAGTGACTCTGTGCTCACACTGCTCAGTGCAGATAACTTGTGTATTTCTATATTTGTAGTCAGTTTTACATCCAGTGACACAAAACGAGATGTTTTCTGAGTATATTCAGATAAATAGAAGGAGCCCTCCCTCCCACCCATCGTCCACAGTCGGTCAGACGTGTTTTGTTCTGGAAGTTTGTTTCTTTAGTTCTAACACTGGAGCTACGAGGCTAACAAGGAATGGAAGTTTATACTCCACCAGTTAGCATCACAGATTATCTCAAACCGTGACGAGCAGTGAAAGGGGAATTCCACCGAATTTTTCATCATATCTGCTTAATTCCCATACGGAAATCTGATACCTGGCAATATATGCGTTTCAAATATGACACGTATATTAACATACATAGATTTCCCTTAAATCCAACTTATATAAGTGACATAGGGATATATATATGAGGCATATATGCCAGCTTATTTGAAATTGGCCATTTTCAAATATGGGACATATATTTCCGTCATACATCGAAGTATAAACATATGTGTCTAACGCATATATTTTAAAATCTAAGATAGGAAACAATATTCATATACAGATGACATACACTATATTGCCAGAAGTATTTGCTTGTCTGCCTTCACACACACATGAACTTGACATCCCATTCTTAATCCATAGGGTTTAATATGATGTCGGCCCACCCTTTGCAGTGTATATATACATTCCTCACCATTCCCATCTGTGATATAAATTAGTACCTCATGTGCAACATTCCATGTGAATTTCGGGGCAAAATATCCTTACAGTATAAACATCTCCAACATACCAAGTACCAAGTATCAAGTATATAAGTATATATATAAGTATCAAATATCAAATATTTTACACATATGCATAATGTATGGACCTATATGTACATATATTTTGAAATGCCTGACCCTTTTTGACATAGTTGCATATATGTGGCCATATATCTGACTTCTATATGGTTTCTGTTGTGGTGGTAAACACAGTGATTCAGAGTGGTTTGGTATGAAATGGTTCAGATGTCTTTACAGTGGTGGTGATAGGGTCGCCATGACTACAACACAAATATAGACTATTTACTATCCAAAACCACCAGTGAACCTACACAAGCCTTCTGAGTTTATATGTAATGCTGATAATGGTGAAAATCTGAAAAAAAATCTTTGTGGATTATTTTGCCTTAGAACGCCACACATGTATTTATTCACCTTGAATGTATTTAAAATAAATAAACAAATAAATAAATAAACATACATTTTAAGCCTAAATGTAAGAACATAACATAATAAATAATAAAAAAGACATCACTGCATTGTGATCATAACCGTTTAATGTAACAACTTTCAATTAGGGAGCTTTTAGAGGTGGACGTCTGGTTCCTATCACCACCACTGTGAACAATTCTGAGTTTGTACGTTTTGCTAGAGCTGAGCATTTTACCCCAAACCACTCTGAATCGTAATTAAATTCTAAAGAAATTTTGAAAAATCTGAGATGCATGTCTTCTTTCATTATTTTGCAGCTGTTCATTCCATCAGTGGCTTTTTCATCGGCTCTCAAGGCCTCGATCTGCCCGATTACATGGAGAGAATTGCTGTGGACGATGTAACCATGTATTATTACGACAGCAGTATGAATACAGAGGTGCCCTGTCCTGAATGGCTCAACACTACAGAGGGTCAGCAGCACTGGAAAGATATTAATCTCATATCGCACCACAACAAGCACACCATGACTACAGCTTTACAATCAGCCATACAGCAGTTCAACCTGACAGGTAATGTGTTCTGTTATACTGTTATAATAAACAATGAGTGTGTTTACATGCACTTAATAATGCATGCGTTTGGTTTCAGCGTCGCTCCAAAAGTGTTTTGCTGAGTCTCACGGCAACGCTGCTCGCTTATTTCTGGTACTGCGATCTGTTTTTGCGCATGCTCAGACTGAGAAATGCGAAAGAAATCAGAGTAAGAGTTCACAGCACTGAGAAATCTGATTACTGAGCTACAATCCAGCTCTTTTTATCAGATTCCTTAGTCGGATTTCTAGACCTTATCCGATCTAAGAAATCAGAGTGTGCTGTTTACATGATCATTTGAATAATCAGATAACTGCAGAAATATGATTATTATCGGATTATTGAGTGCATGTAAACACACTCACTGTTTCTTGTAGTGCTTCTAGATTTTGATTTGGTGCCCAGCATTGACGCTGAAGAGGTTTGCCTTTTCGTTTCCTCTGTGTTTACAGCCACTTCTTCAGATGTTAACATTTACCAAGGCTTCAGTCGCTGTGACCTCTATCCAGATGGGACCCTCAAAGCAATGTTAACACACGCATTCAACGGGAAAGACTTTATAACTTTGGATATTGACAGTAAGACATACACAGCTTCTGTTCCTCAAGCCATTGTATACAAAAGGCAGAGGGAAGCAAATCCAGTCTTGCTTGAAATCACGGTTGCTTTCTACAAAAGGACCTGTTTTGAACGTCTGAAGATGTTCCTACAGCACGCTCCCAGAGTCAATATGAAGAAAGGTAAGATATGTGTCAAAATGAAGACGTTTCCTCTTTGCTGTTATTGTCTCTACCAGTATAAAAGTACAAAAAATTGCAAAAACTACCAAAAAATTATACAAAATCACAGTATGGGTGGGAAAATCGTAGCCTATGTTTAGAGTTTCTGTATATTTTCAGCATCATCATCACCACTTCACTCAAAAAACAGAGTTCACATTTTCAGATCCAGGTTTTCTGAGTGCATTCCAAAAAAAATCATGCGGGGTGCTACATAGCAGCTTAGTTTTGTTTGTCACAAATGGGCTTGAATCTATCACAATCCCATATTAAACCATGCTAATGAGAGGAGTACAGTGTGGTGACCATAGATATACATACCTAGGTGCCGCGTTGTCTGTTGTTCTCTATCTGAGGTGAAACGTCTGCGCGTCGGCCATGTTGGAGAGGTCAAGATCCGCTTGTGAACGAATTCACTTGTACTGAGAGACGATGAGTCTCAGGATTAAATCGGCCACAGCTTCCGTCCTAATTCTCAGACATAGACTAATCTAGGCTGCACGGATCTGCTCTCAGTAGCTTTTATTACTTTAATAACTGAACGTGCTAATTAGCCATCCAGACCAGCAGGAAAGTATTCAGTCTGTACCTGACGTTAAAACCTGAGTTTAGCCTGAGAAACACAAACACACATCAGCAAATCCATCAATGTGTGAATTACATCTAATATTAATACAGATAAAAATAAAATGAACCCCTCAAAACACGGTAAGAAGGATGAAGCTAAAGTTGGCTTCCTATTCGCCAGCTTCTTGTTGGAATTTTCCTGTTCCACCTTAATAAATTAGAAAATTGAGCAAGAAGCTGGCAAATAAGAAGCTTACTTAAGCTTCATCCTTCTTACTGTGTTTTGAGGGGTTTATTTTATTTTTATCTGTATTAATATTAGATGTAATTCACACATTGATGGATTTGCTGAAGATGCTAACATTAACCTATTATGAATATCTACACAGATTAATTAATGCTATAACTTACCGAGCTACAAAGCTTAACCAGCACTGTAAATAAATAACTACTACATAAAGTTAAGAACCCCTGAATAGACTATTAAATGAAATAAGCTTAATATAAAATCAGAGGAAAAACAATCACATCAACAGGTTCTCTGTGCCTCATTAACCACACGGCCATATCTACACATAAACATCACACAAACATGAGTGTGGATCACTGCGTTCCCTCCATTATATAATCCTATCCCGCTTTCTGGTTGCAATATTCTTGATTGAAATAGTGGAAAGTATCTTTCTTAAACTGCCGCTCTGTGATGGTACCGAATGCCCCCAAAATGGCGGCGCTGTTGACGTGCCTGGCTGGATCCAGCGCGGCATCTTGTTATTTATATGTATGGTGGTGACAGGAAACTTACAGCTACAGAAAGCAAGCACTAACATAGCTGACTTAATGTTTGAGACGTAGTTAACAGTCAGTTAAAATGAATAAATGATGGTGATATTTATGATTATAACTGTGTCAAATTAAGAAAAAAAATCCACATCTATCTAATAAACCGCCAAATATTGTGTAGAACTGTAGCAGGTAATCTTAGTGAAGCTTAGCATGCTACAGCTTCAGTACAGTACTTTGTTAGCACCAGAGGCTAACATTAGCTTAGCACACAGGCCAAGATATAGCCTCACAGCACGTTCAGTTCTGGCTCATTCAGGCTTCACAGAGGCAACGTTTGAGGATAAAGGCTAGTGTGTTTTTGTGTGTTGAGCTGTAAGATGAGCTAATTTTCTATAATAGTACTGTCCTGCCCAACACTGCCCAGCTGGTCTTGTGCTGGTTTAGCTGGTCACCTAGAAAGTAGTGCTGGTTAACCAGCATACCAGCATCCAAAACTGCTGCATTTGCTGACCAGCCATGCTGGTATATGCTGTTTTTTAGCAGGGACAGGTTCAATATCCACAATTTTAGAGGATAAAGAATCAAATATTAGCGAGTGAAGTCGAGAGAGGCTAATGTAGCTGACAAGTAAAGGAAGCTTACATGCACTGATTAGCACAGTGCTAACTGTCTCCCTGAATCATCACTCATCAGCCACAAACCGTGTGGAGTTGTTCAGTAATATCTAATAGACTTTATTATGTGGTTCCTGGCACTGTAAAATCATACTGTCATATATAAACACAGACAGAATTCAGACTTAAGTGTGGTTGCCGCTGCTGTTTTTATCTATACAATGTACATTTCTCTACTTCTTTACATAACAGCTTCATACAGTGTCATACTTAACTACCCTCTGTCTTGGCTCATCAACTGCATTTGGGGAGAAGGAGGGAAACTGTTTAAATTAGATTTTTGCCAAAGAAGCGTTTTAATAAATTTCTGATTTACAGATCATGAATTTTGATGGCTAATTCAGATTTCTTGGCAAATTTGGCTGATTTTTATTAGCATCGTCACATTTCTAGTACATATGATTAGCCAAACTTGCTATATAAACAACATTATTTGCTCTTTATTGGGCCAAAGTGGTACATTTTAAGTATGAAGTGACCGAATATTTAGCACGATGTGTCATGCATAATTGTACTATGACATTTTGGTTAAGGTCTAGTAACAGCATTCAGATACACTGATTGCACTTACCTGCCTCATCTTATTTCACTCATTAACCTGTGACGCAGATCAGACATAATAAAAACAATAAGTTGTCGAATTGCCAATTTTATTCTTTGAGCAGAAATCTGCCATTTCTGACTGACTCTGACAGATGGTTTCTTATGTCTGTGCATTTATAATATACTTCTAGCATAACTTTGTTATAACTTTATTTATAACTTAATTGATTTGTCCAGCATAAAAGACTTAATAGTTTTGTTTTCTGTTGTTGTTCAGTTCCAGAAGTCAGTCTTTTCGAGAGGACCAAGGCTGGCTCTAAGGTCCTCACGTGTCATGTGACTGGGTTCTACCCCAGAGACGTGCAGGTTGAGTGGGTCGGAGCAGGTCTACAGTTTGTGGATGAAGAGATGGTTGATGTGCTTCCTAATGGAGACGGTACTTATCAGACCAGAAGGAGTGTGATTAGACCTGAGGAGAACCCAGAGGAACACAAATACAGCTGCGTAGTGCATCACAGCAGTGTAGCAGGAGACATCACCAAAACCTGGGGTATGGGTTTACATGTTTAATCTCCTTTATATTCTACCTTTGAATATTATGCATTTAATCTTGTCAGTTTTTAGCCACACTTAATCTTCGGCCAGGGAAATAATATTACGTATACAGTAAGATCTACAATAATCTACTGTACTGTTTTCTAGATCAGGTTCAGTGTTACATTTGGCTTTTGATATTTAATGCATATTAAATAATGCATTATTATTAAACGGATAGTTCAGGTCCTGAAATCTGATTGGCTGAGCTGCGTTAGGAGCCGTTGTAAAATCCATGATATACCACAGCTATGACCGCCTCACAGCTGCTGAACTCTGTGTTACTGCACCACGGCACGAAAAAGCCTTCTGCTGTGATTAATCTTTGACTCTAATGCTGCTCACATGGAGCACCGAGTGTACTGATGAAGTAAGAACCCGGTTTTTGTTTAAACTGAGAGGCTGACAACTTATGTTCTTTACTAGAATTAGGCTGGTCACAATTAGGATGATCAAACATGCCAAACAACTCCAACATTAATACCCCAGGCTTGAATTAAATACTTCCAATATGATTAACTCTAAAACTGCAGTATAAAAGTCTAAAAATGTCTCTTGAATGTTTTACACACTTCAAATATTCATGTTTCAGTCAAAAGTCGTGTCAAAGCCAGGCTGAATCCCAAATGGCTCTGTACTCCCTAAAGAGTGTTCTAGCTATGAAAGTTTAGAAATTCTAGCCTCTACAGCCAAACAGTGCATCATTTATCGAGTCCCAAACGACTGTTTCTTAGCTGTATTTTGCACTGTTGGGCTGCTGGATCCAGTATTTAAACTCCTACGTAGTGCACTATGCAGGGAGCAGGGAGCCATTTGAGATTCAGCCCTGGTGTGAGAAGGGGGTGCAGCTGGATTGGTGCTGAATGAGACTCGTGGTGGTAATTTGGTGACCAAAAGTGCTTTGTAATGCAAAGCTTTCTGCTTTTAACAGTGCTGTGTCATCATATATTCATTCTTATATGACAAAACCTTAAACATTTATGAAATGACTGCAATATACAGCGATGGGCGACCGAAAGTTCTACTTATTTAGCGGTCTGTGGTTGTGTGGCAATGATACCGTACTCTAAAGAAACTACATTTCTTGGTGGAATACTTGTTTATGTCAATTTATTATTAATAATGACAAATTATTTTCTGAAAAATTATGTATTTTATCATATTTCATGTTGGCCGCCGTTTTATAAAAGCAATAAGCGACTTAAGGCTGTGCGTTACTGTGATTTTATCACAGGGAAAGGAGGGTTACTCCGCTTCGCGTCGTGCCTAATAACACGTGATTAAATTGCAGTAACCCACTTATTGGCTTATTGCTTTATTTTAATGTAAACATTGTCTAGTAATCTGTGTTAGAGAGTATATTTGATTTGCAGTCTATTATGTGTTTAGATGTCTGTCTATGTTTTATTTCAAATTCACATTTGCACATCTTATTGTTCGATGGTATTTATCTATTTTATGATATGAAAATGTACTAGACTTGTATAAAAGTAGAAAAAAATAGAAAAATACAAAACTTTCTTTTTATTTCACCAATTCTATGTGTGCAGTTACAGATGAACACTCTAGACTGGCTGTTTGGATTTCTCTCATCTGCGTTTTCTTGGCCATCATTGGAGCCGGGCTTCTACTCAGAAGGTTCTGTAAAAATAAAGGTAAGCGTTTCGCTTAACAAATGAATGGACAGTGTCAGTGAACAACGTGTCTCATTTTTCAGTGCTACATTAATAGAAACAAACGTTACTTAGTTCTTTCAGTTTTTCATATGTAAATTCTGCTGTCTTTTTTAAAGATTTCTGCATAATTAAATCATTAATATGTAAACAAAGTCATTCAGAGTGGTTTGATGTAAAATGCTCTGTGGTGGGGATAGGAACCAGATGTCTAAAGAGTTTAATGCCTCTGAAAGCTCCCTCAAAGAAAGTTATTACATGAAATGGTTATTGATATGCTGCACAACACATTGGTTTATGATAGTTTTGCAATAAGCTTTTTGGCTTCAAATGTATTTTTTAAAAATCCATGCATAGTTCAGAGCTACATGCAGGCAAAATAGTCTCCAGTAAAACAAAACGTTTCCACTATTTTACCATCATCAACATTACATATAAAAACGACACACGTAGGCTCACTGGTGGTTTTGGACAGTAAATAAAAGGTCTGTGTTTGTGTTGTAGTCATGGCGACCCCTGGTTCCTGTCACATCCTGTCATAAAGAAATCTGAACTATTTCACAGCAAACCACTCTGAATGACATCTTAACCTTTTAACTGAGCAGTACATTTGAAAAATCTGTGGAATTTCCCTTTAACAGTTTATAGATGTTGAACTTTGTGGTCTAATCACTGAACATCCAGCAGCATCTTCATGTCAGAGGTTGGTATTTACAGTCATATGCGAAGGTTTGAGCACCCCTGGTTAAATGATCTGTTTTGTTGATGTTGTAAGTGAAAATAAGTAAATACCACACTACAGAGAACTCACTTCTGCACATTTAATGCACCATTACTGCTTATTGGCCAAATTTAACATATTGGAAAAAAAATACAAAATGTGACCTGTGCAAAAGTTATGGCACATAACATTTTATGTTTTATTTTTTCCAATATGTTAAATTTACTGAACAGAAAGTCTGCAGAGGAAGTTTTAACTTACTTTTCACTTTAGAAAATCGTTTGACCAGGAGAGCCCAAACCTTTGCATACAACTGTAATTATAACTGTATTATTTTTTTTTAATTAAAAGGCAATTTTTTCCCTCTGGATTTGATTTTCCGGGTCAGTTTTGACCTTTGTGACCTTAACTGTCGTTCAGTAGGTCCGCTCTCCACTGTTTTTCAGAAATTCAGAAATTCAGAAATGAGTCTAGGTGGCTTAATAAAAAAAGCACTCCATGTTTCAGCCTTTGTGGACATACAATCTATTTCACCTGCCTCTCTATCTCAAGTTAGCTTAAACAGAATGTATATTAAACAGGATTCCTAAGAGAGCATTTTTTTAACTTTATGGTCATTTCTGCCTCAGGCCTCATTAACTTCTACAGCTTCTGCAAGCATCTTATACACAAGCGCTTCAGTTTTTATTGATGATGCTGTTTGAATGAATTTATTTAAATGTAAATTTGTATTAACAGTTTAAATTAATTTCATAACGTTAGTGAGCTTCTTGTTCCTGTGCTGTCCTACAGGTGCTGGGATTTGAACTTTTATTTGAAGATGAAGCAGTTCACACTCTTAAGGGCTCCTACTTTCGGTTCCAGTTCTCTCGCTCTCGTTAGTAAGTTGATTATTTCTCCAGAAGGACTGAAATGTTTGGTAAAACATCATGCAGGTGTGGAAGTTTACATTCCGGCTCAGCTGTCTGCTCGCCTTGTTCTCAAGATACCTCATGCTCAGTCTGAGCCACCAGCAGCGGTGTTACCAGGTCCTCACGTGTCCTACAGAATCAGCGGCTTGTGTTCAGTTTAGGCTGCACAATGTATTGTTTGTTAATCGGTACAGTGATTTCACAATAGTGATACTGCAGAATTCTGCAATATGCAAATGAGACCCCTCCCCGGTCACTGAATGTTCACCATCCACAGATGTGTTTTTAATATACTCGTATGCAAAAGTTTCTGCACCCCGGGTCAAATTCCGTGTTGTTGATTGAAGTGAAAATAAGTAACACATCCTCTACAGAGACACACTTAGATGCATATCAATGCACATTTTTACTGTTTTTTGCCATATTTAACATAATGGAAAAAATAAAACAATTGGTTTGGCTTTATGGCACATTTTATATTTCTTGGTTTTATGTTTTCCAGTATTTTCAACTCAAATAAATAGAAATTGTGCAGCAGTTTTGTAAGTGTGTTCTGTATAAAGGATGTGTTAACTTCTTTCCCTTCAACAAAACGTGTAATTTGTCTAGACGTGTCCAAACGTTTGCTTATGGCTGTATATCACAAGGCACATCACCATTATAATATGCAGCAATATTATTGAAATATAGTATTTTGTCCATATCATGCAGCCCTTATCTACAGTTATGGGAAATTCAAAACCGAGAGCTGAAGTTATTTACAGTAACTCCAACTCTGAAGACAAAGGGACTCATATGTCTAAATCAGTGCTACATGTTTTCTAAATCAGGTTTGATCTTTTGTTTTCAGAGAACAGCTCACCAGCACTGTTACTCTGATACTGTATGGGTTCAGCACACTCGAATGTACTCTAATGTTTACATATTTATTTTCAGTTATAATTCTCAGCACAACAGTGACAGTTGCAATAGCTGTTTACACAAGCATGCATTAATTTTTAATTAATTCAGAGGTTTGCATCAAATATTTTGCACAGTTCCAGTTGACCTGTGATACAAAGTACTTTGCATTGTAGTTTTAAATTAGACTATTTATTCATAGTGATTATTATTATTCATAGTGAAGTTTAAGTTTAGTGTTTTGTGCCACCCACCTGGCCTCAGAACTTGCTGTGTCCATGTTCTTTTCATATATGTATATATATATATATATATATATATATATATATATATCGCTTCTGTCGTTTTTCAGTTTTTGAAATAATTTGAAAGTACCTGTTGCTCTTTACATTGTATGTAAATTTTATGACGAATGGACCAAAAGAAACGGCCCAAAATGACTGGTGAAAGAAGTCTGGTTCCATTGACTTACATTAAAAGTAAAATAGTTTTTTCCTTCTCCTGTAAAGTTACCATTTTGGAGATACAAGGTTTTCTTCTGACAGCAGTGATATACATACCTGCGTATATGTATGTGTGTATAAAATTCACCATATATCATTAGAATAAATGCAAATGAACATAAATACAGTAAAAATTCTTGTTAGATTTGAAAAAACACATTGGCAAATGTAAAATCAGTCACTACTAATTGTATTGATATTAGTTTCTTTATTCTGTTTATCTAAACAAATAAACACTTTCAGCTTCATCTACTAAAACTAATCACTATTTCGTCAGTAGCCATCAATTAGCATGATGTACACAGTGCTAACTAGTGGCTATTTGCTTTCATTCACTGTTAGCAACATTAGACTGAATTCTTCCTTTAACCTATTCATGTCTAATTAAATTGACTGTAATAAAAAATGAAACAGATCTTGTTCTGATTGGTTGAAAGTGATGAAACTTTGTGTGTTTATACCTAAAACATCTATGAACATCAGGGCTCAATTGAATTTTTTGATTGTATGTAATTTTCATACCTTTACTCACAAACTTGCATTTCTCTCGTTCTGTAAAAAATCAGTAACCGAAAGACTGAATTTTTTGATGACCAGTGAGTGATGATATATTTGTACAGTACAGAGCTGAGCGTGCAGCCCTGCTTCCAAGTTTAACTCCAGCCCTGATCTGGCAAACTTACTGCAGCTAATTACCCTGCAGGGCTGAATGCCTCGGCTAGAGAGCGTTATTAGTTTCACCACTAGGGGGCAGCAAAGCGTCACTTAACACTCCTGCACTTTGTACTTAATGTAATATGACAAAACATACAGCTGTTTACAAATATGTTTTGTATAAAATGTTTATTTTTTCTTTGTATTTTTTATTTTTCACCACTTTGTCAGAGCTAATCACAGTGATATCTTTAATAAATCTGTCATATATGATGAGATTTCTCTCTGAACCCTGTGCTGTCAGTCTTTTGTGATTTTGTTAGTGGGTGTCTTCACATCACAGCCTTGAGGAGAGTGACTCAGAATACATCATCAGCGCAACAATAGAGCCCACAGAGAGAGAGAGAGAGAGAGAGAGAGAGAGAGAGAGCTGTTAGTTTAACATTCATCCACATCAACACTGGCATTGTCAGCCTACATGCAGCCTTGATGGATTCGTGTGTCGGCAGGAACAGTCTGCCACTGTTGCTTTGCATGTCTGTGCTGAAAGAAGGAGCTTGTTTTTAAAGGGGAGTTTCACAGATTTTTCAAAATTTCTGCATTATTCAGTGGCTGAGATGTAAACAAAGTCACTCTGAGTGTTTTGATGTGAAATGGCTCATTGTAGAGAAACTTTCTTTTCATATAGGAAGATAGGAAAGAGTGATTAGAATGTTTACAACGCAAATATAGCCATTTTATTTACTAGCCAAACCACCAGTGAAGCTACACGTGAGTTTTTATATGTAACATCGATGAAGGTAAAATAGTGATAAATCTGAAAAAATAGGTAAAACAACATCTCAGATATCAGGCAGTGAATTTATAACCATTTCATGTAATAACTTTCTGTGAGGGAGCTTTTAGAGACATTAAACTCTTCAGATTTAGCACTGGAGACACTGCAAACACTGGTGTGAGTTCTACTGGACATGAAAGAATCATATTTACACTGACATACCTGAAACTTTTGTCCCAACAAAATGGAACAGACTAAGCAGTGCTACAAAAAACGTGTCACAGTGAGAAGTGCTAATTGTCTTTTCCTGAATATGATTCCTCATAAAATGAAATGTACACAGTTCCCTTCATACATACAGACAAAACAGTCCTGCTGCAAATGTTATTTTGTCTTTTTGCATTTTGCAACCTATTACTTTAAGACAACTTTTTTATTGCCTCAATTTTTTTTAAATTAACCCTTGTGTGGTGTTGATGTGTTTGTTACTCAGTGGTCTGGTGGAACCACCACAATATTGTTTTTTAAATCAGTACAGCCATAACAATTTATGTAAAAATACCAGGTGTTTAAAATATCACAGGTGTCCAGTGTAGGGTTCTCCTTTAGCAGCTGTAGCCAGTCAGCAGCCTGCCCATGTTGTCTACCCTCACACACACACACACGTATACAAACACACACACACACACATATATATACAAACACATACACACACAGACACACACACACTAACAGCAGGCCATGTCGAAGGAGAACAGATTGAAGGACACAGCACCTCCACACTTTTACTCCCCGCGGGTTCACCCAACACCACATGTGTAATATAAATGTGTGGGGGGTGAACAGAGTGAAGACACTGAAAATGGGTTATTTTATATGTTCTTCACAGAAAATGAGCAAAGGACAAGGAAATAATAATAAATCACATCATTTTTTCTTTTGGTAAACATTGAAAATGGGTCTCACAGATCCCAACACCACACAAGGGTTAAGGGGTTTGTTTTAATGTGTAAACATCGTTAAGTTGTAAAAATGTACCCAGTTCATATCTGTAAACTACACTTTAAAAACCTTTACTACTTTTACCACTTTTACCTACACCCATCTATCAAGCCTGCAGCAGTTTAGCCCCGCCCACTCACACTGTGTGTCAGCCTAGAGTGATTTATACACACACACACATATATATTTATATATATATATATATATATATATATATATATATATATTTATGTACATGTATGTGTATTGATGTTTAAGTAAATGTGCCTCTGTATTGTGCCACAATAACAGCCTGCTTATGTAAGTAAGGGATAAAGACAGCTTTGAACATGATCATGTAAAAATTAATACAAATACAGAACTCAAACCACTTTCCCACTTTCTTTCCCTCCCATACTGCGAATAAATTATTTTTGTAGGTTTTTTGTATTGGAAGCGTATACCCCACCAGTTAGCATTGTGCTAACTGCATGCTTAAATCAGCCTCAAACTGTGTAGAATCATTAAGTAATCTCCAATAGACTCACTTATCTACAACCAATTGGTTGAAAATGGGGGCGGCGCCGTGGCGCAGTGGGTAGCGCTGTCACCTCACAGCAAGAAGGGCCTGTTTCCCAGCTGGGCGACCAGAGTCCTTTCTGTGTGGAGCATGTTCTCCCCATGTCTGCGTGGGTTTCCTCCCACAGTCTAAAGATATGCACTCAGGCCAACTGGACATGCTAAATCACCCCTAGGTGTGAATGTGTGTGAATGTATATGTCTGTGTGTCTGTCCTGCGTTGGACTGGCAACCTGTCCAGGGTCTATCCTGCCTTTTGCCCAGTAACCGCTGGGATAAGCTCCAGCTCCCCCTCTGACGACCCAGAAGGATAAGTGGTTTAGAAAATGTGTGTGTGGTTGAAAATGGTGATTCTAAACTTTTGTACACTAGTTTAAATTCAAATGCAGGTTTTTTTAGCGCACACAGGCAAAGTTAGTGGAATATTCCTGAAAAGTTCCTCTCAAGGAGCCTAAAAATTGCAGAAGTAGTGCTGCTACAGTGAGATCAGATCACATGTTTGATTGACAATGCCTTGTCAGTGGAGGTTTGGTGACGGGTACCAGGCCAAAGGTGTTCTAGCTAATACGTCATGTTGGCAGAGCAGCACTGAGAACTCCTCGAATAGGCGGATAAGCCTGGTGCCTCTAAACGGGCCTTGGCCAGGTCAGTTCCAGTAATTATTCTTGTATAAGGCTGACTAATGATGGCAGAACCAATGACGGAAGCACAAGGCCACCAGTGATTAAGAGCAGTAATCCACCTCGCAGAGGGGAACTGTGTTCTAATGTTCCCTGCTGGGTCACTGCTGCTGATTCCACTCAGATCTCCTCCTGGAGACTCCAGGAACTCTTTTAGATGACTGATGGGAGCCAACTGTCCCAATGTTACGTAGGAATATTAATTATTGCATACTTTATTTTTCCTGCAAGCACAGGGTTCCTCAAGGTCCTGGAAAGTAATGGAAAGGCATTTTTTTTTAAAATAACATACATATTTAAACACATATTCAAATGAAAGCATATTTAAAAGTCATTAAAAATATTATTA